TGAGGGGCAGGGCTGGGGGTGCAGTGAGGGAGCAGGTCACAAATCTGGGATCCCCTTTGGGGGGCGCTGGGCAGCTGGAGTGTCCCCCCCCTTCTGCCAGGCAGCCCAGGGCTTGGAAAGCGGGGGGCTGCGGGTCAGGAGTGAGGGGCACTGGCAGGGCTGGGGGGGAGTCCAGGGGTCGCTGCCGACCCACCTGGCCTGGGGTAGCAGCTCGGGGCAAAGTGGGGACCTGATCCCCTCCCGTGTCTGTCCAGAGGGGCGTGGAGCCAGCCCCAGGTTCCCCCCAGCCCCATGGGAACTGGGGATCCCCATGCGGAGAGACGGGGGGGCGGGGCCTGGAAGGTGACAGTGAGTGGGGAGGGGTCTTTCCCTGTAGTTGTGGAAGGAGTGGGAGGGGCTCGCCCTGCAGGTGGGGGCGGGTGGAATTGGGGAGCCCCGCCCCTCACCCTGTCGCGCCCCCCCAGCAGGTAGACCTGGAGCTGCGGGTGGAGAAGCTGGATGTGAAGATGGTGCCTGGGGGCACTGGCAGCAAGGGGCTGGGCCCGGGCCCGGGCCAGGAGGCCAAGGAGGACCATGAGGAGCGAGTCCTGGCCATGCTGGGCATAGCGGGCACCGTGCTCAACCTGCTGGTCATCATCTTCGTCTACGTGTACACCACCGTCTAGCGCCGGCCCGGGCCCCGCGAGGGCCCCGCCAGCCAGAGACACCCGCGCCGGGGCCCCGCCAGCCAGAGACACCCGCGCCGGGACCCTGCCAGCCAGAGACACCCGCGCCGGGATCCCGCCAGCCGGAGACACCCGCACTGGGGCCCCGCCAGCCAGAGACACCCGCACCGGCCCCGCCAGCCAGAGACACCCGCGAGGGCCCCGCCAGCCAGAGACACCCGCACCAGGATCCCGCCAGCCAGACACACCCGCGAGGGCCCCGCCAGCCGGAGACATCCGCACCGGGACCCTGCCAGCCGGAGACACCCGCGCCGGGACCCCGCCAGCCAGAGACACCCGCACCGGGACCCCGCCAGCCAGAGACACCCGCGAGGGCCCCGCCAGCCAGAGACACCCGCGCCGGGGCCCCGCCAGCCAGAGACACCCGCGAGGGCCCCGCCAGCCGGAGACACCCGCACCGGGATCCCGCCAGCCAGAGACACCCGCGCCGGGACCCCGCCAGCCAGAGACACCCGCACCGGGATCCCGCCAGCCAGACACACCCACGAGGGCCCCGCCAGCCAGAGACACCCGCGCCGGGATCCCGCCAGCCAGAGACACCCGCGCCGGGATCCCGCCAGCCAGAGACACCCGCGCCGGGACCCCGCCAGCCAGACACACCCGCGCCGGGATCCCGCCAGCCAGAGACACCCGCACCGGGACCCCGCCAGCCAGACACACCCGCGCCGGGATCCCGCCAGCCAGAGACACCCGCACCGGGACCCCGCCAGCCAGACACACCCGCGCCGGGATCCCGCCAGCCAGAGACACCCGCACCAGGGCCCCGCCAGCCAGAGACACCCGCGAGGGCCCCGCCAGCCAGAGACACCCGCGCCGGGACCCCGCCAGCCAGACACACCCGCGCCGGGGCCCCGCCAGCCAGAGACACCCACGCCGGGACCCCGCCAGCCAGAGACACCCACGCCGGGATCCCGCCAGCCAGAGACACCCGCGCCGGGACCCCGCCAGCCAGAGACACCCGCGCCAGGGCCCCGCCAGCCAGACACACCCGCGCCAGGGCCCCGCCAGCCAGACACACCCGCACCAGGGCCCCGCCAGCCAGAGACACCCGCGCCAGGGCCGCGCTGGAGCCCCACCAGCTGGAGAAACCCACGCCAGGGCCGCACCGGGGTCTGGCCAGCCAGCCGGTGACACCCACAGCAGGGCCTGCCCAGCCAGCCAGAGACACCCATGCCCCGGCCATGCCAGGGCCCCACCAACCAGAGACACCCATGGCAGGGCCCTGCCAGCCAGAGACACCCACGCCAGGGCCGCACCGGGGTCTGGCCAGCCAGCCGGTGACACCCACAGCAGGGCCCGCCCAGCCAGCCAGAGACACCCATGCCCCGGCCATGCCAGGGCCCCACCAACCAGAGACACCCGCACCAGAGCCGTGCCGGGAGCCTGATGGGGCCTGGAGGGTGCCCACCGGGCAATGAGACGCTCTCCCACCTTCCGTGTGTGTGCCCCAGACCCTGCCCCTGGGCACGCGGAGATCTGCCCCTGCCAGGCACCCAGCGACTGGCCACCCCCACGCAGCAACAAGCACAAGGGACTGGCCCCCCAGGACAGCGAGGGGGCACTGGGGGCCCAGACTGCGCCTGCTGCCTGGCCCCCAGAGCCCGGAGCCCGCGGACCCGTGAGAGGAGACACCAGCAGCGCGAGCCGGGACAGGGACTGTGCTGTGGGTGGGGGAGGTGCACGGGGCTCTGAGCTGGGGGCCAAGGGGGCGTTTGGGGTGATTTCGCCCTGGCGGAGATGCCAGGGACAGGGTCTGTTCTAAACGGTGATTCTGAGCTGGTAGGGCCCAGCCCGGCCTGGCACTCTTGGGACCCGCTCTGCGGGCTCTGGGGGAAGTGCTGAGCACCCACCATTCCCAATCCCGACCCCCCAACCCCTGTCCAGGCCCCCCAGAGCCCCCCAGCAGCTGAGTCTGCGCCAGGCTGGGGGGCTGAGACGCCCCTTTTCACCCCTGGGACCCTGAGCAAATGCCAGGCCCATGGCTTATAAGTGCAGCCTCTGGAACAGCTTGGGGGGCCGGGTGGGAGCCGGCGCCCTCGAGGGGAAAGGCCCTGGGCCCCATTCCCTGCCCCCTTCCAGTCACATCCCCCCAGTGGTCGGTTGTCGGTTGTCGAGATTCTCTGTTTTTGTGGGCTGTCAGCTCTTTCCTGGCTCGTCAGAGGGAGTTGCCCTGCACCCGCAGCCTTAACCCCCAGCTGCCCCACAGGATGGGGCATCTACCCCACGGGGGTCCAGCTGCCACTGCCCCAAGGAGGGGACGGGGGCTCTTCCCATCCAAGTGCTTTATGGGGTGTCAGACGGCTGCACTGGCTTGGCGGGGCTCTGTGCAGCCCCCGGCACTCTCCGGCCTCCTCTTCCAGCACTCGGGGGGGGTATCCCTGCCCCCCACCCCGCTGTGCAGAGCCTGGGGAATGAACACAGTCCAACTCCTCCCTGGGGAGGAGAATTGCTCCCCACTTCCCAGGCCGGCACTGGGGCGAATGCTCCTTGCAAGGGGGCTGCGAAGTCCGGCGGAGTCTGGGCCCCTTTCCAGCTGCAGCCGGCAGGGCATGTCCGGGGGGCACCGAGTGAGCCTGCAGGGTGAGCCCATCACCGGCCCAGAGAGCCAGGAGAGTCCACGAGGCCCCTGCCCAGGGGGGGCCCTGGCTCTCGACCCCCCAAACACAACGGCCTGAGCTGGGAAGAGTTCCAGACTTTTCTACCCCCTGCCCCCGGTTCTTCCATGCCCAGCGTTTGCCCTGGCGAGGGAATTGTGCCAAACACGTGTGTGGGGGTGGGGGGGGTCTTTGTTCTCCTGCCGGGGGGGGGGAGCTTTTGTACCTATCCTGTGGGAATTGGTGGTTTTATATGCAAGGGGGGGGTGTGAAACAATCACAATGAAATATTGATGGACTTCAGCCCCTGGGTGCTGGAATTTCTGCTGGAGGCGGGAGCGGGTGCATGGAGCCCCTGGGCCACCCCCCGGCTCTGGCTGGGTGTCTCCGTGTCGCGGATCCGCCGTCCTGAGGAGGAACGTCTCCAGCATGCCAGAGCCCCAGGGCCGGCCACGCAGCCTCCTGGCCGGAGTCTCCTGGTCAGGCCCGCCGGGCCCGGCTCCAGGCCAGGGGCTCATCCGCTCCACAGGGCCTGACGCACCCAGCCCGGAGCCGGGGGCACCCAGGCCGCCTGGCCAAAGGCGGGTTCACTGGGCCCCAGGAGTGGGAGCTCTCAGCTTGGCCTGGAGACCCCGAGGTTAAGACGTCCTCTGTCCTGGCGTTTCTCCTCTGTCTGTCCGTCTTCTGCCTGTCCCCGCCCCCCATCTGGCACCTTGCGGCCCCATCGTCCAGCTCTGCAGAGCCCTGCTGAGCTCCCGGGCCCCAGCGGCTGGGGATTCCCGGCCTCCTGGGTCAGCAGTCAGGCCGGGAAGTTCCGTTCTCTCTCTGGACCCTCCATTGACCCGGCTGGGCTCAGGACCCATCCGTCCCAGCCCCTCCCATCTCTGTGCCACCCCCCAGAGCGGCTTTAAACCCTTTGCACCCGCTGGGTAGCTAGGCCAAGTGCTGAGGGAAACTGAGGCACACATTGGCACCATCAGATGCTGGCTGTTCTGTCAGCCCCTCGCCTTCCTCCTATTGCCACTGGCTACAACAGGGGCGGAGGGGCTGCCCATGGGGGGGTGGGCGTTGCAGAGCAAGCCCAGACAGCAGGGCCAGCTCCTGTCCCGTGGGGCTGGCTTGGCCCCCGCTCTGGCCATAGGCTGGCAGATGAGGCCTGACCCCCACCCCGCAGCCCAGAGACAATACAGGTGGGAACAGTTAGAAGGGGGTGGGAGGTGGGCTGGAGCCAGGACTCCTGGGTTCTCTCCCCGGCTCTGGGAGGGGTGGCTGGTGGTCGGGGGGGTGGGAGCCTGGACTCCTGGGTTCTCTCCCAATCTGCCCCCCAGGGCCCAGGGGTGACTCCCCCTCTCCCGCTCGGCCCCGCCCAGGGTTGCAGCCCCCTCCAGGCACCTGCGCTGCGGGGCCCCTCCCCGGCCCCCGGCCATTGGCTGCGGGGAGGGAGGGCCGGGGACCGGGCCTGGCCGGGCTCCCATTGGCCGGGCGGCGAGGAGCCGGCTCCGCCGCTTCGCTCTTGTCTCCTGCCGGAGGGAAGCCCGAGCCGCGTCCCCCCTGCCCCCCAAACCCCTGCCCCCCGAGCCGCGCGCTCCAGGGCCCCCCTGCACCCCGAGCTGCGCCCCCCCCCGAGCCCCTGGGCCCCCCGCACCCCGAGCCGCGCGCTCCAGGCCCCCTCTGCACCCCGAGCCGCACCCCCCCGAGCCCCTGGCCCCCCCAAACCGTGCGCTCTAGGGCCCCCTCCCCGCGCCGCTGCCGCCGCCCCGGGGGATGCCCTGGGGCTCCCCGCCAGGATGCAGCCCCCCGCCCTGGCTGCCCTCACCCTGCTGGCCTCGCTGCAGCTGCTGGAGGTGCGAGGGGAGGGCACAGCTGGGTCCCAGGTGCTGAGCCCCGCCCCCAGGGACCAGCCCCCCCGGCCTGGCCGCCCCGTCCCCGCCGGGCCCCAACCCCCCCGCCTGGAGAAGCGCAGCCGGACCCTGGCCCGTCGGGGGCAGCGAGCACCCAAGGCAGCCAGGTGAGTGGGGGGAGGTTGGGGGCCACCAGGGGCCATGGGCTCAGATCGGTCTCCATCCCCACCCCCCTTGCTCCCTGCCCCTCGCCTGGCCCCCCTCTGCCCCCCCCCATTCCCTCTGGCCTGGTCCCCCTCTGCTCCCCCCATTCTCCCTCGCTCCCTGCCCCTCGCCTGGCCCCCCTCCGCCCCCCCATCCCCCCTCGCTCCCTGCCCCTCGCCTGGCACTCCAGCCCCAGAGCCCAGGCCGGGAGGCAGAGCGACACCCCCAGCCTCTCGGGCATGGGGGGCTTGGCAGGGGCTGGCTCCACATCCGGGACCCCCGGCCTGGCAGAGCAAAGGGGGGCCCTAAGGGGGCCGAGCTGCCCTCAGCGCCCAGGCTGGAGGAGCCCAGACCTGGGGGGCAGGGGCCGAGTGGGGGGTGGAATCCCAGGGTGGGACGCTCCGTGCAGGGGCTGGGCGGCGTCTGTTCCCCTCGTCAGGCCGCGGGGGGTGGCCGGGGCCCGGGCTCGGCTCCATCTGGAAACACGCTCAGGGGCCAGGCAGGCGCTGAGCTGGCAGACCAGCCCCCCCCCCATGGGGCGGGGCTGCTGTGCCCGCCCCCTGTCTGCCCCACCCACCCCTCTGCCCCGGCCCCCATCTGCCCTCGCCCCCCGCCCCTCCCCTGCCCCCAGCTCCCTTAGGGAAGGCACCGGCACAGGCCTCTTCCCACCCAAATTGAGCAGGTGCCATGACCCCCACGAGGTCCTAGAGCTGTGACCCCTGCCCGGCCCCCCCGGCGCCCCCCCCGCCCGACCCGCAGCCCCCCGCCTGCCCGGCGCCCCCCCCGCCCGACCCGCAGCCCCCCGCCTGCCCGGCCCCGCCAGGCCCCCCCGCCGCCCCCCCGCCCGACCCGCACCGCCTCCCCGCCCCGCAGCCCCCGCCTGCCCGGCCCCGCCGGCGCCCCCCCCCCGACCCGCAGCCCCCCGCCCCCGCCCGGGCCCGCCCGCCCGACCCGCAGCCCCCGCCTGCCCGGCCCCCCCGCCCGACCCGCAGCCCCCGCCTGCCCGGCGCCCCCCTGCCCCCCGCCCGACCCGCAGCCCCCCGCCTGCCCGGCCCCGCCAGCCCCCCGCCTGCCCGCCCCCCCCCGACCCGCAGCCCCCGCCTGCCCGGCCCTGCCGGTGCCCCCCCGCCCGACCCGCAGCCCCCCGCCTGCCCGGCCCCGCCGGCGCCCCCCCCGCCCGACCCGCAGCCCCCCGCCTGCCCGGCGCCCCCCCCGCCCGACCCGCAGCCCCCCGCCTGCCCGGCGCCCCCCCCGCCCGACCCGCAGCCCCCCCGCCTGCCCGGCCCCCCCCCCGCCCGACCCGCAGCCCCCCGCCTGCCTGGCGCCCCCCCCCGCCCGACCCGCAGCCCCCCCGCCTGCCTGGCGCCCCCTCTCGCCCGACCCGCAGCCCCCCGCCTGCCTGGCGCCCCTCTCGCCCGACCCGCAGCCCCCCGCCTGCCTGGCGCCCCTCTCGCCCGACCCGCAGCCCCCCGCCTGCCTGGCGCCCCTCTCGCCCGACCCGCAGCCCCCCGCCAGCCCGGCCCTGGCCCCTCAGCTCTGCCAGTGCTGAGGGAGGGGGGTCTGGGGAATTTGCATTTGAGGGGGTTTTGGCCCATGGCTGCCCCAAAGGGAAATGCCTTCAAACTGCACCCAGAGGGGATGGGGCCAGACCTGGCAGGGAGTGGCTCAGGCTCCAGGGCGAGGTGCTGTGGGGGATAGAGACCGAGCCCTGCACCCCCTGACCGGGCTGCTCCTTTCCAGTTCTCCCCACTGGCTCAGCACTACAGGGCTCATGACACACACCCAGCTCCCAGCAGGTGCAGCCCCAGCCACGCCGTTCAGCCCCCGGTCCAGTGCCCTGGGACCCGACTGCCCCAGCCGAGTGTCTGGGGTTCTCTGGGGTGTTCCCCCCAACAGGCACACTGGAGTGGCTCAGCCCAGTCTGGGGCGTCCTGCCCGGGGACAAGCCAGCAGGAGCCGTGGGGGGGAGAACTGCTGGACCCCCGCCTCAAAGAGGGGCTGAGGGAGGCTGGGTCCCAGTATGTCCTGCCCCACAGGGACCTGGCTCTGGGGTCAGCGCTGGGCAGAGGTGCTGGAGCCCATCGGGGTCCCAGCCTCGGAACGTCCTGGGTTACGCAGGGGCCCCCACTCCTGCCCCCCACTCCTGCCTCTAACCCTCACTCCTGCCCCCGCCGCCCTCCATTCCCGCTGCAAATCCACCTTGTAATGGGATCATGTAACCATGGGATCATGGCTGAGGAGCACCAGCATAGCTGGGGCTGGGGGGCCCCAGGGCCAGGGCAGCAGGGGGCTGCGGGTCGGGAGTGAGGGGCATCGGCAGAGCTGGGGGGTGTCAGTGGGCTGGGAACTGGATCAGCCTTGGCCACGGGTTGAGAGTCGGGGCCCTGTGCCGGGGGGGGGGGGGCGGGGGTCAGATGCCCTGGCTGGTCTGGGGGTTGCCCCGCTGCACCCCCCAGGCCTGGCCCCCAGGCTGCGTGTTGCGGGGCGGGGGGCAGGCGGCTGATGGCTTTTCCGTGCAGCTGGGGGGCTGCAGGGGAGGGGGCCCTGGCAGCTCCTGGAGGAAACGTGGCTGAGGAATTTCGGGGCCAAGTTTCCGCCTTCTGGAGCCGCCCCTCCCCCACCACGTCTCTGCAGCGCCGGGGGGGCCTGATTCTGCCAGGAGAGGAGCCCCCGCCTCTGCGTGCGCGTGGGGCTGGGGGCCGGGCAGGGCAAGGAGGGGCCCCGGCCAGTACAGCTGGGGGGCTGCCCCAGGCCGGGGGGGGTGGCTCAGTTGCTGAGGGCCGGTTCCTGCACGTGGCTCCCAGCTGCAAAAGCCATTTGGGGCACAGGAGGCTCTGCTAGAGCCCTGCCCCCCCAACCCCCCTCCGTCCAGAGCGTCCCCAGCCCCCCCGCCCCCTCCAGCCCCCCCTGTCCAGAGCACTCCCTGCCCCCCTCCATCCCCCCCACCCAGAGAGTCCCCAGCCCCCTGCCCCCCCAACCCCCCTCCGTCCAGAGCGTCCCCAGCCCCCCTGCCCCCTCCAGCCCCCCCGTCCAGAGCACTCCCTGCCCTCCTCCATCCCCCCCCACCCAGAGAGTCCCTAGCCCCCTGCCCCCCAGCCCCCCCCGTCCAGAGCGTCCCCAGCCCCCCCGTCCAGAGCACTCCCTGCCCCCCTCCTCTCCCCCAGAGCATCCCCAGCCCCCCAGCCACCCCTCCAGCCTCCCCATCCAGGGTGTCCCCAGCCCCCACTCTGCCCCCTCCAGCCCCCCCCACCTTCCCCAGCCAGAGCACTCCCTGCCCCCCTCCATTGCCACCCCGGATCTGCTGGGGGGGCCGCAGGGCAAATGTTCCCTCTAACGTTTCCCATCCACATGCAAATGAATTTGTATAATGTGCCCCAATGTGGAGGTGATGTGTGGTGGGGGTGGGGCCAAGGGGTGCGGGGGGGGGGTGAGGGCTCTGGCTGGGGGGTGCAGGCTCCGGGGTGGGGCCGGGGATCAGGGGTTTGAGGTGCAGGGGGAGGGGCACCCTTGATAGCCTGCTGCACCGCCCCACAGGTTGGAGGGGACTTAGGCACAGGCTGGGAGCCAGGACTCCTGGGTTCTTTCCCTGGCTATGGGAAGGGGGTGGGGGCTAGTGGTTGGGGTTGGGGGGCTGAGAGCCAGGATGGGCTGTCCCCACCCCTTCCAGCCACTCCTTTCCCATCTGTCCTATGGAATTGCCTCCTCCTGTCCCCCCCACGGAGCCAGGTGACCCCCCACCCCCGGACCCATTGTGCTGCCCCCAGAGGGAGGGGCTGACCATGCCCCTCCCCCACCACTTTCACTCTAACTTGTGATGGGGCCTTGGGGCCAGGAGACCCTGAGCTGCCGTCCAGCCCCTCTACCAGTCCCGCCCCCCCCAATTCCTGCAGGACTGGGGGGGGGTTTGTGTCTATGCAGCCCCCCTGGTGAGATGGGACCCAGGGTCTCCTCCAGCCCCAGGGTCAGGGCAAAATAAGTCCACTGACCAGGCGAGAACCAGAGACCAGCTCTCAGCCCAGCCCCCTGCTCTGCCCCTGCCAACCCCCCTGTCACGGAGTCCCTGGGCGATGCTCTGGAGCTGCTCCCCGCGAAGCCAGGCAGGACTCTGGGGGAGTCTCCTCTCGGGGAGCAGCCTGTCTGCAGGACACACAGCTCCCCCGGCTCCACCTTCCTGGGTCTGACCTCGGAGCCTTCAGCCTCCTCTGCCCCTCCCTGCGCTTCCCACAGCTAGTCCGCCCAGGCGGGGTCCTGGGGGGGCCAGAGGGTCCTGCACCCCAACTTTGCAGTCAGACGGGACTCTCAGCCAGCCGGGGAAACAGAAGGTTTATTCGACGACAGGAACATGGTCTAGCACAGAGCTTGTAGGTGCAGAGAACAGGACCCCTCAGCCGGGTCCATTTTGGGGGGCAGTGAGCCAGACAACCCCGTCTGCCCTTCACTCCATGTCCCAGCCAGCCCCAAACTGAAACCCCCTCCAGCCCCTCCTCCTCTGGGCTTTGTCCCTGTCCCGGGCCAGGAGGTCACCGGATCCCTTTGTTCTCCAGCCCTTCAGCTCTCACCTTGCAGGGGGGGAAGGGCCCAGGCCATTCTCTGTGCAGACGCCATCACACTGGCCCCCTAGGGCTCTGCCACAATCACACCCCCTGATCCCCCCACCTAGATACTTAAGAACTGCACAGGGGAAACTGAGGCACCCCTACAGTATGCAGAGGAAACATTAAGAACAGTCCCACTTCGTCACATCTCTCCCCCCTTCGAGATCGAACTGAGCGGGGTCACTTTAGCCAGTGACCTGGGGAAGTTCGAAGCCGCCAACGTTCCCATGGATGCCCCAGCATCTCTCCCATTCCTTGGTGGGAGTTACACCAGGCCCTTCCACTTTCATGCCCTCCCTTTGGTCGGGGGTGGTCAATGGTACTCGCAGGCCACAGGTGGAAAGGTTTATGCAGCTTGTGCCCTTTTGCCACCCCAAAACCCCAGGGGGTCAAACTGGGATCGGGTCTGCTCTCAGCGCTTCAGTCTGGAGGGCTGCGATTTGGGCTCTCTTGGTTAAGAGCCCCCATCTTGACCTGGGCCGGCTCTGCGCTTGGGCAGACGCTCCCCACCTTGTGGCCCAGGTATGACGCCTCTGTCATCCCCACCTTCCAGCTGTTGCCGTCAGTCCTGCCTGCTTTGGGCGACCCAGCCCCCTCTTCACCTGGGACACGTGTTCCTCCCAGGCCTGGCTAAAGACACCGATATCCTCAGCGTACACCAGGGCCAAGTTCTCCATCCCCCTCAGTACCGGATCCACCCGGTGCTGGGGGGTGGCCAATGCCCCCTTGAGATCGAAAGGCAGGACCAGGAACTCAGAGAGCCCCAAAGGGCTGGTGAAGGCAGATTTCAACTTGGCAGCTGGGTACAAAGGCACCTGCCAGTCGCCTTTGGTGACATCCATAGTAAAGAGGTAACGAGCCCCCCCAGCTTGTCTAGGCTCTCACCAGGCCTAGGCATGGGGTAGGCATTGGACACGGTAATGGCATTGAGCTTTCGATAGTCCCCACAGAACCAGATCGACCCGTCTTTCTTGGGGACCAGCCCCCCGGGTGAGGCCCATGGGCTGTTGAAGGGCTGGATCATCTCTAAAGCCCGCATGTCCTTGACCTCTCTCTCCAGGCTCTGGGCTGTTTTCCCAGTGACTCTGAACGGGGGACACCTGATGGGAGGACTGGCTCCCACCACAGGGAAGAGATCCCCCAGGGGATCTCCCCCCTTCACCTCCCAATCCTCCCTTTCCAGGTCCAGGGGTCCCCTCACTCTCCTCCCACACAGCAGCTCAAAGGGAAGAACCCGGTGGATTCCTGGGGCACGTCCCATACCACGGGTGGGGCAGGAACTTGTCCCGTCCTGTGGATGCTGATCCATAGAAGTCCTCAGCATCATCCCCAGGGTCCCATAGACTCTCTCCACCAGCCCGTGGGATGGAGGGTGACCTGCAGAGGCCCAGGTGGGCCAGACCCCCCATTTCTCCCACCAGCCCCAGAGCCGGGCTGACAGGACATTGGACCCCTGGTCTGTAATGACGTCGCTGGGGACCCTCCCTCTGCTGAAGATGGTCAGCAGCGCGTCTGCCCTGGTGTCTGCCTCGGTGGAGGACAGAGCCCCCGCCCCTGGGTAGCGGGTGACGAGATCCATCACCCCCAGGACGTATTTCTTCCCTGCCCGGGTCGCCTTGCTGCGGGGCCCCACTATGTCCATAGCCCCCTTCTGGAAAGGTTCCTCTATGATGGGTCGGGGTCTCAAGGGGGCTTCACCCTGATCCCGGCCTTCCCCCTCCTCTGGCCGGGGTTGCAGGACCTGCCGTGCCGCTGGGCCACATCCCAGACTCGGGGCCAGTCACAGTTCCGCGGCAGCTGCTGCCTGGGGCATCATGGGTTAGCTTTGGGGTCCAGTGCGGGGGTGAGAAACTGGAGCCTGTCTGCAGGGTCAACCCTGTGCATCTCGCAGGCCTTCTCAAATGCCGTCAGGAAGCTATCTATGTCCTTCCCCTCCTTCCGCTGAGCCAGGAAGCACTTATCAAAGCTCCTTGCAGTCTTGGGTCCCCCCGCACTCACCGCAGCCGGGGCCCCACTGCTCCTCAGCCTGGCCAGCTCCAGCTCACGCTGTCTCTGCTTCTCTTCATGCTGCCTCTGTTTCCCCTTCTCCTCCTGCTCATGCCGACGCTGCTTTTCATGATCCTCTAGCTCTCTCATTTTCATCTCCCTCTCCCATTCCAGCTGCATCCGCTCCAGGGATGGGGAGCTCCGCAGGGAGGATCCCTTGCTGGCTGCTGGGGTCAGGGTGCCCTCGGTATTCGCTGGGCTTCCCTCAGGGACAGGGATTGGGTCATCCAAGCGATCCCTCTCCTCCAACTGGGCAATCAGCTGTTCCTTGGTGGACCCCCCAATGTGCAGCCCCCTCTGCCTGCACAGCTCCACCAGGTCGCTCTTAAGGCGTTTAGCGTACATCTCCCTGCTGGCCACTCGCAGGCCGGGCAGCTTCCCACGGTTTCCAAGGAGAACCCCTCGTGTTCCAGTCCTTCTTGAGGTCACCCCCTCTTTGCCAGGGTCGAGCTGCAGACTCCTCCACCCCTGGGCCTGCTCACTGCAATCCTTCGGGGGACCCTATTACTGCAAAAGTCCTTCTCTCTGGTCACACACTCCCAGGGGTTAACCGCCCCCTGAAACCGTCTCTCTCTGAATCTTCAGCACGCCTGGTCCCCGTCAATCCCCCTTCGTTTTACTGCTCCCCAGTCACTTACTGCAGGAAGCGCTGTTCACGGGGTGCAGTAGATCCCACCGCTGCCACCAGTTGTCACAGAGTGTGGGGGAGTCCAGGCCCTGCACCCCTCTTCCTGGGATTCACCGTGACTCTCAGCCAGCCAGTAAAACAGAAGGTTTATTGGACAATAGGAACACAGTCTAAAACAGAGCTTGTGGGTACAACCAGGATCCCTCAGTCAAGTCCTTCTGGGGGAGCAGGGAGCTTAGACCCCAGCCTTGGGGTTCCCTGCGTTCCTCCGCCCAGCCCCAAACTGAAACTAAACCCCCCCAGCAGGCTCCCTCCTGCAGCCTTTGTCCAGTTTCCCAGGCAGAGGTGCTACCTCCCCCTCCCCCTCCCCCTCCTGGCTCAGGTGACAGGCTCTCAGGTCTCCCATCCTCAATGAAAATCCCCTGCCACATTCCCAGGTCAACACCGCTCCCTACTGTGTAACAGTAGCTCCTCTGCCCCCCGAAACTGCTCCTCTGTGAGCCTTCAGCACGCCTGGTCCTTGTTAATCCCCCTTCGTTTTACTGCTCCCCACTCACTTACTGCAAGAAGCGCCATTCATGGGGTGCAGTAGATCCCACCCCTGCCACCAGTTATCACGGGGTCCCTGGGCGATGCTCTGGAACTGCTCCCCATGAAGCCAGGCAGGACTCTGGGGGAGTCTCCTCTCGGGGAGCAGCCTGTCTGCAGGACACACAGCTCACCCGGCTTCCCCCTTCCTGGGTCTGACCTCGGAGCATTCAGCATCCTCTGCCCCTCCGTGCGCTTCCCATAGCCAGTCCGCCCACGCGGGGTCCTGGGGAAGCCAGAGGGTCCTGCCCCCCAACTCCGCAGTCAGACGGGACTCTCAGCCAGCCGAGGAAACAGAAGGTTTATTAGACGACAGGAACAGGGTCTAACACAGAGCTTGTAGGTGCAGAGAACAGGACCCCTCAGTCAGGTCCGTCTTGGGAGGCAGGGAGGCCAGAGCCCATCTTGCCCTCCCTCCATTTCCCCAGCCAGCTCCAAACTGAAACTCTCCAGCCCCCCCGGCCTTTGTCTCTCTCCCAGCCAGGAGGCCACCTGATCTCTTTGTTCTCCAGCCCCCTCAGATGGCACCTTTGCGGGGGGCCCAGGCCATCAGTGGCCAGGAGACAGGGTGTCGGCCATTCTCTGGGCAGACGCCATCACGCTGGCCCCAGGGCTCTGCCACAATCACACCCCCTGATCCCACCACTACTTAAGAACTGCCTAGGGGAAACTGAGGCACCCACACAGTATTCAAAGAAAACATTAAGAACGGTCCCACTTCGTCACGCCCCCTCCCAGAGCCAGGACAGAACCCAGGAGTCCTGGCTCTTCCCTCCCCAATGGGAGGATCCGCATTGATGGCCACCTCATGGGGAGAGGGTCCTGTTAACTCAGGCAGCCTCAGCCCCCTCTACCTCTTTGGCCCCCCATCCTGGAGGGCTTGGGTGTCTCAGCACCAACCCCCCATGAGGCTGGGTGTGGGGGCTAGGCCTGGTTCTTCAGGGGATGGGGGCTGGATCTTGGGGGGCTATTGAGGGGCTGTTCTGGTGGGGGGCCCTGCTGGTGGGGGCTGGATCTGGTCTGTGCCCCAGGACTGAGTGGGGGAGGGGAGCCAGGTCAGGCAGGGCCTTGCGGGGCGCAGAGTCCTGGGGCAGGGGTGGGGGTGGGGCTGGCCCTGGGGTCCCCCCTCACTGCATCTGTCTCCTCTGCAGCCCCCACGTGTGCGGAGTGACCTGCTGCCCAGGCTGGAGCCTGGCTCCCAAAACCCAGAAGTGCACAAAAGGTACGGAGGGGGGGGGGGGAGACAGGGGACCTGGGACACTGGTGGGGGGGCCAGGAACACCGAGTGGGGCCCCCATCTCCAGGGCAATCACTGAGGAGTTCTGTCCTCCCTCCCCCGGGAATGTGCCCCCCCCTTCCTGGTTCCTTCCTGCCCCACTTCCCCCCCCAACTCCACCCCCCCCCCCGGTGCTGCTCCCAGTCTGGGCTGCAGGTGGCAGCAGACCCCCACCTGCAAAGCCCAGGGCTGGTTACGTGGGGGGGGGGGCGTGACTCCTGGGGGGAGCCTGCCCAGACCCCCTTCCTTCCCTCCACCCACATGTTCGGGGTCAGCATCACCCTCCCCACCTCCCAGGCCAGGAGAGGGGACCCTGGGGAGGAAGCCAAGCTGTCCCCTGTCCTGGTTTGGGGGCACAGACCCCTGGGCCATGGGAAGTGGTGGGGGCTGGGAGGTCGGGGAGAGTGGGGGGTGGGGGCTGGGAGGTGGGGGGGGACCTGGGGGGCAGGGGCTGGGAAGTGGAGGGGGGAATGAGGAGGTTGGGGATTGGGGATTACTGGGGGAGTTGTGGGAGGAAAGCAGCGGGGGCTGGGGGGAGCCAATGTTGGGGGGGACGGGGAGACCCCTCGTGTCTCCCCTCCCCCGTGACCTCTCGTGTCTCCCTCCAGCCATCTGCACCCCAAAGTGCCGCAATGGGGGGCTATGCCAGGAGCCCCAAGTCTGCACCTGCCGCCCGGGGTTCGCTGGCCGCCGGTGTGAGCAACTGGTGCCCCCTGAACCCCCCTTGGGGCTCCCCCCAGGGCCCAGTCCCCGCCCGACCAGCGCCTCCGCCCCGCGCCCCACAGCCCCCAACGCTAGGAGGGCAGCGTCCGTGCACTGGCAGCCGCTGACGTAAGTGGGGCGGGGGCCATGGGGTGATCGGGGGGAGCGAGGGCCGTGGGGAGGGGAGCGATCAGGGGGTGAGGGCTGTGGGGAGGGGGTTGACCTGGGGGCTGAGGGCCTTGGGGAATGGGGTGATTGGGGGGTGAGGGCCATGGGGTGACCAGGGGGGCAGGGACCAGGGGGTGATTGGGGGGCGAGGGCCGTGGGGTGACCAGGGGGGCAGGGACCAGGGGGTGATTGGGGGGCGAGGGCTGTGGGGAAGGGGTGACCGGGGAGGTGAGGGCTGTAGGGAAGGGATGATTGGGGTGGGGTTAGGGCCGTGGGGTGATTGGGGGGTGAGGCCTTTTGGGTGATCGGGGACTAACTGAGGGGGGGCCTCTGTGATTCTGATCTGTTCCTCTAAAATCTCACTGCAAATTATTCCCTTGGGTCTGGCCATGCCCCATGGGGAGCTGGGGAGCCCCCCCATTAGCCTGGATGATTTTGGGGTGCTCCAGGGCCCTGGTTTGGGGTGCATGGGGTGGATCGGCTATGAGTTCTTTGGGGGCAGGGGCAGCGCAGACTCCCCATGAGCCCCCCAACACCCCCCACGAGACATGCCCCCCCCATGGGGGAACAACACGGGGGGCTAATGGCCGGGGGCCAGCGCCCCCAGAGTGGACCCCCTCCCCCGCCTGGAGCCCGGGGGGCGACGCTGTGTCTCTCTGGCTGCTCCGGGGCTATTTATAGACCTATTAAAATCCCCCCCCCCCCGGCCTGCTGCTGTCGGCCCCTATTTGGTAGCCGATGCTCTAGCGTGGCAGGAGAGGGGGCTTGCGGGGGGCTCAGCAGCATCGGGCCCCTGGGCTGCTCGGCCTCTCCCCAGGGGGCTCTGATGCCCCCCAGCCCACCTCCCAGCTGCTGGGGTCTCCTGTGCTGCAGGTGGGGGCCCCCAGCCTGGGGGGCAGGGTCTGTCCCGCTGCGGGGTCAGGTTCCCATGCGGGGGCTGATCCATGTGGTTTGGGGGGGCCCCGGCGGTTCCCAGGCCCTGCCCTTCCTGGCTGGCCGGGGCGGGGGCCCAGGCAGCCAGCCAAGGCCCTGAGCTCATGTCCCAGCTGAACTGGGGGTGGGGGAAGACCAAGGAGCTGCCCAGCTTGGCCATGGGGGGTTGGTGGGTGGGGGAAGGGGCAGGGGGGGGCAGGGGGTTCCTGGGGGGGCAGCAGGTGGGAGGCAGGCAGTCACTAGGGGGAGGGGGTTTCTGGGGGGAGAGGTGGGGGAAGGGGAAGGAGGGTCACTGTGGGCAGGGGGTGGGTGGGGGAAGGGGCAGAGGGGGCACTGGAGGATAGGGGGGTCCTTGGGGGGGGTGGGTGGGGGAAGGGGCAGAGGGGGCACTGGAGGGTAGGGGGCCACTAGGGGGTCGGCAGAGGCGGGGCACAGGGAGGTCTCTGGCCGCGGTGCCCCCCCGCTCAATGCCCCGCTCCCCCCCAGGCTGGCAGAGCTCCAGGCCGTGCTGCGGCGCCGGGCCGCTGGCCCCACGGACAAGATGGCGTCGGTGCTGGCCAAGCACCTGGAAGCCCAGCGGGGCCGGGCCGCCCGCCCCGCGCCCCCCCCCAGCACCCGGCCCCCCAAGAGCGGGCAGACCCTGCACCGCAGCCCTCGGCCTGGTAAGGGGGCAGGGTGGAGTTGGTGGGGGGCGGGCCATGCAGGGGGTGAGGGGGCAGTGGGGAGGGTCTGGAGGGCAGGGTGGGGGAAGGGTGGCCCCACCACCCTGGTCCTTCCCCTGCCACTTGCCCCAGGAAGGTAGTTGCCCTCCAGCCCCCCATTGGCGGGGGGGGGGGCTCACTGGGGCCAGCTGCCCCATTGCTGCTCCCTCCCTGGATCCCTCCCCCATGACCCTGGCAGCTGTAAGGAGCATTTAGCTAATTAACTGGCACTTTTCCCAGGCTCTGACATGAGAATGAAACGGCTGGGGGGGGGGCACCAGAGAGGCCCCCCTGGGCCCCCCAGAGCCAGGGCAGAGCCCCACCCCCCTTGCTGCACAGGGGTCACTGGGACAGGGAGTCACTGGGGCGATGCCCGGGACCTGCTCCCCCAAAGCCGGGCAGGACTCTGGGGAACCTCCCCTCTCGGCGCCGACTGTCCCCAGGGCGCGACGCGTCCCCACCTTCCACCTTCCTGGGTCTGGCCCCGGAGCCTCCAGCCTCCCCTGTCCCACTGTGCGCTTCCCACAGCGAGTCCCCCCGGGCGGGGTCCTGGGGGGGTCCAGAGGGCCCTGCCCCCCAGCTCCGCAGTCAGACGGGACTCTCAGCCCGCCGGGGAAATAGGAGGTTTATTGGACGACAGGAACATGGTCCAACACAGAGCTTGTAGGTGCAGACCATGGGACTCCCTCAGTCAGGTCCATCTTGGGGGGGAGGGAGCCCAGAGCCCCCCCTGGCCCTCCCTCCATTTCCCCAGCCAGCTCCAAGCTGAAACTCTCCAGCCCCTCCGGCCTTTGTCTCTCTCCCGGCCAGGAGGCCACCTGATCTCTTTGTTCTCCAGCCCCTTCAGTCGGCCCCTTTGCAGGGGGGGGGGCCAGGCCATCGGTGGCCAGGAGACAGGGTGTCGGCCAGTCTCTGTGCAGACGCCATCACACTGGCCCCAGGGCTCTGCGACAACCACACCCCCAGATCCCCCCACCTAGAAACTTAAGAACTGCCTAGGGGAAACTGAGGCACCCACCCAATATTCAGAGAGAACATTAAGAACAGTCCCACATTGTTGCACAAGGGCATGCGGGGAGCCCAGGGCTGGGCTGGCAGGGGCTGTGGGTCGGGAGTGAGGGGCACCGGCAGAGCTGGGGGGGGGCCCAGGGCTGGGCTGGCAGGGGCTGTGGGTCGGGAGTGAGGGGCACCACGGAGCTGGGGGGAGCCCAGGGCTGGGCTGGCAGGGGCTGTGGGTCGGGAGTGAGGGGCACCACGGAGCTGGGGGAGCCCAGGGCTGGGCTGGCAGGGGCTGCGGGTCGGGAGTGAGGGGCACCGGCAGAGCTGGGAGGGGCCCAGGGCTGGGCTGGCAGGGGCTGTGGGTCGTGAGTGAGGGGCACCACGGAGCTGGGGGGAGCCCAGGGCTGGGCTGGCAGGGGGCTGTGGGTCGGGAGTGAGGGGCACCACGGAGCTGGGGGGGAGCCCAGGGCTGGGCTGGCAGGGGCTGTGGGTCGGGAGTGAGGGGCACCACGGAGCTGGGGGGGGCCTCTCTTGTTTCCCACTCAGGAGATGTGCAGGGTTGGATGACTGGCAGGCAGGACCGAGGGGGGGCAGCTGCTTCTTCGTTCCCCTCCCCCATCTCCTGCCCCCCCCCCCGGACTTTGGCAGGAAAAGGTGACATCACAGCTGTCTCCATGGCAACTGGGCATGACCTCATGGGTGAATTGTCCCTCTGGGGACGGCCCAGAGCCCCCCTGCCCCCCCCCCCCCCGGCCAGGACACCTGGCACCCAGCCTCTGCTCACGCTGCCCCCACCCCAATGCTGAGGAGGGTCTCCTGCCCGTTGCCTGCTACATTGTCTGCAGCAAAGGAGGGGGGCTCGGCTGGGGGGGCCGCGGTCAGGTCACTGGGGGGCACAGCCGAGGCTCTGCATGTGTGCTGGGGGGGGCACGGCTGCTGGTGCCCATGAGCTTGCACTGGTGAATCCGGGCGACACCGTGAGCGGCTGGTGAGGGCAGGGCGCGGGCGGGGGGTGGCAGGGCGCGGGCGGGGGGCGGCAGGGCGCGGGCGGGGGCCAGCAGGGCGCGGGGGGCCGGCTGCGGGCGCCGGGCGCGGGGCCGGGAAGAGTTAACGCAGCCGGCGGTGGCTCAGGTCCCTCACAAACATTGTTGCTGGAACCCGGCCCAGCCCAGCTCCCCGCGCTGCTTCCAATTAGCCGCCCGGGCACTCGGTGCGGAGCCGGAGCAGAGGCGCAGGCATGGCCGGAGCCCTCGCCCGCCTGCTGCTGCCCGCGGCCCTGCTCCTGCTGGCCGCCCGCCGGCCCCCGGCCGCTGCCCAGGCCCCCGGCCAGCTGCGGGTGCTGTTCACCCCCACGGTGTGCCGCGTGCAATGTGCCGGGCCCCGCTGCGCCCACCGCTGTGAGCGCGGGAACGCCACCGTCCTCTACAGCGGGGACCACGCCGGCCCCGCCGCCCGCGCCGCCGGCTTCCGCGTCTGTGAGTACCGGGGCCACGCCCGGCTCCCCCCGCCTGCAGGGCCCCCACCCCGCCTGCGCCGGGGGGCCCTGCAGCCCCCGCCCCCGGGCCAGCCGCAGGGCTCCCGCTGGCCCCTTCGCTCCCGGCCCGGCTGCCAAGGGCCTGCACCTGCGGGCGCTGGCTGGCATCACAACTGCGTGGGGCTGGGCCACTGGGACGCCGTGGGGCTGGGCAGGGGGAGCTTTGGGGTCTCTGGCTGAGGGGGGCTGCGGGGTGCGTGGCTGGGAGCTGAGCTGCCCGTCTCGGCCCGGACCCCGGTTCCGTGGGGTAGGAGGTGCCGGGCTGCCCCACCCAGCTGCCCCGTGTGCTCCTGTGTGGGGTTGCCCCCACCTCGCCCCACCAGGCTGAGCGGGGGGAGGGGGCCCCATGCTGTATCCCGGACCCCCAGGCTGCCCTACAGCGTGGGAGTGGCAATGCCCCCCATACTCTCTCCAGGCACCCCCATGCCGTGGGGCAGCCTGGGGGTCTGGGATGCAGCATGCCCCCCACCCCCCCAGCTCAGTCACTGTCCTCCGGCCTTTCCTGTCCCTGCTGCCTGCACCGGGGCGGGGGGAAGGCTTGGGGGGCTGTGGCTGAGGAGTTGCTATGGGGCTGGGGCTGAGGGGCTGTCAGAGGTCAAGGCTGGCTGGGGACTGTTGGGGGTCCCAGCTGGATGTGGGGGGCTGGCGGGGGTCAGGGCTGGCTGGGGGTTGGCTGGGGTCACAGCTGGATGGGGGGGCTCTGAGGGGCTTTCACAGCTGGAAGTGGGGGGCTCTGAGGCACTGGCGGGGGTCAGGGCTGGCTGGGGACTCTTGGGGGTCACAGCTGGATGTGGGAGGCTCTGGGGGGCTGGCGGGGGTCAGGGCTGGTGGGGGCTGTAGGTTTAGCTCTGGCCGGGAGCTGGGGGAGGCTTTTCCCAGCCTGTCCCAGCTGCTCTGGGTCCCGCCCACGCTGCCCCATGAGCTCATCCCCAGCCCCTCGTGTGTGACCTGCCCCCCCCCGCCCCAGCCCCAGGTGGGTGTGGACCCCTCGTCCGGAGCCAGCCCCTCCCCGGCTCGGCGACTGGACCCACCCAAACGTCCGCGGGCGAAACCTGGGAATTTGGAGAATAAACAAGGGCCTCAGGCAAGGGAGTCCTGAGTTGCTGCCTCCGGACGCCTGGGTTCTCGCCCGGCTCGGGGAGAGGAGTGGGGCCAGTGGTTGTAGCGGGGGGGGGGGGGGATGCGGGGCAGGCTGGGCGCCAGGGTGCCTAGATTCTACCTTGAGTGAGGCCCTTCCCCGCCCGGTGCCTCAGTTTCCCTGGGCGTGGAGCTGAGCGGAGGCGCCGTCTCTCCAGCTGAGGTTACCCAGCCGAGCCCCCCATGTCCCCAGCGCTTCGGGCTGGGGGTGTCTGTCCTGCCGGGGCCGTGTCCCCAGCCCAGTTCCCGTCCCCTGGGACACTGCCCAGCCTGCGCCCCAGCCCTGGAGGGTCTGGGGGAGGCGGCCCCCAATGTCAGGGGCCGAGGGGAGAGCGCAAGCCACGGCCTGGCCGCCTGGGTCCCTCGGGGCACCCTCCCCCCCCCCGGCACGGCCCCCCTGAGCTCTGCCAGCCCCTGCCGAGTGCCAGACAGCGTCTCCTCTGGCCCCCCTGCCGCGTCCTGCTGCGGGGCCCCCTTGCCGGCTGGACCCACAGCCACGCCCTGGGCAGGCACCGCCCACCCCATAGGGACCTGCTGGCTGGGGGGCTGGCGGCGGGGCCCCGGGGCCCCAGATATGCTGGGAACAGCGGGGGGGGCAGACTGGGGGGGGAGCTTTCTGAGGAATACCCCCCCCCCGGGCCACTTCCCAGCAGCCCCCTTCCTCAGCGGTTCCCAGCTGCTGAGGCTGATGGGGTCCCCGGCCACGGAGGGTGTTCCCCTCAGTCCTGGGCACTTGGGGGGCAGGTGGGCTGCAGACGCCCCCTCCCCCAGCTCATTTCAGGCAGGGGGCCGTGAGGGGATGAGGCAGAGCCCCCCTCCCCGGCACTCAGCGTCTTTGCAGACAAAGCCCCCTCCCGTGCCCCCAGGAGGGCTCTGCCCCCTTCCCGTGAGGGGCTGATTTAAGCTCAGGGGGCCCCGTGCCAGCAGCTCTGAGGCTGCCTGACCCCCACATCTCGGTTCCTGGCGTCTCCTCGAGCTGCTCAGCCCCCGCGTGGGGGGGACTCGGCCTGCCAAGGGTCCACCAACGTCTGGGGCGGGGGAGGGGGCACAGCTGGCTGGGCTGGGAACATCTGTGCATTCGGACCACAGCCAGTTTGGGGGGAGGCGCTGGGGTGAGGGGGAGGTGGCTGGGTCTGGGGGGGCACCGTGGCTGGGGGGGGCGCTGGCTGGGGGGGGCACTCAGCTTTTGTGGGTCCAGCCCAGCCCCAGGCAGCTCTGGGTCGGTGTGAGATGAGCTGCTGGGTCTCTGCCCGTCCCTGGCGCGGGCCCCCCCCCGACTCCCCCCGCAGCCCTGGCGCCGGGTTCTTGGGCCCATTTCCCAGCCATCGCAGCCCAGAGGGACCCAGGCGTCCTGGGGCCTGGCTGAGCCATTCCCACAGGGAGGGAGTGTGTCAGGGCTGAGGTGGCTCCTGGTGGGATCTCGGCCCAGCTGGGGGGCAACAGGGCTGGAGCTTTGGGTCCCTGAAGGTCCCCCCAGGACAGACCCTCCACGGCGTCCTGCCCAGGGCCGGGGGACGGGGGGATGGCGGTAACTGGCCCCAGCACCCTAAGGGTTAATGGCTGAACTGTGTGGGAGGAACATCTGGATCCAGCCAGCCCCCCCCGCCCCCCACCGCCCCGCAGCTGTGCCTTTGTGCTGGGAGCCTGCAACGGCCAGACAAGGGACGAGCTGCCTCACTCCCGACCCACAGCCCCCCACACCCCGGCCCTGCCCCCTGTGGCCCTGCCGGTGCCCCTCATTCCCAACCTGCAGCCCCCCGCTACCCTGGCCCTGCCCCCCCCGGCCCTGCCGGTGCCCCGCACTCCCGACCTGCAGCCCCCCCCCGGCCCTGCCCCCCCGGCCCTGCTGGTGCCCCTCACTCCCGACCCGCAGCCCCCCGGTACCCCAGCCCTGCCCCCCCTTCCCTGCTGGTGCCCCTCACTCCCGACCCGTAGCCCCCCGCTACCCCAGCCCTGCCCCCCCACGGCCCTGCTGGTGTCCCTCACTCCCGACCCTCAGCCCCCCGCTACCCCGGCCCTGCCCCCCACGGCCCTGCCGGTGCCCCTCACTCCCGACCCGCAGCCCCCTGTGTGTCGCTCAGGGTCTGGGCCAGCCCAGCCCCATCTATCCAGACGCGCTGGTTCAGCGAGACACAAGCCAGGCCCTGTCACAGCCCCCCACTGAAGGCGCTTGGCTCCCACCCACGATGTGACCCAACCAGACCTCCCCAGCTGGCCCCTCCCACCGCAGGCAGCCCTGGGAGGGGCACTCGGGGGTGGGGGGTCCCTGGGCTCTGCCCTTCACTCCCCAATAGGCAGCAGACCCCTGCAGCCCCCCTCGGGGGAGACGCTCCCCGGTACCCCCTGACTTGCGCCTTTGCCTTGCAGTCCTGTGCCCCCTGCTCTGCCAGAACGGGGGGGTCTGCATCAAGAAGGACCAGTGTCTCTGCCCCCCCAGCTTCACCGGCAAGTTCTGCCAGATCCCGGCCCCCCGGCCCCAGCCCCCAGCCCCAGCGCAGAAGGAAGACAGCCCAGGGGGGCCGCAGCCCCTCACCAAATCCGTCTACACCCTGCCCCTCGCCAACCACCAGCAGGAGCGGGACGGTAAGGGGCCCCGGGGGGGCTAGGTTGGGATCGCCGGGGGGGGGAAATGTGTCTCCCTGGGGAGCAGGTGGGGGGGTGCAGCTTGGGAGCTGAGCTGGGGGCTTTGCAGGGACTGGCCCCATACGCAACCTCCTCCCCTTGGATCGGCCCGGTCCCTGGCTCTGCCCCATCCCCCACCCCGGCACTGCCCCTCTCTGCCCCCTCAGGTGCCCTGTCCATGGTGAACGTCCACGTGCAGCACCCCCCCGAGGCCTCGGTGACCATCCACCAGGTGGAGCGGGTGAGTGAGCCCAGCGCCCCGGGGCAGCCGCCCGCCAACGCCCTCTACACCGTCCTGGCCCAGAGCAGCCCCCACGCCAGCGGGTACCACGAGGACGCCGGCTACGGGTACTGCTTCCGGCAGCTCCACGCCGGGGAGGTAACGGCCGGGGGGGGCTGCATGTGGGGGCTCAGCAACAGGCAGGGGGAGCTGGGCAGAGGCCTCACTCCCACCCGTGGCCACGTGGGACGCTCACCTGCTGGCACTTGTGTGTGCGGAGCGTGCCGGACCGGCCAACCCCCCCGGGCTCGTGTGGCACAAACATGCTCAATCACCCCCATGGGTGTGATCCCCGGCACACGCACTCCCGCCAGCCCATGCCCCCTTGGCACACGTGTCCCCTAGCGAGTCCGCGCAGGCGGGGTCCTGGGGTGGCCAGAGGGTCCTGCCCCCCAACTCCGCAGTCAGACGTGACTCTCAGCCAGCCGGGGAAACAGAAGGTTTATTAGACGACAGGAACATGGTCTAACACAGAGCTTGCAGGTGCAGAGAACAGGACCCCTCAGCCGGGTCCATTTTGGGGGCAGTGAGCCAGACAACCACGTCTGCCCTTCACTCCATGTCCCAGCCAGCCCCAAACTGAAACTCCCTCCAGCCCCTCCTCCTCTGGGCTTTGTCCCTTTCCCGGGCCAGGAGGTCACCGGATCCCTTTGTTCTCCAACCCTTCAGCTCTCACCTTGCAGGGGGGAAGGGCCCAGGCCGTCAGTTGCCAGGAGACAGAGTGTCGCCATTTATGGACCCTGGCCCTTTGCTCTGCAACAAATTACACCCCTGCCTTATCCCACCACCCAGAGACTTAAGAACTGCCTAGGGGAAACTGAGGCAGCCCTACAGTATTCAGAGGAAACATTCAGAACAGTCCCGCTTCATCACACCCGGCAGACGCACTCCCGCCAGCGGAGGTCCCGTTAGCACCCACGGGCGCTGGGCAGCAGCTGGGACAATTCCAGCCACGCAGCTGGGAACGTCTCAGGCCGGGGGCGCCCAGGGGCCACAGCACAGCCTGGGACCCCCCCAACCCCCAGCTGGCCGTGCTGACCCGGCCCCTTTCCCTGCAGTGCAGCGCCCCCCTGCCCGGCCTGCGGACTCAGGACGTCTGCTGCCACGGTGCCGGCGTGGCCTGGGGCGTCCACGAGTGTCTGCCCTGCGCCACCCAGACAGGTAGGGCTGCGGCCGAGGGGCGGGGGCAGGGCCAGGGTGGGGTCAGTGAGGGGCGGGGGCTGGGGGTCAATGCAGGGTGGGGGCAGAGGCTGGGGTCAGTGTGGGGTGGGGTCAGTGAAGGGCGGGGGCTGGGGCTGGAGTCAGTGATGGGCGAGGGCAGGGGCTGGGATCAGTGTGGGGTGGGGCCAGGGCAGGGGCTGGCGGGGGGGGGCCCGCCCTGGGGCTGTTGGGACCCTGGGGGTGGAACAGGGAGCTTGGGTGGCTCTGGGGAGGGCAGTCTATGGGGGGCTGGGGGAGGGGCACTTCTGGCTCTGAGCCCCCCTCTCTCCCCACAGCGAATGCACCCGCCCTGGGGCGGCAGGAGGCCCCGTGCCCCAAAGGCTTCCAGCGGGTCAATGGCTCCTGCCAGGGTGAGTTGGGCAGAGCCCTGGGATGGGGGGGGCGGGCGTGTGCCCGGGGGGCTCAGGGGACCCAGCATCCCAAGCCCTTAGTTAACGAGGGGCGGGAAAGTCCCAGCCGACCCCCAGCCCCCCCGAGTCCCAGGCTGGGAGCATCTCCTGCGTCCCCCACAGAACAGCCCCCAAGGGCCCCACCTCTGTCCTTGTTCCCGGGCAGACGTGGTCCCCGGGCCTCCTCCTGGCCCTTTGCCCCAGCGGGTCGCGCCCGGCTGCCTCCCTGCCTGGGGCACCCCTCCCTGGGCGTCGGGTGCCCAGAGTCTGGGCCATTGGAGCGGCCGGTGTCTTCGTGGACTCCCCCATGGGCGTGGGGCCAGGCCCCCCCGCTGGCATCGGTCATGCCTGGGTCTCCGCGAGGAGCCAACTGCCTTTTCCCATCCCCTTGTTACACCATGCAGGGGAAACTGAGGCACACACAACCGTCATCCAAATTATGCTGAAAAATTCCCACTCAGCCACACATGGCCCCAGCCCCCTGCCCCTCCCGTCTCTCTAGGGCACCAGAGCAGCCAGCTCCCTGGGCTGGGGGGCGCTGGCTGGCCCTGCTCTGACCCCCTCCCGTTTCTCCCCAGATGTGGACGAGTGCCGGGAGGGCGGGTTCTGCCAGAACGGGCTTTGCACCAACACGCCCGGCAGCTTCTCCTGCCTCTGCCACACGGGCTACATCCTCGACTCCTCCCGCAGCAGCTGCATCTGTGAGGGGGTAGCTGGGGGGGTCCTTGGTCTCGCAGAACTGTGCGGGGGGGGGAGGAGCAGGCTCCCTGGAGTCCCAGGGTGGGGGGCTGGCTGACTCGGGGGGGCTGGGGAACGGGCCCTGGGGGGTGCTGGCTCGTGGGGGCTGGAGAATGGGTGGGGGGGCGAGGGCGGGGGCTGGCTGACTCGGGGGGCTGGGGAACAGGCCGGGGGGGCTGAGGGCGGGGGCGGGGAACGGGCCGCAGGGGGGCTGGCTCGGGGTGGGGGGCACAGGGCCATTCCCCGGCGGGGGCCCCGGCTCCCATCCGGCCGGGAGCCCCGGCAGCGGCTCCGTGGGGGGCTGAGCGCCCGTCTGTCCGCGTGTCCGTCTCTCCGCAGCCCACCACGTGATCTCGGAGGCCAAGGGCCCCTGCTACCGGGTCCTGCGGGACGGGGCCTGCTCCCTCCCCACCCTGCGCAACATCACCCGGCAGATCTGCTGCTGCAGCCGGGTCGGCAAGGCCTGGGGCTGGGGCTGCCAGCGCTGCCCGCTCTTCGGCTCCGGTGAGCCCCCGCCCGAACGCCTGGGTTCTCTCCCGCTGCTGGGAGGGGTGAGAGCAGGGGCGGGAGCCAGGACGCCTGGGTTCTCTCCGGGCACTAGGAGGGCAGTGGGGGCTAGTGGTGGTGGTGGGGAGCCAGGACGCCTGGGTTCTCTCCTGGCAGTGGGAGTGCAGTGCGGGCTAGTGGTGGTGGGGGGGAGCCAGGACACCTGGGTTCTCTCCCGCTGCTGGGAGGGGTGAGAGCAGGGGCGGGAGCCAGGACGCCTGGGTTCTCTCCTGGCAGTGGGAGGGCAGTGGGGGCTAGTGGTGAGGGGGTGGGAGCCAGGACACCTGGGTCCCCGCATAGCTGGGGGCTCTGGGCTCCTGATGCTGCCCCCCCCCCGTGCAGATGGCTTCAAGGAGATCTGCCCAGCGGGTCCCGGCTACCACTACTCCGCCTCCGACCTGCGGTACAATGCCCGGTTCCTGGGCCCCGACCAGCCCCGCGTGCCCGTCGGCCGCCAGCAGGGGGCGCGCACGGCCGCCCCGCCCGCCACGGGTGAGAGCCACCCGCCGTGCCCCTCCCCCCCCGCCCCGTCCCCCCCCGTGCCCTGCCCCCGCCATGGCCCCCCCCACAGCGACCCTCCCCCACCCATCCCCCCTTCCGCACAGCACAGCTGCCCATCCGTGCCCCTCCCCCCCCAGCACCCTCCCGCTTGCCCCCCCCCCATTGCGCTCTGCTCCTCTTCCCCCTCCCCGGCAGGCCCAGCTGAGGGGCTGGATGGGCCACGGCGCCTGAGACCCCCACCCCACCCCGGGGCAGGGCTGGTGGGGGAGGGGCAGGGGAGGTGAAGGCGCCCGGGTGTCCCTTAGTCTCACCCTCCCCCCCGTACCCACGTATGGGCCCTCCCCCCCACTCCACCGTGCTCACCCCCCTCCTTGTCCCCCTGCAGCCCGCTGGAGTGCCCAGCCCCCCGCAACCCTGCCACCTGCCCCCAAAGCTGCCCAAGAGGGGCCGACCTCAGGTAGGGATGGGGGGAGGGAGTGAAAGGGAGGGGAAGGCGGCAGGGTGGGGGGTGGGGGCGCTGAGGGGTGGGGCACCCCTGCGAGGGGTTTGGAGGAGTGTGGGGGGCTGTTGGGGGTGGGGATCCGGGGACAGACCCCAATCACCCCCCGTTCTCGGCAGAGCCCAGCAGCGTGTGTGAGCGGAACCCCGAGATCTGCGGCCCGGGGCGGTGCGGCCCCCGCCAGGGCGGCTACACCTGCCTCTGTCACCCCGGCTTCTGGCTCAGCACCCAGGGCACCCACTGCATCGGTGAGGGGGGCCGCCAGGGGGCGGGGCGGGGGGTCTCGGCCTGGCCCCCCCCGTCTGGGCCGCCGAGGGGGGCCCCCCATGCCCTCGCGTGGCTCAGGGCCTGACTCCGTCTGTCTGCGCCAGACATGGACGAGTGTCGGCAGAGCCCGCACCCCTGCGCCAATGGGCACTGCGAGAACACCGTGGGGAGCTACCGCTGCGTCTGCGCCCCCGGCTACCGCGCTGCCCCGCCGGGCACCGAGTGCCGAGGTGAGAGCCAGGGCGGGGGCCCCTGGGCGCGGGGCGGGGGCCCGGGGTCCTGCTGTCTGGGCTCTGCAGGGCCTCGGCCCTTCCGGGCCGCCAGAGCCCAGCCAGCCTGGAGCAAAGGCCTTTGTCCAGGCCTGTCTGTCCGGCCGGCCGGCTCTCCTTCCTCAGGCCGAGGTGAGCCCAACTCCTCTGGCACCCCCCAGTCCTGCCCTCTCCCCTCCCGGCGATCGGCCTCCAGCCGGGGGAGAGGCGGGTGGCCGGACCCTCCGGCTCGTTGGTTGCCAGCGTCCCGGTGGGTGGATCTGCCATGGTCTTCTCCTGCTCCGTGGAGACGGGGGAGGTCAGAGCATGGACCTCAGGAATAAGGCCACGGGGGGGGAAACTGAGGCACGCACAGGGCTTTGTAAAAGTATTGCAAAAATTCCTCCTTTGTCACCGCTAGGGCCCTGGGGCGGGGGGAATGAGTCTCTGACCCCCCCCCCCTCCACTAACACTGCTCTTTCCTCCCCTCTGCCCGAGCAGACATCGACGAGTGTGCCCAGAGCCCCCGCCCGTGCGCCCAGGGCCGTTGTGAGAACACGCCCGGCTCCTACCGCTGCGTCTGCCCCACCGGGTACCAGCCCAACCCCCCTGGCACCAGCTGCACTGGTAACATAGCGCCCGCCAGGGCTGGGCCGTGCCCTCGGTTTGGGGGGCTGGGTGATGCCACGGGGAGCAGACGGGGCTGGGTGGGGCGGTGCCATGGGGGAGGGTCGGGTGGGGGGAAGGAGGTGCGGGGGGACCAGGGGTTCACAGCCCCCCTGTGCCCTGCAGACATCGACGAATGCGCCCAGATCCCCCGCCCGTGTGCCCAGGGCCTCTGCGAGAACACGGCCGGGAGCTACCGCTGCACCTGCCCCCGGGGCTTCCGGGCCAGTCCGGCCGGCAGCGAGTGCCTGGGTAGGTGCCCCGCCCCCAGGGGTTCCCCTCCACTGCCCTGCCTCCGGGGGTTCCCCTGCCCCCCGGGGGTTCCCCTCCACTGCCCCGCCTCCGGGGGTTCCCCTGCCCCCCGGGGGTTCCCCTCCACTGCCCCGCCTCCGGGGGTTCCCCTGCCCCCCGGGGGTTCCCCTCCCACGCCCCCGGGGCTGGTCCAGGGGTTCCCCTCCACTGCCCCACCTCCGGAGGTTCCCCTGCCCCCCGGGGGTTCCCCTCCCACGCCCCCGGGGCGGGTCCAGGGGTTCCCCTCCACTGCCCCGCCTCCGGGGGTTCCACTGCCCCCCGGGGGTTCCCCCCCCCCCCCCGGGGTTCCTGTCCCCTGCCCCCACCCCCTGGCGAGCCCATTTTTGCAGGGAGCCCGGCTGCCGTTCCCCTGGGCACGGGGCCCTGCGGGGGCTCCCCACCCCCATGGCTCCAGACACAGACCTGAGCAGGGACGGGTGCAGCAGGGCCTGGGGGCGGGGCTTGGGGATCCCCGGGGGGGTCCCATCCCGAGGCCGAGCAGCTCTGATGCCCGCCCTGCGAGCCTGGGCGCTGCGAGAACGTGGCCGGCGGGTCCCGCTGCACCTGTCCCAGCGACTTCCGCCCCAGCCCCGCGGGCACCGAGTGTGTGGGTAAGAGCTGGGCTGGGGGGCGGGTGCAGAGCTGCCCCCGGTGTCTGGCGGGGCTGGGGGCGTGGGGCAGTTGTGACTGGGACAACCTTCCCCCCTGCCAGCACATCCCTGCTGCAGGGCGGGGTGGACCCAGGGGCATGAATCTGTGGGGCCCAGGGCACTTCCCTATGGGGAAGCACGCAGCTTGGGGGCAGCAGGCTGTGCCAGGCAGCGCCCCCCCCCCCCCGCTGTCGCTCGCTCTCTCTCCCCATAGACGTGGACGAGTGCCGGCAAAGCCCACGGCCCTGCAGCTACGGGCGCTGCGAGAACACGCCCGGCGGGTATCAGTGCGTCTGCCCGGCCGGCTTCCGGCTCGACCCCCAGCAGCACCACTGCCAGGGTGAGCTGGGGGCAGGGAGAGGGCTCTGGGGGGGCAGAGAGAGGGCTCTGGGGGGCAGGAAGGGGAGTGGGGGGTAGGGCACTGGATGGGATCTGGGGGGCATGGAGGGGGGTTCTGGGGGGGCAGGGAGAGGGCTCTGGGGGGCAGGAAGGGGGGTGGGGGCAGGGCACTGGATGGGGCTCTGGGGGGCATGGAGGGGGCACTGGAGGGGCAGAGACGGGACTCTGGGGGGCAGGAAGGGATAGGTGACTGGGGCCAGGGGGTCCTCTCTTGTACACTGTCGGGGGGCTCTGTGCCTGTCCTGGGGCCTCCGTGGTGCTGCCCAGCGGGTCCGATGGGACCAGCCCCTGGCCGTGCCCCCTGTTGGCAGCGATGCCGGGTGGCCCCGTCCCTAGGGACCCGGCCGGGCTGCCTGGGGCCGGGCCTTAGCCTGGGAAAGCCACGTGGGTGCAGCCCCCGGCCTCTGCTCCGAGCCCCCAGCTGCCCCGGGGTCCCCGCCCGGCCAGGCGGCAGAAGGGGCCCCGGGGGGGACAGGCGGGTCGTTAAGCCCAGGTCCCCGTTCGCCCGCGCAGACATCGACGAGTGCGAGAACCACCTGGCCTGCCCGGGGCAGGAGTGCGTCAACTCGCCCGGCTCCTTCCAGTGTCTGCCCTGCCGGGATGGGCACCGGCTCCATAACGGGCACTGCACAGGTACCGGCTGGCCCCGGCACTGACCCCTGCCCTGGGCCCCTTCCCGGCCCTCCCACCTGCAGGCGCTGGGCCCCCCAGCCTCCCTCCGCGGGCGCTGGCCCCCCCGCCCTTCCCCCCCTGATTTCCCCCCAGCCCTTCCCCCGCAGGGCTGGGCCCCCAGCCTCCTCCGCGGGCGTGCCCCCCCCCGCCCTTCCCCGCAAGCACTGGGCCCCCCAGCCTCCCTCCGCGGGCGTGCCCCCTCCCGCCTTTCCCCCCCAATTTCCCCCCTGCCCTTCCCCCGCAAGCACTGGGCCCCCAGCCTCCCTCCACGGCACTGGCCCCCCCGCCCTTCCCCCCCTGATTTCCCCCGCCCTTCCCCCGCAGGCGCTGGGCCCCCCAGCCTCCCTCCGCGGGCGCTGGCCCCCCCCCGCCCTTCCCCCGCAAGCACTGGGCCCCCCAGCCTCCCTCCGCGGGCGCTGGCCCCCCCGCCCTTCCCCCCCTGATTTCCCCCCAGCCCTTCCCCCGCAGGCGCTGGGCCCCCCAGCCTCCCTCCGCGGGCGCTGGCCCCCCCCCGCCCTTCCCCCGCAAGCACTGGGCCCCCCAGCCTCCCTCCGCGGGCGCTGGCCCCCTCCCGCCTTTCCCCCCCCAATTTCCCCCCCAGCCCTTCCCCCGCAAGCACTGGGCCCCCCAGCCTCCCTCCGCGGGCGCTGGCCCCCCCCGCCCTTCCCCCGCAAGCACTGGGCCCCCCAGCCTCCCTCCATGGGCGCTGGCCCCCCGCCCTTCCCCCCGCAAGCACTGGGGCCCCCAGCCTCCCTCCGTGGGCGCTGGCCCCCCCACCCTTCCCCCCTGATTTCCCCCACGCCCTTCCCCCGCAAGCACTGGGCCCCCCAGCCTCCCTCCGCGGGCGCTGGCCCCCCGCCCACTCTGACTCTGCCCCTCGCTTGCAGACGTTGACGAGTGTGCGACAGGCTCGCCCTGCGGCCCCCACGGCCGCTGCTCCAACACCGAGGGCTCTTTCCGCTGCCAATGCGGCCCGGGGTACCGGGCGGGCGCGCCGGGGGGCCCCTGCGCAGGTAAGTGCGGGACACGGGGGGGGCCGGCCGGGCTGGGCCAGGCCCCCACCCTGCTGACACCCCCCTTTGCAGATGTCAACGAATGCCTGGAGGGCGAGTTCTGCTTCCCGCACGGCGAATGTCTCAACACCGACGGCTCCTACACCTGCCTGTGTGCCCCGGGCTTCGCCCCTGCGCCAAGCGGCACCGCCTGCCTCGGTACGGGACCCAGGCGTCCGGGGACCACAGCACCTCCTGCGGGGGGATGGGGGAGGACCCAGGTGTCCGGGGAATTCGGTGCCTCCTGCATGGGGACCCAGGCGTCCGGGGACCACAGCACCTCATGCAGGCAGACCGCAGCGCCCCCTGTGGGGGGACCCAGGCGTCCGGGGAGCAGAGGACGGCGTGCGTGAGAGGGGAGGGTCCATCCCGCCCGCTGAGCCGTGTCTCCCTTCGCAGACGTTGACGAGTGCCAACACGGGGGGGTGTGCGAGGGCGGGCACTGTGCCAACACGGACGGCTCCTTCGACTGCCACTGCCGGGCCGGCTTCCGGGCCAGCCCCGACAAGCACGCCTGCCAGGGTGAGACACTGCGTGGGAGCTCTGTGGGGAGGGGGCCGGGGGCCCCGCTTGCTGTGGCTGGTTCCGGCCCCCCCGGGCAGAGCCTGCGCTGCACCCCCCAGATCCAGGCTCGCACATGACATCCCCTGCTCCCGGGGCGGGGGCGGGGGCAGGGCAGGGAGCTGGGCACATGGGGCTCTGCCGCCCCACCCCGTGTTTGGGGTGTTCTGTCCCCTTCCCACTGGGGTGTGGCTAAGCACCGCCCGGACGCCGGGGTCCCGCGACAGGTGCGTCCCGTCCTGCCACCGCTCTGCTGGACTCTTCTCAGCTCCGGGGGGGCGGGACGGACCCTGGGGGCTCAGCCCAGCGCCCTCCCACCCCTGCCTGTGCCGCTGACTGCCCCCCCCCACCCCCCAGATGTGGACGAGTGCCAGCAGTATGGGGGCGCCCTCTGCGGGGCCCAGCGCTGCGAGAACCAGCCCGGCTCCTACCGCTGCGTCCCCGCCTGCGAGCCGGGCTACCGGGCCGGTGCTGCCGGGGCCTGTGTCGGTGAGTGCCGGGGGGGGGGGTTTCCGGTTCTGGAGCTTTGGGGGTAACGTGCCCTGTTCTCTGGGGGTTGCACTGGGGTTGTAGCTGCTGGGCAGCCCCTGCCCCGGCCATGGAGAGTCCTGGGGGGCTGCAAAGAGTCCTTGCCCCCCAGGGGCACAGAACCAGCTCTGCCCCCCCTTAGGCCCGGGTTGGGCCGAGCTGCCCCCCCCACATTCCCCCCATGGCCGGATCCTGACGGTGCCTCCCCCCACCCCCCAGATGTGGACGAGTGCCAGGAGTACGGGGGTGCCCTCTGCGGGGCCCAGCGCTGCGAGAACCAGCCCGGCTCCTACCGCTGCGTCCCCGCCTGCGAGCCGGGCTACCGGGCCGGTGCTGCCGGGGCCTGTGTCGGTGAGTGCCGGGGGCGGGAGCAGGGGGCGTTTGCCTGGGGAGGGGCCGTGCCGGTGAGTGCTGGGCTCGAGCTTGGAGAACAGGCCATGGGAGTGGGTCCGTGGGAACCGTGGGGGGGTCTGCGGGCGCCGTGGGAACCGTGGCTGGGGGGGCTGCGGAAGCCGTGGTGACCGGCTGTTGGCTGTGTTTCAGACGTGGACGAGTGTGCGAACGGGACGCTGTGCGGGGACCACGCCATGTGCCACAACCTGCCTGGCTCCTTCCAGTGTCTCTGCGACCAGGGCTACGAGACTGCCCGTGACGGGCGCCACTGCCAGGGTCTGGGGGGCTGCCGGGGCCGGGGGGGGGCAGGCCAGGGGTGAGGGGGCTGCTGGGATTCTGGGGGTCGGCCAGGGTCTGGGGGGCTGCTGGGATTCTGGAGGGCTGCCAGGATAGGGGGTGGGGGGTCGGGATCGGAGGGCTGCCAGGGGCAGGCAGGGGACAGGGCGGGCGGGGGAGCTGGAAGCTGGGCCATGGCCCCCCCCCGCCCTGCTCACCAGCTGCCCCCCACCTCCCCAGATGTGAACGAGTGTGAGACGCTGCAGGGCGTGTGTGGGGCCGAGCTCTGCGAGAACGTGGAGGGCTCCTTCCTCTGCATCTGCCCCAGCAGCGCCCAGGAGTTTGACCCCATGACGGGGCGCTGCACCCACCCGCCCAGCCCCCGTGAGTGAGGGGGGATGCAGGGAGTGGGGGCAGGCACCAGAGGGAGGGGGGTCAGCTGGGGGTGGGCAGGGAGTGGGGGGGCACGAGGGGAGGGGGGCTGGTGAGTGGGGGGGATAGGGGTGTGATGGGTTCCCCCCGGGGTGCCAATTGGAACTGGGGTACCACTGAGCCCGCCTCACCCACCAGCCTGGGCTCCCTGCACACTGCACTTTACCAGCACACACGGGTAGGGCCACACGCAGCCGCAGACCTCAGCCCTGCATGGCAAGACTCAGCTAAGGACCTGCCCAGCTACTCAGGCGCACCCCGCTCTGGAGGGCAGACCCCAAATTGTACCATCTTGCGCAGCACAGAGATCTGCACAGCGTGAGCTCCTGAAATTCGCCCCCTCCCTCAATGTGGAGAGAGACGCAACAGCTTTGGCCCCTGGTTATGTTTTCCACACACTGATCTTAGACAAAACAAGTTTATTAATTACAGAAGATAGATTTTAAGTGATTATCAGGGACAGCGAACAGATCACCCAGCAAATAAACAAATGAAGCTTCATGTACTAAAGCGAGGGTGAGAATTTGCTACTCGTGTCCGAATTGTTGATTTAGGCAGCTGGCAGAGATTCTTGAGGGGCAGGCTGCACTTGCTTGCAGCGTGAAAACGCCAGGCGCTCCTTTCGCAGGCTAGAAATCCCTCGAGACTGGATTCAGCCCTTCCCCAGTTCAGTCCTTGCCTCTCCGGTGTTTCCAGGCCTCGTGAAGACCCTGGAGGATGTCACTCCCCTGCCTTAAATAGCTGTGGCATCGCGGGGTCAGTGGAGAAACACGGGTAGCCCAAGGCGGGGTGCAGGACCAGGACACGTGGTCACATGACCCCAGAGTGTCATCCCAGCCAGGAGTCAGAGGCGGTTTGTAGGGTCCCCGGGAAGGCGCCCCGGAGATTAGCCCCTTCTCAGGGCGGCTGTCCCCGCAATGGCCCGTCCCAGCCGTCTGGCTTGGCTGCACCCTGCCTCGCGGGAGTTCCCCGCGGTAAACGCTTGTCAGAGGTGCCCAGACAATCTTCCCAACTCGGATGCCGCAGGGACACCTTCATCCGAACAGGACAATCTGCTCAGCAGGTCGAGACCTTGCCGACGACCCCCCCCCCCCCCCGGGACCCTCCCATCCCAGACTCGTAGCGTAATTCGACTAGGAAGAACCCGGGGCGTAACTGGGCAGCGTCGCCCCAGGCCAGGTGGGGCCGGGCCGAGGGCCTGGCCTGCCCGTCTCACTGGGGCTTCCCGCCCCCCGCTTGCCTTGCAGCCCAGCGCCCCGGTCGCCTGCCCGCCCCCCAGCCCGAGCCCGAGCCTGGAGCGCCCGTGCGGGACCCCAGCCGCCAGGAGTGCTACTATCAGGCCTGCGAGAAGGTGCTGGCCAGGAACGCCACCCGCCAGGAATGCTGCTGCAGCCTGGGGCACACCTGGGGCACGGCCTGCCCGGCCCAGCCCTGCCCCCACCCGGGCACAGGTACGGGGGGGCCCGGCCCAGCCCTGCCCCCACCCGGGCACAGGTACGGGGGGGCCCGGCCCAGCCCTGCCCCCACCCGGGCACAGGTACGGGGGGCCCGGCCCAGCCCTGCCCCCACCCGGGCACAGGTACGAGGGGGGGCCCGGCCCTGCCCCCACCACCTTCCTGCCCCTAATCCTGCTCCTCCCCGCCCCCCTCTGCCCCCAGCCCTATGCCCCCCCAGTGCCCAGCCCAGGTCTGGGGGTGGAGCCAGGGCTCAGATCCAGCCTTGCTGTGAGCCCACAAGTGACAGCCCCCAGCACCCTGCCCCACCAGCCCCCCTCCCTGTCAGAAACAGGCGTCGTTCAACCCTCCCGCCCCCCCAAGTCTCGCCCAGCCAGTGCCCGCAGGTTCAGGAGCTGGGTGCTCTCCAGAATCTGCCCTGGCAGCTGGAGCCGGCCCCTCTGTGGCTCCCAAGCCAGCCGGCCCCTGTGCCCGGCCCCGAGCCCCGGCCCAGCATCCCAGATGGGACCCACCCTGCCCCCGCTCACTGTGTCCCGCTGGACAGCCCGGGGGGCTTGCCCCAGTGCCAGTCCCACCCTGGGGCTCATAGGCAGGGGTTCTCTCCCAGCTCTGGGGGGGAGGGGGGCTGGTGGAGGAGGGGGAGCTGGGAGCCAGGACTCCTGGGTTCTCTCCCAGCTCTGGGGGGGAGGGGGGCTGGTGGAGGAGGGGGAGCTGGGAGCCAGGACTCCTGGGTTCTCTCCCAGCTCTGGGGGGGAGGGGGGCTGGTGGAGGAGGGGGAGCTGGGAGCCAGGACTCCTGGGTTCTCTCCTGGCTCTGGGAGGGGAATGGGTCCCACGGTTGGAGCGGGGGGCTCCCTGTGAGTGCTGGGGGGCGCCGTGGGATACAGGAGGAGGTTCCCGGCTCTCACGCTCGCTCTCTCCGGCTCTAGTGGAGTACCAGGCCCTGTGCCCCCGTGGGAACGGCTACGCCGCACCAGGACCCCTCGCCGCACTCACAGGTCGGTGCTGCCTGGCGCCCCCTTGTGGGGGTCTGAGTGGGGGGAGGGGTGGGTGGCAGCTGGCGGGAGCCAGGCCTCTGGGTGCTCCTGACTCCCCTGGCCAGCGTCCGTCTCTCTCCAGCCACCGGGGCAGAATTGGGGCGGCCCAGGCCAGCGTTCGTCCCGGCCAAGCTGCCATGGGACCCGCTTCTGCTCTTGTCTGTCCCAGGTCCGAGCTCTGCGTCCCCCCACTGGGCTCCCCGACTCCACCTGCCCGCGCTCGAGTTCAGGCCGCGGGGCTCCTGGTGTCTTTTTGGACCCGCTCTTGGCCCGTCCGTCCCACACCCTGTGACCGACCCCTCCCGTCTCTGCGCTGCCCCCCCCACGGGTCGCGAGGCCAAGTGCAGAGGGAAACTGAGGCAGGCAGAGGACGCCAGACAGTCCCGCCATGGTCAGGCCGTGTGTGTCTCCCCCGCCAGACATGGACGAGTGTGCACTATTCAACACCCAGCTGTGCCGGGGGGGCGTCTGCGTCAACAAGGCCCCCGGCTACGCCTGCTACTGCCCCAATGGCTACTATTACGAGACGCACCACCTGGAGTGCATTGGTGAGACCCCAGCCCCTCCTCCCCCGGCCCCCCAACGCAGCCCCTCTTCCCCCCACCCCAGCCCCCCAAACTGGCCCCTGGCGCAATGGCTGCTGCTCTGAGACGCACCGGCTGGAGGGGCCGTGGGGGCGACGCCGCGGTGACCCCTGTGTCTGTCCCAGATAATGACGAGTGTCTTGACGAGGAGGCAGAGCCCTGCGTGGGCGGGGGCTGCGTGAACACCATCGGCTCCTTCTACTGCGCCTGCACCCCCCCCCTCGTGCTGGACGGGTCCCAGCGCCGCTGCGTGGCCAACGACAGCCAAGCCCTGGGTGAGTGATGCCCCCCCGGACCCGCCCGAACATGGCCTGGGCCCCCCCATATCCTAGGTCCCCCCCCCATGCTCTGGGGCCCCAGCATTGGCCAGGGCGAGTTTCTCAGTCACCTGGTGCTCAGCCAGGCAAAGGAGCAAGGCTGGGCATGTTGCCGGCCCTGGCTCTGTGGTCCGGAGCCCAACTCTGAGCCCCCCGACACTTCCCCTCTGTTCCCCAGCTCAGCCCCTGCGGGGGGTGGGGAATCTACTTCTTCGCTGGCCGCGAGGCATGGCTGCCCCGGCCGCAGGGGTCCCCTTGTCCGTCCGGACCCCACAGTGACCCAGGCTGGTCCAGCCCCCACAGCAGCGCCACCGACCCTGACATCTCCACCCGGCCTGGGAGCAGCTTTAACCCTTCGGAGCCTGCAGGGTCGCCGTCCCCAGTCTGCCAGGCGCCTCCCTCGCCAAAACGTTACCGGCAACTTGCGGGTCGTCCCCCCGGCGCCCACAGGGGAGGGCCAGACAGTCCTTGTGCGCGTGCTGAGACTCGGCACGCAGCTCCGGGGGGCTCTCGCACACTCCTTGCACATACAGAGTGACAGGGCACGCTCATCGCACAGCACGGTCAGGCTCACGCGCTCCATCACGCCCATGTGCAGAAACTGATTGCACGCTCATCGCATGCTACTGTCTGGCACACATGCGCCATCACGCCCACATGCGCACACTCATCGCACGCTCATGGCACAGCACTGTTAGGCTCACACGCTTCATCACACCCACATGTGCACACTCATCGCACGCTCATGGCATGCCACTGTCCGGCTCACACGCTCCGTCACTCCCATGCACACACACTCATCGCACGCTCACAGCCCGGCACTGTCCGGCTCACACGCTCCATCACGCACCCCCACCACACGCTCGTGGTCGCACCTGTGTCTCCCCAGACGAGAACCAGGCCGTGTGCTGGCAGGAGGTGGGGCCGGACCTGGTCTGCAGCCGCCCGCGCCTCGACCGGCAGGTCACCTACACCGAGTGCTGCTGTCTGTACGGGGAGGCCTGGGGCATGGACTGCGCCCTGTGCCCCGCCCGAGACTCAGGTGAGGGGCCTGGCCCACCGCCCCTCCCCCGGCTGGAGCCTGTCGGACCTGGGGCTGCGGGGGGGAGCCGGCTCAGTACCCGGGTTGCCGCGGAGGGGCACTGAACGGGCCAGAACCCCCCGTCGCTCCCCAGTGAGTGCTGGAGCCTGGGGTCCCTGCCCCATGGTTCCTATATCCCCCCCAGTGAGTGGCCTCTGGGGGGGGGTGGCCGGCGGCCCTGCACCCTGCAGTGGGGGGCAGCGGGCTCCCTGGGGGTGGCGGCCAGGGGCCCTGCAGTGAGGTGGGGGGTCGGGGTCCCTGGGGGGAAGCTGGGGGCCCTGCAGTGAGGTGGGGGGTCGGGGGCCCTGCACCCTGCAGTGGGGTCCCCTGGGGTCCCGCGCCCCCCAGCGAAGGTCTTTTCCCCCCCAGATGACTTCGAGGCTCTGTGCAACGTCCTGCGCCCCCCGAGCTACGGCCCGGCCCGGCCTGGCCTGGGGCTGCCCTACGAATACGGCCCCGAGTTCGTCCCCGGCTACGGGCTGCCCTACGGCCCCGAGCTGTTTGCCAGCTCCGCGGCGCGGGGCCCCCAGCCTGGCCTGCGCCCCGACTATGACCCCTACGCCCTGGGGGGCTACGCCGGGCGCCACGACTCGCTCTACAGCTCCCCCACCTACGAGGCCGGCGACTTCGAGGACGTGGCCTACGTGGACGCCGCCCGGAGGAGCCGCCCGCCCCCTACCGGCGGCCTGACGCCCCCCGCACCTACCGGCCCCGCAGCCCCCCGGACCCTGAGCCCGGCCCGGCCTGGAACTACCCCCCCAACCCTGCCAGCCCCTTCCCCGAGCAGCCGGGCCAGGCCAGCGAGACCCACGCCGGTGAGTGACGGGGGGTGTGGGGAGGGGTGCCGGGCAGGGCGGGGCTGGGGGTGTGTGGGGAGGAGCACCGGGTATGGGGGTGCTGAGCGGAGGGGTGCCTGGTATGGCAGGGCTGAGGGAGGGGTGCCGGGCGTGGGGGGGCTGGAGGAGGGGTGCCGGGCGTGGGGGGCTGCTCCAGATCAGGCCGTGACAGCCCCCCGAGAGGGCCCCCTTGGAGCAGGGGCTGGGGGGGGGTTAGCAGGGCCCGGCAGGGGTGGGGGGCTGGCACTGATGCCCTGCTGTCCCCCAGATCGGTTCGAGGGGCTGCAGGCCGAGGAGTGCGGGGTCCTGAACGGCTGCGAGAACGGACGCTGCGTCCGCGTCCCCGACGGCTTCACCTGCCACTGCCATCCCGGCTTCCGGCTGGACGCCGCCCACATGGCCTGCCTGGGTGAGCCTGCCCCACGGCCTGCCCCACGGCCGGCCCCTCCACCATGCACATGGCCTGCCTGGGTGAGCCTGCCCCACGGCCTGCCCCACGGCCGGCCCCTCCACCATGCACAAGGCCTGCCTGGGTGAGCCTGCCCCACGGCTGGCCCCTGCACCACGCACATGGCCTGCCTGGGTGAGCCTGCCCCACGGCCGGCCCCTGCACCACGCACATGGCCTGCCTGGGTGAGCCTGCCCCACGGCCTGCCCCACGGCCGGCCCCTCCACCATGCACATGGCCTGCCTGGGTGAGCCTGCCCCACGGCCGGCCCCTGCACCACGCACATGGCCTGCCTGGGTGAGCCTGCCCCACGGCCGGCCCCTCCACTGCCCACATGGCCTGCCTGGGTGAGAGCCTGCCCCACGGCCAGCCCCCCACAGCCCTGACCCCGTGCCCAGCCCCATGGCCATCCCCTCCCCTACTGTCCCATGGCCTGCCTGAGTGAGCCTGCCCCACAGCCACCCTGCTGGGGTGAGCCCCTGCCCCATGGCCAGCTCCCCCAACCCGGATTCCCTGACCATCCCGCATAGCCCACCCCCTGCCCCCACCAAGCTACCCCAATGTGGCCTGGGTGTGAACGCCCCAGGGACCCCCCCGCGCCCAGCCCCCCGGCGCCCCTCACCCTCTCCCTCTCCTCCCCACAGATATCGACGAATGCGCCGAGGCCGAAGGCCCCCCCGCGCTCTGCCTCAACGGGGGCTGCCTGAACACGGACGGCTCCTACCGCTGCCTCTGCCCCCGCGGCTACGTCCTCACCCCACCCCCCCACTCCTGCATCCCCGCCCGGCCCCAGGCCTGAGGGGCAGCTGGAGAGCCCGTGCCGGGGGGCGGGGGCAGGGAGGTATTTATTGTGTGGCTCTAGGGCTGCCCACCCCCTGGGAACAGGGGGCATGGGCCCCCCGGGGGGGTGAGTCCCCAGGGGTTGGAGCCAAGGGATTCCCCCCCGGGGCGTGAACCCCGGGCCCTTCTGTGCTGAGCCCAGCCTGCCCCTGGGGCTCAGGGAGCGACTCCAGCCGGCAGCACTAGGAGGCTGTTACCCTGTTGTCCTCTCCAGCTGGCTGACCCTGTCGTGGGGGGGGGAGTCACTGTCCATCCCCGGGGGCCTCATGAGGCTTCTCTCCAGTCAGTGGGCCCCCCCAGCCCCCTCGCCTAGACCCCCACAGCCCTCTGAGGTGATTTGCCCAGCGGCCCACCCAGCCAGGACCCCCAAGGCTCCGGGTGGGGTGACAGGTGTGGGGCTCCCCCCAGAGCAGGATGGGGAGATGGGGGGGCCCCCAGGGACAGAGGGGGTCACAGGAGGCAGGTGGCTACTGGAGGGTGCCTTGGCCAAGCGTTCCCCACGGGGTGGGGTACCCTGGGCCTGTGTGTTGCGGGGCTGGCGTCCAAGTTACTCCTCTTCCCTCCCCTGGGAGAACCAGCCTCACCCTCCCGCATAGCCCTGGGGGCCCCAGCCTGGCGGGAGGGTCTGGGGGGCTCGGGGCCCACTGGTGAGGGACGGGGTTCTCCGTGCACTTGGCCCTGGGAATGGGGCATCTGCCGGCGGCTGGTGGGAAGCGAAGAGTTAACAGCACGTGGCTCCAGGGCGCCCCCACCCCGCTCAGGCCAGCAGCACCCTGGCCCCCCCTCAGCCCCGGGGGGTTGCTATAGCTCCCGGCCCCTGGGTCTCGTCTCCCCCCCTTGTTACAGGAATAAAGGTTTTCTATAAAAGGAACGCAGCGTCTGTGCAGTGTTGGGGGGGGCGGGCGGGGTCATCTCCCCCCATCACAGCCCTTGGCCTCCACCCCCACCCCCCAACCCTTCTTCTGGGGCCGTGGGGCTGGCACCCGGCCCACATGCACGTCCCAGGGTAACGGAGCCTCCCACCCCTGGAGGCCACAGGCGTCATCCCTACGTCACAGCAGGGAAACTGAGGCCCAGGGAAGGGATTTGCCAAAGGACAGTGACTCAGTAGCAGAAAAGAACCCAGGAGTTCTGGCTCCCAGCCCCTGACCCCACTGCCCTCCCAGAGCCAGGGATAGAACCCAGGAGTCCTGTTCCCAACCCCCACTCTAACCCCACTCCCCTCCCAGAGCAGGGATAGAACCCAGGAGTCCTGGCTCCCAGCCCCGCCCCCCATTAACCCCTGCACCCCACTCCCTCCAAGCAGGGATTGCTCTCGACGCTCTGTGGAGCCCCCAGGACCCCTCTCCCCGGGCCCAGCCAGCCCCAACGTGCAGCGGGCAGGGGCGCGCGGGGTTAATGCTCCCCCCTCCCGCGCCTCCCGCCAGGCTCACCCTGCTATTACAGCTGCCCCTCAGGTCAGCGGGGCGGGGGGACGTGGCCCAGGCCTGGCCCTGGCTCCCCTGCACACGTGTTCCCAGCTGGCGCGGGCAGAGCCGCCCTGAGCCCCCCACGCAGGGCACTGCCATGGGGCCCGGGGCCACAGCACTGGGGGCCCTGCTGCTGCTGCTGGGCCAGGACCCTTGGGTCCTCCCCCACCCCCAGTGCCTGGACTACAAGCCGCCCTTCCAGCCCCCCCAGCCCCTGGCCTTCTGCCCCGAGTACTCGGCCTTCGGCTGCTGCGACGGCCGGCGGGATGCCCAGCTAAGCGCCAGGTTCCAGGTGCTGGGCACCTTCCTGGCCCCTGGCGGCCTGCGGAGCTGCGGGCCCTTCCTGCGTGACCTGCTGTGCCAGGTGAGTGGGGGCCACAGGCCAGGCAGCCCGGCTGGGGGGGGGCCACAGGCCAGGCAGCCCGGCTGGGGGGGCACAGGCGGTTGCAGGGGTGCTGTGGGGCTGCTGGCATAGCAGGACAGTGGGATGGGGGGGTCAAGGGAACTCAGCCCCTCTCCCGTTTCACCCCCACATACAGACATGGAGGAACCCTGGGGGCCCCGTTCTCGTGCCCCCCATTAGCCTGGGCGGCCCTGTCGGCACTGACTGCATGGGGGGGCCAGAGGGGCACTGGGGGAGTCCCCAAGCTCCCAGCCTGGGGGCCCAGGTTCCCCAGATGTGCCTCGCCCAGCTGCCCTGGGCTCCTGGTGAGGGGGGGCACGTACAGCTCCAGGCACCAGGCCTCATCAGGCTCCTGCCCCACGTGCCCAGAGAGGGAGCCGGGGGGACCCCAGCAGCTCCGTGGGGCACGTGCCCAGCTGGGTGCCCTTGGCACCCCCTCCCCGTGGCTCCAGACGGCTCCGGGCAGTGGCCCAGCCCTCACCACATCCTGTCTAGGCTGGGACATGGGTGATCTCACCCGGCAGCTCCAGCTGGAGGCTACACATTGCGGGGGGACGGGGAGGGTCTTACATGGGCCCATTCCCAGCCTGTCCCAACCCCCCACCCCCTGGAGTTCTGGTCTCGGCAGGTGTCACGGAGTCCCCGGGCGATGCTCTGGAACTGCTCCCCATGAAGCCAGTCAGGACTCTGGGGGAGTCGCCTTTCTGGGAGCAGCCTGTCTTCAGGACACACAGCTCACACAGCTTCCACCTTCCTGGGAGCATTCAGCCTCCTCTGCCCCTCCGTGCGCTTCCCACAGCGAGTCCACCCAGGCGGGGCTCCTGGGGAAGCCAGAGGGTCCTGCACCCCAACTCCGCAGTCAGACGGGACTCTCAGCCACCCAGTAAAACAGAAGGTTTATTAGACGACAGGAACATGGTCTAACACAGAGCTTGCAGGTGCAGAGAACGGGACCCCTCAGCCGGGTCCATTTTGGGGGGCAGTGAGCCAGACAACCACGTCTGCACTTCACTCCATGTCCCAGCCAGCCCCAAACTGAAAACCCCCTCCAGCCCCTCCTCCTCTGGGCTTTGTTCCTTTCCCGGGCCAGGTGGTCACCTGATTCCTTTGTTCTCCAACCCTTCAGCTCTCACCTTGCAGGGGGGGAAGGGCCCAGGCCATCAGTGGCCAGGAAACAGGGTGTCGGCCATTCTCTGTGTCCAGACCCCTGCACACACCTGCCCTCTAGGGCTCTGCAATGATCATATACCCTTACCCCACCCCCTAGATACTTAAGAACTGCATAGGGGAAACTGAGGCACCCCCACACTATTCAGAGGAAACATTAAGAACAGGCCCACTTCATCACAGCAGGCCCGGCATGAACACAACCCTGGAGTCCTGAACCCCCGGCCCCGTCCCTTCCCAAAGCTGACCTTAGGCAGCGGGTAACACGGCCCTGCAACCCAGGGGGCTAGGAGCCGGACTCCTGGGTTCTATCCCTGGTTCTGGGAGGGGACTGGGCTCTGGTGGCTTAGGGCAAGGGAGGCTGGGAGCCCGGACTCCTGGGTTCCAGCTAACCCCCTTCCCCTGCCCCACAGGAGTGCTCGCCCTACGCTGCCCACTTGTACGATGCGGAGGACATGAGCTCCCCGGTGCGGGCGCTGCCCGGCCTGTGCCCCGCGTACTGCGCGGCCTTCTGGCTCCGGTGCCGCTCTGTGCTGAGCCTCCTCACCGAGGACCCTGCCAGCCTGGCGCTGGAGAGCGACCACGCCCGCTTCTGCGGCGCCCTGGAGCTGGGCGACCCCAGCTACTGCTACCCGGCGGTGGTGGGCAGCGCGGCGCTGAGCCTGGGGCTGGGCCAGGTGCAGGGGGTGCCCGTGGCTGCCTGCAGCTCTGCCTGCGGGGGGTGGCCAACGGGCTGCGGAACCCCGTGGCCATGGTGCACGCCGGGGACGGCTCCCACCGCTTCTTCGTGGCCGAGCAGCGGGGCTGCGTCTGGGTCTTCCAGGCCAACGGCTCGCGGGCCGCGCGCCCCTTCCTGGACCTGCGGGCGGCCGTGCTCCCCTCACCCTGGGCGGGCGACGAGCGGGGCTTCCTGAGCCTGGCCTTCCACCCCTGCTTCCGTGCCACCCGCACCTTCTACGTCTACTACTCCGCCCGCGCCGGACCCCACGAGACCATCCGCGTCTCCCAGTTCCGCGCCTCGCCCCACGACCCCAACGCCGCCGACCCCCGCTCCGAGAGGTGAGTGGCCCCCGCCTGGGCACTCCTGGGATAGAACCCAGGCGTCCGGGCCCCCAGCCCCTGCTCCCTTCTCGGAGCCAGGGGTTGAACCCAGGTGTCCGGGCTCCCAGCCCAACCCCGCACTTTCACCCACTAGCCCTGGTCCCCTCCACTTCTGAGCCAGCCCCCCTGTCACGTAGCTCCTGCCTCCCCGCTCCATCTGCCCCACTGGTTTGGGGCGCCCCCCCTCACTTCACCCGGCTCCTCTCACCTGCAGGATCCTCCTGGAGGTGCTGGAGCCTGCATCAAACCACAACGGGGGGCAGCTGCTGTTTGGGGCCAACGAGCTGCTCTACATCTTCACAGGGGACGGGGGGCGAGCGGGGGACCCCTTTGGCGCCTTCGGCAACGCCCAGAACAAGTGAGAGCCGGGGCGGCGTTGGGGGGCCCTGGGGCCAGCATGGGGCGTTGGGGGGCCCTGGGACCAGCATGGGGTGTTGGGGGGCCCCAGGGGGCGGCATGGGGTGTTGGGGGAGATGCCCCCTTGCAGGAAATTGGGGCGGGGGGGCCTTGATATGTGAGAATTTGGCTCCCTTCTGCCACCTGGTGGCCAAAGCGCAGACCGGCTGGCACCGTGTGGGGCAGGCAGCACCCCCCAAAACCCTGATTTCCCCCTGCACCCTTAGGGCTCTGAACCCCCCGGCCCAGCCCCTGCCGTGTCTGTTCCCGGCTCCCCGCCTCCCTCCCAGGTCGTCCCTGCTGGGCAAGGTGCTGCGGATCGACGTGGAGCCGGGGCCCCCCCGCCGCATCCCGCCCGACAACCCCTTCGTGGGGCAGCCCGGGGCCCGGCCCGAGGTCTACGCCTGCGGGGTGCGGAACATGTGGCTCGCTCCGTGGACAGGGGCGACCCCGTGAGCGGCGCCGGGCGCATCCTCTGCGGGGACGTGGGGCAGAACGAGTGCGAGGAGCTGGACGTCCTCGCGCCGGGCGCCGGGTATGGCCGGCGGGCGAAGGAGGGTTTGCTACGACCCGGAGCGGTGTGCCAATGCATCGCTCGGTACGGCCGCCTCGCGCCTGGGGGCGCCGGGGCCCCACGGGCCTGTCCCCTCCGGGGGGCGGGGAGTGGGGCATGGGGCCTGTCCCTTCTGGGGGCGCCATGGTCCGACAGGCCTGTCCCCTCCGGGGGGCGGGGGGGTGGGGCACGGGGCCTGTCCCCTCCGGGGGCGGGGGGTGGGGCACGGGGCCTGTCCCCTCCGGGGGGCGGGGAGTGGGGCACGGGGCCTGTCCCCTCCGGGGGGGCACTGTCTCCACCCAGGTCAGGGGACCGCAGTGCCAGCACCTTGGGGGCAGGAGAGGGAGGCTGCGTCCAGCCGGGGGTTGCTGCCCCCAATCCCCAGCTGAGCTGCCCTCGTGCCGTGTCTTGCAGACGACGTCCCCCCCATATTCGCACCAGCTGGGGCGCTTGGTGACGGGGGGCTACGTGTACCGTGGCTGCCACAGCCCCAACCTGCGTGGCCGCTACATCTTTGGGGACTTCATGAGCGGGTAGGTTGGGCCCCTGGGGCCGGCGTGCTCAGCCGGGCTCAGGGAGAACAGCCTGCTACTGCTGCAGGCTTGTGGGAGCGCTCCGGTAGCACACTGTGGGGCGAAGGGGGGGTTCACACCCTGCTGGTGACCCATGGGGGGCTGTGCGGGCACATGGCCATGGCAACAGGACTAGCCATGGCCCAGAGGGGCTATGGGGCTGCCCTCTAGCTGCGCTCAGGGCATCTCCCTGTCCAGATGCCCCCCCGGCCCCGGGAAGACTCTGCCTTGGGGGGGACGTGTGGGGTGGGGAATGTGGCCGGGGGAGCAATACAATGTCTCCCCGGCTCCTATGGAAGGGAGTGGGTACAGCCCCCCCATGGCACCGGTGGGTGGGGTGGGGCACAGCCAACCCCATCCCCACGGCTCCGTCTCCCCCAGACGCCTGATGTCGCTGCGGGAGGAGGCTGGCTCCGGGGACTGGCACTACAAGGAGCTGTGCGCCGGCCAGGGCCAGACCTGCGCCTTTCCCGGCCTCCTCAACCACTACGTGCCCCACATCATCTCCTTCGCCGAGGACGAGGCCGGTGAGCGGGTTGGGGGGCCCAGGCAGGCCTGGCCCAGGACGCGCCGGGACCCAGAACCCAGGCAGCCTAGAGCCATGGCTCCACCAGGACGCCTGGGTTCTCATCCCAGTGCTGGGAGGGGTCTGGGGTCCAGTGAGGAGAGTGGGGGTGGGGGACTGGGAGCCAGGACTCCTGGGTTCTCATCCCAGTGCTGAGTCTGGGGTCCAGTGGTGAGAGTGGACGGGGTGCTGCTGGGAGCCAGGACACCTGGGTTCTCATCCCAGTGCTGGGAGGGGTCTTGGGTCCAGGTGGGAGAGTGGAGGGGGTGCTGCTGGGAGCCAGGACGCCTGGGTTCTATTCTCGTTGCTGCCTCTCGCTTGTGCCCTTGGGCAGGCCCCACCCTCCTGTGCCTCAGTTTACCCAGTTGCGCCTGATGGGAGCACTTGGTGGCCAGGCACTAACCCCGCTGTCCCCGCAGGTGAGCTGTATTTCCTCTCCACGGCCATCCCTAGTGCAGCAGTGCCAGCCGGGATCTTGTACCAGATTGTGGACCCCTCCAGGTACCCACTGTTCCACCCCTTTGCCCGCTGGCCCTGGCAGCTTTATGGGCAAGGAGTTGCCCCGTCTCGGTCCGACACAGCTTGGCTGGCTCCCAGGGTGTGGGGTGGGGGCTGTGCATGGCCCCTGGCCCCTGTGCCCCCGTAACAGGCATCTCTCCCCACAGGCGGGCGTCCCCTGGACCGTGCGGGATCAGCCCTGTGCCCGTCCCCGTCCAAGGGAAGCTGGTCCACTTCCGCCCATCACAGAGTGAGTGTGTGGGGCAGGGGGGCACTGGGGGCCGTAGGTCACCACTGCAGCTGGCTGAGGCCTCTGGAGAGCTGCTGGGCCATTGGGGTGTGGCAGGGGGGCAGCGGGGTGCTGGGAGTGGAGTGGGGACCATGGCTTAGCACAGGTGGTGTGGGGGAGCTAGGACTCCTGGGTTCTATCGGCGCCGACTCACTGCGAGGGGCAGTTCTGCCCGTGTGTTCTTCTGTATATGGGGGATAAACGTGTCGGGGGTGAGGCAATCCGGGGGGGGGGGCAGAGCTGTATCCCAAACAAGCCCCCCTCCCCTTTCCTGTTTCAGAATTCATCACACCGGCCCCGCTGCCCACAGGGACCACCCCACTGCCTGGCACCGGCTCAGAACCGACAGGCACAGCTGGCCCCCCCATGGTGCCTGTCACCCGCCCCCCAGGCCTCAGCCCCCCCACCCAGGCCCAGAGCCCCCTGCAGTGCCCTCGGCCCTGCCCAGCCCAGCTGTAGCTGCCAGGCCCCCAGCGCACCCGGACTCTGGGGTGCTGCAGGTGTTTCCCACACCCCGGCCAGGGCCGAGCCTGCCCCCCACCACCCCCAACTGGTACCAGCAGCTGCTGGAGCGCCTGGGGGCCAACAGCAGCCCACGGAGCCGCGCCTACTGGCCCCCCCGCACAAGGCCACCCCCTCCAACCCACAACCCCCCCCTTTCCTCTAGCCCCCACCTCCACCCCAGCACGGGGCCGCCCCCCACAACCCACCCAGCATCCAGCCCCCACTGGCCCCCCAGCACAAGGCTGCCCCCCACAACCCACCCAGCATCCAGCCCCCATCTGGCCCCCCAGCACAAGGCTGCCCCCCACAACCCACCCAGCATCCAGCCCCCACTGGACCCCCAGCACAGGGTCACCCACTCCAGTCCCCAACCCCCAGCTGCCCCCCACAACTTTGCCATCCCCTGCCACCCCTCAACCCCCCAGGCAGGAGGCTGGGCACCACCACAGGAAGATGGGGCCCCGGAGGCGGCTGGGTGCAAAGGGCCCCGCCTGGCAGCTGCCCCCTGGCACAGTGCGGCTGGTGCACAGGGGTGCAGGGCCCGGGCGGGGCCGGCTGGAGATCCTGGTGGGGGGCCAGTGGGGCACAGTCTGCGACGATTTCTTCGACGGGCGGGCGGCTGCTGTGGTGTGCCGGCAGCTGGGCTACGGGCAAGTGCGGAGGGTGGCCCGCCGGGCGGAGTTCGGGCAAGGGGCCGCGCTGCCCATCCTGCTGGAGTGCCGGACCGCCCCCCCCGGGCAGCACAACTGTGCCCACAGCGAGGACGTGGGGGTGGGGTGCGGGAACCGGGAGGGCCAGGGGCTGCCCAGGGGGAGCCGAGGGGGCCAAGCCCTGTAACTTCTGCCTCCTTCTTGCCCTCTGCGCTCTGGTGGGGGGAGGGGGGAGACACGGACAGCCAGGGTTGGGGGCTGGGCTGGGCCCTGCCACCCCCATCCAGCCCAGCCCCCTACTCCCCCCACAACTTCAGGGACTTGGGAGCCACATGGCCCAGAGGCCCCCAGGAGCAGCTGCTCAGGGTTCCCGTTTTCCTTTTACAGCGGGGGGTTTAAGAATGGGGGGGCTTCTCCCCCCACTGCTGGGCTGGGAGGTGTCGGTTCTGGCGGGGGGGGGCGGGGAGTCAGGACTCCTGGGTTCTATTGTTGGCTCTACCCTTGCCTTGAGCGCCGGGCCAGGGCGGGGTGAGGGGACAGAGGGCACAATACCACGCCACTGGCTCCTTCCAGCAATGGTTTATTCAGACTCCTGGTCCCCATCTTTCCCGGGGACCATTTGCCCTCCCAGCCACCAGGAACAGCTGGCACACACAGGCCTGGGGGCGGGGGGGGATTCCCAGGGGCGAGTGCTTGAGCCAGGGACACAGGGGTGTTTGCTCCACATCTCCCCCCACCCTAGGCTGATTCCCGGGCTGGCAGAGGGCGCTGCCCCGCGACACCCCGCGACACCCCAGCGGGGCTGAGGGGCAGCTCTTGGCGGCATGGGAGGGGCCATCACCCCCCATGGGCAGTGCCCGTCTTGCCACGCTCCATCCTGCACCTGGCGCCACAGAGGGGCAGCAGCTTCCGGCCGCGGGCCCTGGCAGATGCCTGCAGTGGGGGGCAGGCACATGCGGCAGCCCCAGACCCCTCCCTGAGCAGCGCCAGGCAAGACCCCATGACGGTTCAACCCGGCTCATTAAAGGGTTTGCATGAAAGGGATCCTGGCAGAGCCCAGCGGCTGTGCGGGCGGGGGGGGTCCTCTCCCCTCCCCCCCTGCAGGGGGACCCCCACCCCTGCTCCTCCTGGGCAGCACGGCCTGGGGCTATGGCCTGTGCTGGGCAGAGCCACGGGCAGGAGGGGCAGGCAGCTCCGCCAGCTGGGAAGGGTACAGAGCGGCTGCCACCGCATCATAGCTGGGTCCCCCCATGCCCGGGGGGTGGGACACGGGGTCCCCAACCCAGCACACCTCCCCGCCCCCTCTGGCTCCTGCCAAAGCACCACAAAGCCTCCCCCCGCCCCTCCCCGCCCCTCCCCTCCCCAAAGGCGGCACCTCGCTGGTCCTGCCGGGGTCCCCGCTCCTGGGGCTGGGGTCTCTGGCACAGCTGCACAGACAGCTGGGCCCCCCAGGGAAAGGGGCTTTTCCCTCCCTTGCGGGTGCCCCATGACATGCTGCCCCTTGCAGGGGGGCTCCGAGCTGGTGGGGGTGGAGGGGTAGAGTTTTGGGGGGCAGGAGGGGCATTGCCCCCAAGCCTCAGGCATGCATGGAATCACCCCCCCACATATAAAACTCAAACTAGGCCTGGCCAGGCCCCAGCTCAGCCCCACACACAACCTGTCACCTTCACCCCCTCGGTCAGCCAGAGCCCGCGGCGCCAGGGGGCTGGCCCAGGCTGGGCCCCCACAGCCGGCTCCATGGCCCAGGGTCCCCAGCATGGCGGCGGTGAGTCTGGGAAACAGGGCAGGTCCCGGCCACCTGCCCCGCGATAAAACCTGGCGAACGGCCCCTGAAAACGGGGGCGCGCTTATTAAAACCCTGCGCGAGCTCCCCCCGCAACATGCGGACAGGAGCCGCGTCAGCCGCCGGCACGGTCCCCGCGGGGAGCTGCCCCGGGAACGCAGCCCCCTCTGCAGCCCCCTCCGCGGGCAGGGCTGATGCTATCGGCTGATGGAGGCGTAGTTGGCTCGGCTGCCCGTGTTGAGCTGGGCGCTGGCAGGTGGCGGCTTCTCGCCCTGGGCCGGCTCCTCCGGCGGCCCCTCGGGCTGCAGGATGGGCTCCTGGTCGCCGCAGCGAGCGGCCGGCAGCAGGAAGAGGTCGGTGAGGCCGTGCAGGTCGGCCGCCTTGTGGAAGGTCTGTAGAACCAGCAGCACGGCCATCAGCCCCAGCAGCAGGTACACTGGGCGAGAGCGAGGGGGCGTCAGCCACCGCGGGGACCTGGGGGTCAGCCCCTGGAGCTATAGCGGCATTGCGCCCCAGCTGTGCCTGGGAAACGCCACCCGGCAGGGCCAGGCCCCACCCCACAGCAAGTAGCGAATAGAACCCAGGCATCCTGGCTCCCAGCCCCCCTGCTCTAACCACTAGTCCCCACTCCCCTCCCAGAGCCGGGGAGAGAACCCAGGCGTCCTGGCTCCCAGCCCCCCTGCTCTAACCACTAGTCCCCACTCCCCTCCCAGAGCCGGGGAGAGAACCCATGAGTCCTGGCTCCCAGCCGCCTTGCTCTAACCCACCAAACAGCAGTGTACCCTAGGTAATGTTCAGGATGTAGCCGTCCCCACGGGGCACCAGCCCAGCTGGCTTGAAATGACTCTAATAGACACACCGATGCTGCACCCAAGTCTCCCCAGACTGTGCCCTGTGGGGCTACTGGGGCCCCCTCTGCCCCCCCCAGGTACCTGCCCCCTAGACACCTGTGACAAAGTGAGGGAGGGGGGGTTTCCCATAACGTTTTGCATGAGCACTGCGTGCTTCAGTTTTCTCTGTGTCTGACACAATGACCTCAGTGGTGGGACAAGGGGGTGTGATTTTTGCAGGGACCCAGGGTGGCAGGTGTCTGGCAGGACTCAGGAGCCAGGTGGCTGCCAAGAGAGGTGGGGGGCAGTGACTTGTTTGCCCAGGAGGAGGAGGGGCAGCAGGTGTGTCAGGGGCTGGGCTGGGCTGGTCAGTCTCCTGGTTGGGACAGCCGGTGGGGGGAGTGGTGGAAAGCCCATGGCCTTTGCTGTAACTTCCTGCTTCCTGTGAGCTCTGTCCTACCCTGATGAAGTGAGCTGTAGCTTACGAAAGCTTATGCTCAAATAAATTGGTTAGTCTCTAAGGTGCCACAAGTCCTCCTTTTCTTTTTGCGGATACAGACTAACACAGCTGTTCCTCTGAAACCTGTCCTACCCTGTGTTCCCGGTGACTAATAAACCTGTTTTCCACGCTGGCTGAGTCACGGCTGACTGGGGAGTGGGGGGCAGGGCCCTTTGCGGGCGTGTGAGGCTCCCCCAGGCGTCCCTCCAGGGGACCAGGGGGCTGAATGCTTCCAGGTCGGACCCGGGAGGTGCCGGAGCCGAGCAGGCTCCTTGCCCTGGTGCCGGCGCCCCGAGGGGAGACGCACCAGGAGGAGGGTCCTGCCTGACCTTGCTCGGAGCGCACCCATGAGACACCCCCCCAACGGAGCTGCCCCCCCCCCAGGCCTCCCCCCCGCCCGCTGCTCACCAGTGACCGAGACCTTGTAGAGCGCCCGCAGCTTCTGGCCGGGCTGCTCGCCCGGCACGTAGTCACCCAGCCCGATGGTGCACAGCGAGATGAAGCAGAAGTAGAAGGCGTCCAGGTAGCTCCAGGTCTCCTCCAGGGCGCTGAAGATGGCGGCCGGCAGCAGAAAGAAGGCGACCAGCACGGCCAGCAGCAGCAGCAGGAAGTGGGCCCGGGCCAGCGCCCGGTGGCTGTAGCCCGACCGCAGCTGCAGGTACTCGAGGGGCCGGTGGACGAAGAGCCGGGCCAGGCGCTGCACCGTGGCCGTCAGCACCAGCATGGTGAAGGGCACCCCCAGCAGGGCATAGAAGATGCAGAAGGCCTTGCCGGAGTCCGAGAGCGGTGTGGTGTAGCCGTAGCCTGGATGCAGAGCACAGAGGAGATGATGTTACCCCCACGTGTGTGTAGGGGTCTCCCCCATGGGAAACTGAGGCACGGACAGGCAAAGGCATCCCACAGGGGTCAGTGTCAGAGCTGGGGATAGAACCCAGGAGTCCTGGCTCCCACCCCCCACCCCCACTCTAACCACTAGATCCCACTCCCCTCCCAGAGCTGGGGAGAGAACCCAGGAGTCCTGCGGACCAGCCCAGCCTTGCCCTGTGCAGCCCCTGGCTCCGTCCATCCGGCAGGTCCCAGGCTTCATCCCCGCCCTAGCCCATGTGCCTGGGCTCTGCGTGAGGCCGGCTCCAGGAACAGCTCCAGCGCGGGGAGCTGGGTAATGAGATTTTACGCCCCGGTGAGTTCTAAGCCGGGCAATCAGGCGGCTGCAGGGGGCAGTGAAAGGCTCCATTGTGGGGGGCAGCACCGCACCCGCCGCTAATCCAGAGGCAAAGCCAGGGCCCTGCGGGGGGCTGCAGGCTGCACATGACCCCAAGCGGGGAAGGGTCTCGCCCAGGCCCAGTGACTGTTTTATGGTAGCACCCAGAGGCCCCAATCCGGGATCTACTGATGCCCGAGCACAGTGACACAGGCTGGCTGACATACCAGGGTAACAGCCTACTACTGCAGCCAGCCAGTGGCGCTTCGGGGCTCCAATCGCACCGCGAAGGCACTGGGTGACGGGGCAGCTGCTGCCCCAAAGTTCCACTACCGGGGGGCAGCCACAGGGCTCCCCAGCATGGCAGGGCTGGCCCCGCGTCCCCCCTGCCATGGCTGCATCCCCAGGCCTTTCCTACCCCTACCCCAGGATCCAGACAGGCTGAGTGCCCGGCTCCTTAGCCCATCCGCACTATGGGGCAGCTGCACCAGGGGCTGGGGCCGAATACCAGGAAGCCCGTGCGGTGGGGGTGAATCCCATGGGGGGAGCCGGGTCACTGGGGACAGCCCTGCTCCCCCTCCCCCCCCATCAGAGCTGATGCCCAAGCTCAGAGCCTGCCTGTCAGGGCCTTGCCCACCCACCCCGGGGAGGCAACCCAGCCCACTCCCCTCCCAGCTGCCAGGGAGCTGTTTACTCTGAGTGTTGACCCAAGGCAGGCACGGGTCAGAGTTCGCTCTGCATCAACCGGAGCCTCCTGTCCTCCCTGCCCCGGCAGGGTGAGCCCTGCCCAGGGATCCCCCCGCGCTAGCCAGCTGCCTCCGGGCCCAGAGGTCCTGCAGGGAGTGCCCTGCGGGCCAGGACGGCTCAATCTATCCTTGGGCCGTGGTGGGGCAGAGGGGCTGATATCCTGACACACACGGAGCCAGGCAGGTCTCAGCTTCAGCACCAACCCATAAAGACAGACCGACACGGCCGGACAGACGGGCATGTCTAACCCCCCCGTCCCCCGCAGCGGGATGCACCACAGGACCTGTCCCGCTCAGGAAGGTGCCCCGTGGTACCCAGGGACAGACAGGGACAACCCAGCTGTGGGACACACAGCTGCCTCAGGCCCCCCCAAGGCACCGAGCTGCCGGACCGGGCAGCACCCAGACCCAGGGGATTGTGTGGCAAAGCCCCTGGGCACTGAGCCCCATGGGCTGTGCCCGCCCCCATGGCGTCACTGGGGCCAGGCGCTGGTAACGCACACGCCCTTGGCCTGGCAGGCAGCAGGACTCCCTGGCTCAGTGCCAGGCCCGGGCAGGGCCAGAATGCCCGAGTCCTGGGGAGAGGCACCAGCTCATGTCCGGGTTAACCCCCTCCCTGCCAGGGCTTGGCTCACAACACCCAGTACAGGGGCGGGGAAAGAGCCAGCGTCTGGGCAGCTCTCCAGAGCCCCATGCCGCCAGCCCTGTCTGTCAGGAGTGCTCGGCACTGTCAGGAGTGTAGCAGTACTCAGCCGGGCTGGGACCCGCTTTCCTTTCCTTTCCTGGCCAGCCAGCCAGCAGCTGGCTCAGCGTTTCTAACAGCGCATGGGGCCAGCCACGACTTCCCCCGGGACAGCCAGCAGGGCGGCCCGGACCCACGAGTCCCATGAGCCAGAGGCAGCTGTCACCCCTTTGGGCTAAACATCTGAAGGACTAACTGAGCTGTATGGGCTCATCAGGGAGCCAGGACTCCTGGGTTCCGTCCCCAGAACTGGCAGGGGAGTGGGCTAGTGGTTTCAGTGAGGGGGCAGGGGCTGGGAGCCAGGACTCCTGGGTTCCATCCCCAGCGCTGGCAGGGGAGGGGGCCTAGTGGTTAGAGCAGCAGCTCTCTAGGGCAGAGACTCCCAGCTCCCAGATGAGGGGAGGGGGCCAGGCTGGGGAGCAGGGATTCTGGCTGGATCCTGGCTGGACCCAGCTGTAATCGGCACCAATGTGCCCACCCCAGGACCTGCCGACCTGAGAGACCTGCTCATTTAGGGCTGGATCCAAAGCCTGTCGGAAGCCAGGGAGGGCAGGAGGGTTCCACTGGGCTGGGGGTCCGGCCACATGGACCAGTCTGAGCACTGGGGGCTGCTGGCCCTGGTGTAGGCCAGGCCAGGAATCTCTGAAGCTAAGGCCCCACAGGGGATCCAAGGCCCAGCAGCCAGCCCCCTCCCCCCTCAGGAGCACCTCTGTGCTCTAGGATTTCCGCAAGGGCCTGGGGGGGGGGGGGGGAGGAGAGGGGAGAGAGAGAGGGAGAGAGAGAGAGAGGAACTAGGCCAGGATGGAGGGGGAGGGTTGGGCTCCAGCTGCTAACTCTGCGCTTTCACTTTCCTTGTCATCTGGGGCCCAGGTGCCGGATTGGGGGTGGGGGTGCAACCAGTTCTTCCAAAGCAGCGTTCAGAAGCCCCCCCGGGGAGCATTTCACAATATACCCCCCTACACACCCCTCCCAGGGCAGGAGCGGGATCTCGCTGAGGCTCCTGGCCGGAGGAACAAGGCCAGTCCCAGAGTCCTAGCATGGGGGAAGTCCCTGGCATGGCCACTCCGTCACCATCACCCAGGGCCCGGAGCCAGCGCCCAAAGAAGCCGGCCCAGTGAGCCCAGCCGACACCAGCCCAGAGACCTTCTCCAGTCAGTTTTGCTTCTGACAGCTGGCAGGGGCCCAGCAGGCCCTGCCCAGACCTGATCTCTGCTCCAGCAGATGCAAAGGAGGAGTCCCGGCGAGCGCTGCCTGGGTGTTGGGACACTGCCACCCTGGCAGCACGCAGCATCCCGTGAGCCCAGTCACCAGGCCCAGCGCCTCGTTCACACCCCATGTCACTCCAAGGCCCAGCAGACACTTCGGAGAAAGGGCCTCAGAGTTACAGCTGCACCCGCCTTGCCTAAGGGAGCTCGGCCCAGGGACACCCCAGGCCCCCAGCAACACCCCATGGACCCAGCACAGACCTCCCAGGTCCCCTCCCCACACAGAGCAGGAAGAGGGGCACACGCCCCATGGCCAAACGCCCTGCTAAGATGCTTTTCCAAACCCGATCCCACTCTAGGCCCTGCAGAGAACCCCGTGGGTCAGGGCCTGGTGGGGCAGATCCGAGCCACTGTGCGGTGGTGGGGAGGGGCAATGTTTGGTTTGTGGGTTGAGCTGGAGGCTGTGTTAGCTGGGGGAGGGGGAGGAGAGGGCGGCTGTGCTAGACGGGGGAGGGGGGACTCTGATAACCGGGGCGGGGGAGGGGAAAGGGGCGCTCAGGCACTTTCCCTCACACACTTAACAAACTTTCTGAAAGTTTCTCCAGCTGGCTCCGGCTCTGGGCAGGGCCCGGCCCGAGGGGGGCGGGCATCATCCATCGGGAACAGCCCCCGCTTGCCCGAGCAGAGAGTGACATTTGCGTGTGCCCCCCCCCCCCCACCCCCCACACACACACACACCCCAGTCCCCCGGCGCTGCTGGATTTGTAAACTCCCAACCAAGCACGAGATTCGCCCTGGGTGCTTTAACGCGCCTGGGAACGGGGCGCGTGTGTACTGGGGCGGGTTTAAAATCACTGGGGGGCTCTAGGGACACGGCCCTGGGACCCCCTGGGGGATGGGCGCAATGGTCTGGAAGCTGGTGGGGACACCCCATTCCTGGGGGCCCCGGGGGAGCGCAGGGCGCCTGGGGTGGTACCGAGAGACTCACGCGCTGTTTGGGGGCGGCTGCCCCGGCGGGGGAAGCTGGGGAGGGCGGCGCGCAGCGGAGGGGGGCGCTCCGGCTGGGCAGGGGGGCGCCCCGGCTGGCGAGGGGGCGCCAGGGGCGGCGGGAGCGGGCGCTTACCCACGGTGGTGACCAGCGTGCTGGAGAAGAAGAAGGCGGAGGCGAAGTCCCAGCTGGAGGCGCCGGCCGAGCCGTTCCGCAGCACCGACACCCCGTAGCGGTTGGCGCTCAGCACCCGCTCCAGGAAGCGCTCCAGCGCGCTCTCGTTCAGGCAGGGGCTGGCCCGCAGGAAGGCGGCCTTGAGCGAGCGCAGCTCGGCCCGCAGCCGGCTCTCGTAGGGGCGCTCGATGGCGGAGACCAGCAGCGCGCCCAGCAGCAGGTAGCCCGCGTAGCCCAGCAGGCAGAGCCCCAGCACGGCGCAGCGGTTCATGGCGCGGCCGGAGCCCCGTGCGCCCTGGGCGCGGGCAGGGAGAGCGCAGCCCGGAGCGCCCCGCGGGCAGGGGAGACCCGGGGCCCCCGGAGGAGGAGGACGGCGGGGAGGGGAGACCCGGGGCCCCCCGGGCAGAGCCCTCGGTGCGCCCCAGGGAACGGGGGGGCCCGGAGCCCCTCGGCCGCTGCTCTCCCCCTGGCTACGTGTCCTTCCAGCGGAGCTTCCTGCTGCTGCTGCCGCGGGCTCCCCGGAGCGAGCCCCGAACCCAGAGACCCGCCGGGCCGGTCCCCGAGCGGCCGCGCAGCGACCTCTGCCTGCCGCCCGGCGGCTTCTTAGGCTGGGGACAAGCCCCGCCCAGCGGGGCGGGCTGGGACTCGGGGCCCCGCCTGGTCTCGGGGGGACCCCAGGGGATTCCCCGGAGCGGAGGCGGATTCCAGGGCCAGGCAGGAGCCTGGTCCCTGCCGGGGGAGGGAGGAAGGGGCCACATGCACCGACCTCCCCCCGTGCCCCCTCCCCGCTCATCCTTGGCTGCTCTCCGGCTCCTTTCCGATAGGGATCTCAAAGCACTTCACAGACAAGGGACCAAGCCTCCCATCCCTCCGGGGAAACAGGTCACTGCTGTTCCTATTCCACAACTGGGGAAACTGAGGCAGGGGGTTGGTCCAAGGACAGAGCCAGCAGCAGAGCTGGGAACAGAACTCAGGAGTCCTGGCTCTGAGCAGGAGGCCCCGCTCTCCTCCAAGGGAGAAAAGCCTGAAACTTTCTGAAAGCCACTCTGGAGTCTGGCCAGTGGGAGGGGACGTGTAATCAAGTGACATGGGTTTTAACACAGATGGGTGCATGGACTCCCCCTCACTCCCCCCCCCAAGCCAGTGCAGTGAGCCTGGAACAAGGGCATCTCTGTCTCGCAAGACTTGTTCTCTTGTGCACAGTAAATAGCATATGGGTGACATTAACACACACACACTGTAACTCAGCACCCTGTCTCTGCCCTGGGGGGCTCTCACACCAATCAGGTCTCACGTCTTTGCAGGCAGGATCAGCAGCTCAGGGGTCACCAGCTGGGTGACAGTAGTACCCCAGTGGCTAGGTCACTCCAAAAAGTAATTTTCCCTGGGTTGTTACTCACCCCTTCTTGTCAACTGTTGGGAATGGGCGACGTCCAGCTTGATGGAATCGGCCTCGTTAGCACTGACCCCCCACGTGGCCAGGCAACTCCCATCTTTTCATGTACTGCATATGTACACGTATGTATACTGCTTCCTGTCTTATTCACTCCATGCATCTGATGAAGTGGGTTCTAGCCCACAAAAGCTTAGGCCCAAATCAATGTGTTCGTCTCTAAGGTGCCACGAGGCCTCCTTGTTGTTTCTAGTGGTTCCCTCTGACTCACCACCCCCCATCTGTTCCCTGATCTGTGCAGTCTGGGTCAGGCACCAGGGTAACTTGGGAGTGGAGCAGCCAAGGTCAGTGAAATTGCACTGGGGTAAAACTGGTGCAGATGGGAGGAGATTCAGCCCTGGGTGTTCTCTGGATCTTCTGAGGGAGCTTTGTCCCTGTGTAACCCCCTTCCCCCTCTTCATCCTCTCAGGCTGCTGAGCAACTGTGGGAAGGGGGGTGCTAGGCAGGGACCCTGCCCTAGCCCCCTTGCTCAGCAGCGTGGAGTGAACCATGCCCAGCTGATAACAGCGTTCCTGCTCCAGGGCTTGTTCTGAGGTCACCAGCCAGGCCAGGCCAGGCCAGCACAGCACAAACTGCAAAGCGAACCCAGCCCAGGATGGGGACAGGGATTTGGTGGGTCAGGAGGTCAGAGCCTGAATGCGCCAGGAAGCTGCTTTGGGCATAAGGGGCACTCCTGGAAGAGGAGCGGGCAAAGGGAGCTGCCAGGAGGGAAGGCCCAGCAGGGTAGAGGAACTGGCAGGGGGTGCAGGAGAGAGGGCGAGGTGCCTGTGTATCCCAGCAACGCCATGGGGCACATCCTCTTTCCCCTGTTCCCAGTAACGCTGAGGCTGCTGTCTCCCACCTACTGGTTGAATTTTTCAAAACATCCTAAGGAACCTAGCGCCCCATTCCCAACCCCCAGGCAGCTTAGAAAATCCCAGTCCAAAGTCACCATCTGAACAAAACACAGAGGAACCAGCTCGACCCTGGGGGAAGGAGGGACAAGGGATAGGGGAGCAGGTGAGAGCCCTCATCCCTCTGCCATCGGCTCCTTACACTGCAGATGTGACTCTGGAAATTGCTCCGTCTGGGCCAGAGCCACCTACCAGGAAAGTCCAGTTTGGGCAGCTTTTGCAAGGAACTATCCCAGCCCTTGGCAGCCCCCTGCAATTTGTCCTGGGGGCCCCCAGAGGTGTCATGACCCTGGAGAGGGGGGGCCCTGACTGAGCCTTACAGGAACTCATGTATTAGAGGGGTAGCTGTGTTAGTCTGGATCTGTAAAAGTGGCAAAGAGTCCTGTGGCACCTTGTAGACTAACAGACGTATTGGAGCATGAGCTTTCGTGGCGAATACCCACTTTGTGGGATCCATGTCGTGGAACTTTCCAGAGGCAGGTATAAATATGCAAGCAAGAATCAGGCTAGGGATAACGAGGATCAATCAGGGAGGATGAGGCCCTCTTCTAGCAGTTGAGGTGTGAATACTGAGGGAGGAGAAACTGCTGTCCTTGGCGAGCCATTCACAGTCTTTGTTTAATCCTGAGCTGATGGGGTCAAATTTGCAAATGAACTGAAGCTCAGCAGTTTCTCTTTGAAGTCTGGTCCTGAAGTTTTTGCTGCAGGATGGTTTCAGAGTAACAGCCCTGTTAGTCTGTATTCGCAAAAAGAAAAGGAGTACTTGTGGCACCTTAGAGACCAACCAATTTATTTGAGCATAAGGTTTCGTGAGCTACAGCTCACTTCATCGGATCGATCCGATCTGATGAAGTGAGCTGTAGCTCACGAAAGCTCATGCTCAAATAAATTGGTTAGTCTCTAAGGTGCCACAAGTACTCCTTTTCTTTTTGCGAATACAGACTAACACGGCTGTTCCTCTGAAACCTGTCATTATGCAAGGCACTGCATTTAGCCGTATGGATCTGATGAAGTGAGCTGTAGCTCACGAAAGCTCATGCTCAAATAAATTGGTTAGTCTCTAAGGTGCCACAAGTACTCCTTTTCTTTTTGCGAATACAGACTAACACGGCTGTTCCTCTGAAACCTGTCATTATGCAAGGCACTGCATTTAGCCGTATGGTCTGATGAAGTGAGCTGTAGCTCACGAAAGCTCATGCTCAAATAAATTGGTTAGTCTCTAAGGTGCCACAAGTACTCCTTTTCCTTTCAGAAGCTGCTTCCTGGGAAACAATGTCAAGATAAAGAGCTGAAGCAGCATCAAACACAGCACGTCCCCCATCATTCAATTCCTGAGCAGCCAGGCTGCCTCTTTGAAATGCAGATAGACTGGATAGTTGTGTGGATAGTTGTGAACAGAGGAGAGATGGCCTGCAAAGCTTGGCAATTAACCTCAGAAATGGGCATTAAACGACCTGTGTTTACCGGGCGGGACGGGCTACTCAGCACTAAATGTTAATCTGGATTTGATAAATTCAAGTTAAGTGGTGTTCATACCAACATGGGTGATGGAAACTCAGGTAAACGTGGAGTTTTCAGTTTGTGACTCACTATTTTAAGTTTCCTCTTTTCAACTAAAAAGAGGAAGCTGTAATGCCCCTAAAACCCCTCACAGCAAAGCCCCTTGTGGGCTGAAGTTGGGGGGAACTTCCCTGTGGATGCAGGTTGCAGAATGGTCCACTGAAGGCATTCTCACCTCTTCCAAGTTCCATTGGACTCACAGCAGTGGATACCAGGGCTAGAGAAGGGCTAGTGGGCTAGGTGGACCCCAGGCCTGACCCAGCCTCACAGTTCCTATGAGAACGGAGGAAACACCTTGTATCACCACCAAGGCGGCCGTCCCGGCGTGCCTGGCTCTGTCGTACGGCGCGAGCCAGGGAGGCGGCCGTCCCGGCGTGCCTGGCTCTGTCGTACGGCGCGAGCCAGGGAGGCGGCCGTCCCGGCGTGCCTGGCTCTGTCGTACGGCGCGAGCCGGGGAGGCGGCCGTCCCGGCTTGCCTGGCTCTGTCGTACGGCGCGAGCCGGGGAGGCGGCCGTCCCGGCGTGCCTGGCTCTGTCGTACGGCGCGAGCCGGGGAGGCGGCCGTCCCGGCGTGCCTGGCTCTGTCGTACGGCGCGAGCCGGGGAGGCGGCCGTCCCGGCGTGCCTGGCTCTGTCGTACGGCGCGAGCCGGGGAGGCGGCGGTCCCGGCCGGCCTGGGTCCGTCGTTCGGCGCGAGCCGGGGAGGCGGCCGTCCCGGCGTGCCTGGCTCTGTCGTACGGCGCGAGCCGGGGAGGCGGCCGTCCCGGCGTGCCTGGCTCTGTCGTACGGCGCGAGCCGGGAGGCGGCCGTCCCGGCGTGCCTGGCTCTGTCGTACGGCGCGAGCCGGGAGGCGGCCGTCCCGGCGTGCCTGGCTCTGTCGTACGGCGCGAGCCGGGGAGGCGGCCGCCCGGCGTGCCTGGCTCTGTCGTACGGCGCGAGCCGGGGAGGCGGCCGTCCCGGCGTGCCTGGCTCCGTCGTACGGCGCGAGCCGGGGAGGCGGCCGTCCCGGCGTGCCTGGCTCCGTCGTACGGCGCGAGCCGGGGAGGCGGCCGTCCCGGCGTGCCTGGCTCCGTCGTACGGCGCGAGCCGGGGAGGCGGCCGTCCCGGCGTGCCTGGCTCCGTCGTACGGCGCGAGCCGGGGAGGCGGCCGTCCCGGCGTGCCTGGCTCTGTCGTACGGCGCGAGCCGGGGAGGCGGCCGTCCCGGCGTGCCTGGCTCTGTCGTACGGCGCGAGCCGGGGAGGCGGCCGTCCCGGCGTGCCTGGCTCTGTCGTACGGCGCGAGCCGGGGAGGCGGCCGTCCCGGCGTGCCTGGCTCTGTCGTACGGCGCGAGCCGGGGAGGCGGCCGTCCCGGCGTGCCTGGCTCTGTCGTACGGCGCGAGCCGGGGAGGCGGCCGTCCGGCGTGCCTGGCTCCGTCGTACGGCGCGAGCCGGGGAGGCGGCCGTCCCGGCTGGCCTGGCTCTGTCGTACGGCGCGAGCCGGGGAGGCGGCCGTCCCGGCGTGCCTGGCTCTGTCGTACGGCGCGAGCCGGGAGGCGGCCGTCCCGGCGTGCCTGGCTCTGTCGTACGGCGCGAGCCGGGGAGGCGGCCGTCCCGGCTGGCCTGCCTCTGTCGTACGGCGCGAGCCGGGGAGGCGGCCGTCCCGGCGTGCCTGGCTCTGTCGTACGGCGCGAGCCGGGGAGGCGGCCGTCCCGGCGTGCCTGGCTCTGTCGTACGGCGCGAGCCGGGGAGGCGGCCGGCCTGGCCGGCCTGGCTCCGGGGGCCGGCTGCACGCTCAGGGTGCCCTGTCAGGGTGCGGGGGCTCGGAGGCTCTGGGGCCGGGCTGGGACAGGCCGGGGCCTGCAGGCTCCGGGGCAGGGCGCCCGGCTGCCCACTGTGGCTCCTCGGCCTCTCGGGAGGCCTGAGGCCCCAGGCCCAGGTTCCCCCCAGGGCCGAGCTGACGCCCAGGCTGGGCGGGCGACTCCAGCCATGGGGTCCCAGCCCCAGGCCCTGGGGGGAAGGGGGCTCCTGGGCCTGGGCCTACAGCACTAGGGAAAGCCTGAGCTAGAGTAGCCGGCCGCCATCTTGGAAAGGGGCATCGACAGGGACGTGCAGCCACGTGACTGCCCCGCAGTCGCCATCTTGGGCAGGGATGGGGGGCGGGGCATTTCGGGTCGCGCGACCGCACACGCAGCGCGGCGTCTTGGCAACGTGACCTTCCGGCGCATTGTCCAACGCACGCGCCACGACACTGCGCCGGGCAACGGGCCCCCGCCGCTTGCCCAATGAGCGCGGCGGCGGCCCGGCACGTGACGCCTCGGCCCGACCCGTGATTGGTAGGGCGGCGGCGGCGCGCGCTGATTGGCGGCGCCTGCGAACAGTGCCGTTCTCCAATTGGTCGGTTGGCCCTAAGTGGGCGGGGCTTCCCTTAAAGCGGCAGCGAGGCCCGGCTGACAGTTCGCCGGGGCGGAGCGCGATGAACCCAGATGGCGGCCCCGGCGGGGGGCTGCGGCAGCGTCAGTGGGGGAGGGGGTGACGGGGGCTGTCTTGGGGGGGAGGGGCGGCGAGGGGCTGTCCGGGGGGAGGGGGCGGCGAGGGGGTGACGGGGGGGGGGGGCGGCGAGGGGGGTGTCGGGGCGGCAGCGAAGGGCTGTCCGGGGGGGAGGGGCGGCGAGGGGGTGTCCGGGGGGGAGGGGCGGCGAGGGGGTGACGGGGGGTGTCTCGGGGGGAGGGGGGGGGAGGGGCGGCGAGGGGGTGACGGGGGGGGGGGAGGGGCGGCGAGGGGGTGACGGGGGGGAGGGGCGGCGAGGGGGGTGTCCGGGGGGAGGGGCGGCGAGGGGGTGACGGGGGCTGTCCGGGGGGAGGGGCGGCGAGGGGGGGGGTGTCGGGGGGAGGGGCGGCGAGGGGGTGTCCGGGGGGGAGGGGCGGCGAGGGGGTGACGGGGGGGGAGGGGCGGCGAGGGGGGTGTCGGGGGGGAAGGGCGGCGAGGGGGTGTCGGGGGGGCAGCGAAGGGCTGTCTGGGGGGAAGGGCGGCGAGGGGGTGACGGGGGCTGTCTTGGGGGGGAGGGGCGGCGAGGGGGGTGTCCGGGGGGAGGGGGTGTCGGGGGGGCAGCGAAGGGCTGTCCGGGGGGAGGGGCGGCGAGGGGGTGTCCGGGGGGAGGGGCGGCGAGGGGGTGACGGGGGCTGTCTTGGGGGGGAGGGGCGGCGAGGGGGGTGTCGGGGGGGAAGGGCGGCGAGGGGGTGTCGGGGGGGCAGCGAAGGGCTGTCCGGGGGAGGGGCGGCGAGGGGGTGTCCGGGGGGAGGGGCGGCGAGGGGGTGACGGGGGCTGTCTTGGGGGGGAGGGGCGGCGAGGGGGTGACGGGGGGAGGGGCGGCGAGGGGGTGTCGGGGGGGAAGGGCGGCGAGGGGGTGTCTGGGGCGGGTTCAGGCCCCCTGGCCGTGGGGCACCTCCCTGCAGTGGCCTTTGGCGGTTGCTGCCTGCGAGCTCGTTGGTGGGGTGAGGTTGGGGGGTCTCGCCCTGTCCCCAGGGGCTGGCTGTCTCGGGGACAGCCCCATGGCTGGCATCGCTGGAGGGCCCCTCGTGGGCAGCCCCAGCAGAGAGGCCCGTGGCTGAAGGGGCTGAGGAGAGCCAGCTTCTCCAGCCTCTAAGCCGATCGCGTGGGGGTGCCCCCCTGTGCCAAGTCCCTGTGCCCTGGGGTCCCATCACCCCAACTCTCCTGCTGTCTCCTTCCCGCAGCCTCCAAGCGCCGGCTGCCGGCCGCCTCCTCCAGCATGGCTGATCCTCACCAGCTGTTCGATGACACCAGCTCCAGCGCCCTGGCCAGCGGCTACGCTGCCCCGCAGTCCCCCCCTGTGGGCTACCCTGCCCAGGGCTCCTTCCTGGCCGAGCCCATGTCCAGCTTCGCCATGGCCTACGGCAGCACCCTGGCCAGCCACAGCAAGGAGATTGTGGACAAGAACGTGAGTGTGGGGCCAGGGGGAGGGGAGCGGGGGGAGACGTCCCATCCACAGCGCGGCCTCCAGTTTGTCCTGTTGCTGGGACAGAAGACGCAGTGGCTGCTTCTCTCTGTCCCTACCCTCTCCTCGTGATGCCCCCTGCTCTGCACTTGGTGCTCCCCCACACACATGGGGCCCCCCATCCTACACCCCTGCCCCCCTGTGCCCTGAGCTGCTTTCCTCTCCTTGCAGATTGACCGCTTCATTCCCATGACTAAGCTGAAATATTACTTTGCCGTGGACACTGTCTACGTGGGCAAGAAGCTGGGGCTGCTTCTCTTCCCGTTCATGCACCAGGTAAGCCCAGAAAGGCTGAACCTAGCTGGGTAACTGGAGCCACGGCCTTGTTCGTTAGCAGGTTGGGTGATGGGTGTTGCAAAGGGCTCTTTAGCCTGCAAACTTCAAATGGAGGATTGAAGAGTCCAGGACGTCACCTCCACCATCCACCTCCAAAATCAGCTGGCGCCTAAGTCTGAGTGCGCCTACAGGGTTGTGCGGGTCGTCTGCATCTAGGGCCACTCCGCTCTCTGATGTGGCGCACACTCTCTGGATGGTCAGTCTGACTCCACAGGGCCCATTCTGCAGCCCCTTACAACCACTCTGCTGTAGTGTTTAACACCCATGGGAGGGGGGACGCTGGCGGTAGGGCTGTGCTGCCGGCAGGGCTCAGGGTGATGCAGCACCCCCAGACCCGCACACTACATAAGTGACTCTCCAGTGCAGGGCTATTGGCCCCGGGGCGCTGGCTCCTGGTTGCTGAGTGCCGCACCGAGGGACACTCGCTGGGTGGCCTGGGTTTAAAGCTAAACGAGCTTCCTGGCTGGCTCGTACTGTGAGGCCGGTTCAGGAGGATGGGCACCATGCAGAGATTGCCCTCCCTTGCCAGCTCACCCCTTCTGGCTCTGCAGCACTCGGGTGTCTGGGGTTCCCCTCACAGGTGTGTCTCTTGGCAGGACTGGCAGGTGCGATACCAGCAGGACACACCTGTAGCACCACGGTTTGACATCAACGCCCCTGATCTCTACATTCCAGGTACCTTGCTGGGCAGCAGCGCGTGGTCTGATTTGACCCCGTGCAGAGGGCAGGCCCTCGTCCTTCCGGGCTTGTAGGCTGAGTCCCGCAGTCCCTAGCCAATGCAGCACTGGGCGCTGGGTGTTATGGCCTGACTTTCAGGGGTGCTTGCATGGGAGGTTGAAAGTTGCACAGGTCACTGTGGATCCGAGCAGCAATATTGTCACGGAGTCCCTGGGCGATGCTCTGGAACTGCTCCCCATGAAGTCAGTCAGGACTCTGGGGTAGTCGCCTTTCTGTGAGCAGCCTGTCTTCAGGACACACAGCTCACACAGCTTCCACCTTCCTGGGTCTGACCTCGGAGCATTCAGCATCCTCTGCCTCTCCGTGCGCTTCCCACAGCGAGTCCGCTCAGGCGGTGCTCCTGGGGAAGCCAGAGGGTCCTGCACCCCAACTTCGCAGTCAGACGTGACTCTCAGCCAGCCAGTAAAACAGAAGGTTTATTAGACTACAGGAACATGGTCTAAAACAGAGCTTGCAGGTGCAGAGAACGGGACCCCTCAGCTGGGTCCATTCTGGGGGGCCGTGAGCCAGACAACCACGTCTGCACTTCACTCCATGTCCCAGCCAGCCCCAAACTGAAAACCCCCTCCAGCCCCTCCTCCTCTGGGCTTTGTTCCTTTCCCGGGCCAGGTGGTCACCTGATTCCTTTGTTCTCCAACCCTTCAGCTCTCACCTTGCAGGGGGGAAGGGCCCAGGCCATCAGTTGCCAGGAAACAGGGTGTTGGCCATTCTCTGTGTCCAGACCCCTGCACACACCTGCCCTCTAGGGCTCTGCAATGATCATACACCCTTACCCCACCCCCTAGATACTTAAGAACTGCCTAGGGGAAACTGAGGCACCCTCACACTATTCAGAGGAAACATTAAGAACAGTCCCACTTCGTCACATCTCTCCCCCCTTCGAGATCGAACTGAGCGGGGTCACTTTAGCCGGTGACCTGGGGAAGTTCGAAGCCACCAACGTTCCCATGGATGCCCCAGCATCTCTCCCATTCCTTGGTAGGAGTTACACCAGGCCCTTCCATTTTCACACCCTCCCTTAGGTCAGGGGTGGTCGATAGCACTCGCAGGCCGCATGTGGGAAGGTTTATGCAGCCCATGCCCTTTGGCCACCCCAAGAATGTCTCCCCATTGACCATCACCTTCTGCTCCCACTGGAGGTCCGAGGGGCCTGGCCCCAGGAAACTCCACACCGACATATAGTTTGGGGTCAGGAGTGGGAGCCTGTCCACATCCCCAACCATCTGGCTGACGGAGTCTGTGGCCTTGGGACCCAGCAAGGGAGCTAGACACCGGGGCTTTTCCGCAGGGTCCCCTTGGTTCAAATCGCCAGCCTGCTCAAAGGCAGTGAGGTGGGCATCCACACCCCCCCCTCCTTAACCAGGGGCAGTAATTTAGTCTCGAGGTTCCCTGCGGAACTGGCCCCCCGGGATCTATCCCCACTCACCCCGGGGAGGTCCCCTAGGCCTCTCCGCTCCCCCACCGCCAGTTCATGCTGCTGCTGCTGCTTCTGCAGCTCTTTCTCGGGCTCTCGCTGTCTCCCACGGTCCTCTTGCTCTCTCAGACTCAGCTCCAATCCCGTCCGTCTTGATCCCCCGATGGGGAACCCGATCGTGAAGACCCTCGTCTGGTCGGGGACAGGAGTCTTGGCGATGCTTGGCTCCCACTCCAGCTGCTCCCAGATCCTGCTATAGCCCCAGTTGGGGTCAGGAATCTGTTCCTTAGAGCGGTCATCCTCCTCCAGCTGCACGATTAACTCTGCTTTGGTGAACTTTCCAACGCTCAACCCTCTCTTTCTGCACAGGGTGACAATGTCCTTCTTAAGGAGACGGTGACAGGCCATCACTCCGCTCCTCCCAAGTTGTTGTGGACTCACAGGCCCATGTGTTCTCAGCTCCCCACGGTTTCCAGGGAGAACCCCTAGTGTGCCAGCCCTTCTCGAGGTCACCACCTCTTTGCCAGGGTCGAGCTGCAGACTCCTCCGCCCCTGAGACTGCTCACTGCAGTCCCCAGGGGGACCCCATTACTGCACAGTACTTCTCGCTGGTCACACACTCCCAGGGGTTAACCGCCCCCCGAAACCGCTCCTTTCTGAGCCTTCAGCAGGCCTGGTCCTCGGCAATCCCCCTTCGTGTTACTGCTCCCCAGTCACTTACTGCAGGAAGCGCCATCCACGGGGTGCAGTACATCCCACCGCTGCCACCAGTTGTCGCGGAGTCCCTGGGCGATGCTCTGGAACTGCTCCCCATGAAGTCAGTCAGGACTCTGGGGTAGTCGCCTTTCTGTGAGCAGCCTGTCTTCAGGACACACAGCTCACACAGCTTCCACCTTCCTGGGTCTGACCTCGGAGCATTCAGCATCCTCTGCCTCTCCGTGCGCTTCCCACAGCGAGTCCGCTCAGGCGGTGCTCCTGGGGAAGCCAGAGGGTCCTGCACCCCAGCTTCGCAGTCAGACGTGACTCTCAGCCAGCCAGTAAAACAGAAGGTTTATTAGACTACAGGAACATGGTCTAAAACAGAGCTTGCAGGTGCAGAGAACGGGACCCCTCAGCTGGGTCCATTCTGGGGGGCCGTGAGCCAGACAACCACGTCTGCACTTCACTCCATGTCCCAGCCAGCCCCAAACTGAAAACCCCCTCCAGCCCCTCCTCCTCTGGGCTTTGTTCCTTTCCCGGGCCAGGTGGTCACCTGATTCCTTTGTTCTCCAACCCTTCAGCTCTCACCTTGCAGGGGGGAAGGGCCCAGGCCATCAGTTGCCAGGAAACAGGGTGTTGGCCATTCTCTGTGTCCAGACCCCTGCACACACCTGCCCTCTAGGGCTCTGCAATGATCATACACCCTTACCCCACCCCCTAGATACTTAAGAACTGCCTAGGGGAAACTGAGGCACCCTCACACTATTCAGAGGAAACATTAAGAACAGTCCCACTTCGTCACAAATATAGATTAGTTTGCTCCCTGAAACCTTCCCTGGTTTCCGAGGCCTTGTCTACAGGAGGAAGCTGAGCGGCCTGGCTACGGTGGGGGAATTATTCTGCTGTTGCCAACTCTTCGGGAGTAAAGGCAGCAGAGTTACTCCCTCCACCATCTCGGAGTTTCCTGTGGGCATTGGGAGCCCTCTCAGCTTAGTAGCCCAGGTTGGCATCTCCCATGTGCTCTTTCAGGGAGGTCTATGCATTCCCTATCCCCTGGGCCGGACTGGTCCCCTCTGCATGAGAGCAGTGACTCTGGGACTCACCAGCTTGTTTCTCTTTCCTTTGCAGTCATGGCTTTCATCACGTACATCCTGGTGGCTGGCTTAGCACTGGGAACCCAGAACAGGTGAGGAGAGTGCTCCCCAGGCATAGGCGCCGACTCGTGGATGCTCCGAGGCTGGAGCACCCACAGGAAATCTTGGTGGGTGCTCTGCACCCACTGGCAGCTCCCCACCCCAGCTCACCTCCGCCTCTCCCCCTGAACGCGCCTTCCCTGCTTCTCCCAGCGCTTGCTGCCACGGAACAGCTGTTTCATGGCGAAACAAGCTGAGGGAGGGAGGCAGGAGGAGTGGGAATGTGGTGCACTGGGGGGGGGGCCAAGGCAGGGATTTGAGGAAGGGGCCCAATAGGGACAGGGAGGGTGCGGAGTTGGGGCAGGGACTTTGGGGCAGGGGTTGGAATGGGGGTGGGGTGGGCAGGGGTGGCGCGAGCACCCACTGGCGCCAGAAGAAGCTGGCATCTATGTCCCCAGGTGCAGCAGCAGCCTTGGGTCTGTGCTGTCCTGAGGACTCGGATCTGCCCCGTCTGCGTGTGGTTCTCCTGAGCGTGGGGGTGCAGCAGCCTCGTGCTGGGGGTGGGCGCTTTCCCAGACCCTGCGCCAAAGGTCAGGCTGATCCATGTGAACAGAAGCTTGACCAGGCTAAAACTGGCAGCTGCTGAGTGCCCACATCCTTTCCAGGAATGCCCTCCAGGTGGGGGATTTTAGTGGGAGTGGGGGGACCCCAGCCTGAACTGGCCCCACCTTCCCAGGTATGTCAGTTGGGAACGCCATGCTCCTGTGCCTGGAGCAGACCGTCCTGTGGTGGCCTCTAGCCAGCAGTACAGGAGCTCTCTGCGTCTCTCCGTGCCCAGAGGGAGGGCGTGGGGTCAGCCTGACCCTGCTGCTGGTGCCTGGCATGTGGCCGTGCTCCGCTGATCAATGGCCTGCAGGCTCCCCTGGGGGCTGGGAGGTGGCCGCATGGGAAGCATTGTAGGTCCTGCCAAGCCTAGGCTGCCAGGAACTCGCCCATCGGCAGGCTGGCACCCTTTGACCCTCCCAGTCCCAGCTGGTGCCCTTTCACCGTCCTGACCCCTGTGCAAATGCAGGTTTTCTCCCGACATCCTGGGCTTGCAGGCCAGCTCAGCCCTGGCCTGGCTGATCGTGGAGGTGCTGGCCATCCTGCTGAGCCTCTACCTGGTGACTGTGAACACGGACCTCACCACCATCGACCTCGTCGCCTTCTCGGGGTACAAGTACGTCGGGTGAGTGCTGGCCCCTCCCCAGCCTGGAGCTGCAACCACTGCACTCGAATGGGGGGAGGAGACCAGCCCTGTGCCCTGCAGGGAGAGGGGATCGTGCCCCAGTCTCTGAGCGGCAGAGGGGCTGGGGTCAGCGCTCTGGTGCTGACGCAGATGTGCAGTGTGTGGAGTTAAAGGGGCCTGACTCTGGGTGTGGGTCCAGATCTCTGTCGAATTAAATTAGCGCCAGGGGGATGCGTTTGGAAACGTGTCCCTCCCCCCCAGCCCGTGAGTGACCACGCTGCAGTGGGGTGCTGGGCCAGGGCCCTGGCACGGCTCTGCTACCCCCAGGGCTAGGGGTGGCACCCCACACCCGCTCACTTCGTGCCTCTCCTGCGGCAGGATGATTGTCGGCATCGTGTCCGGCCTGCTCTTCGGCAAGACTGGCTACCACCTGCTGCTGAGTTGGTGCTGCCTCTCCATCTTCGTCTTCATGGTAAGGGCTGGCTGCGGCAAGGGGACAGGTGGCCTGGGTCAGTCACGGGGTGGGGTCTAGCTCTGGGGCTGGCTACTGGTTTGGCTGGTTCTGACCTCGGGGCTGCGCTGCTGGTGCTGAGCCCCGTGGAATCAGCGTCTCCCCTGCGCTTCCTCTCCGGCTGCGGGAGCTGAGGAGAGCGTCCCAGGCCGGGCCCTTGTCCTGGGGACCAACCGGCTAGCGGTGCCCAGTATATTGGGCTCGGACGGCTGGGTGGGGAAGAAGCGGCAGCATGTGGCCAGTGGCCCAGGGGTGCTCCCACCAGGCCCTGGCCTAGCACTCTCCCCTCTCCCCCCAGATCAGGACGCTGCGGCTGAAGATCCTGTCGGAGGCGGCTGCGGAGGGCGTGCTGGTGCGGGGGGCCAAGAACCAGTTGCGCATGTACCTCACCATGGCTATCGCCGCCCTGCAGCCGCTCTTCATGTACTGGCTGACCTTCCACCTCGTCAGGTGATGGGGCCTCCCTGATGCATCTCCTCTCCAGCTGCCCGGGACCCTGCCCCTCGCTCCCCAGCCGCGCTCCCTGCCTGGGGCCTGTTCACAGGCAGGCTGATGGCGGGGGTCAAACAACGCCGTGTCCGCTCCAGCTTGTGCTGCGGTGACGTCCTTGTGTTAGGGTTAGCGGGGTGTGGGGGGGGGCTCCTGGCCAGGATCCTGGGGCGGGGTTCCCTCTCTGATGGGTTTAGCCCTTTAGTAAAGAGACACTGCAGGGTTTTGTTTAAGGGCCCCAATCTGGGGCGTGGAAGGGATCTTGCTGTCAACGGGGGAGGTGCTGCCCTTGGGGGAGGCAGCTGGAGCTTGGCATATTCCAAGTGACTTGTCTCTGAGAAGGGGACCAGCTCGGGAGATCTCAAGCTCTGCCCTGGCAGTGTCTGTGGAGGGGTGGGACCCTCAGCTGGGCAGTGTCTGAGGGGTGGGGGTGTCCCTTACCCTCCAGTGCCTCCTCCGTGGGCAGCTGTCTTCCTGCAGGGCCGTGAAGAACCAGCTGCCTGGAGCTCTGTGTGGGCCAGCCCTGCGCCACCTCGGGGTCTGCCTGGTTCTGCACCAAGCTGCTGGGGTGGGGCTAGTTTTGCATGTGAAATGCCAGCCTGCGTTCCTGCCTGGAGCCGCCCCCACCTCCAGGCTGGGCGGCACCAGCCCAGGGCTCACGGGGTGCTGGGGGCACGTCTGGCTGTCTGGCCATTTTGAACCAACAGCTGTTTTTTGTTTCTCTCGGTGCTGGCCGGGGGTGGCTGCCAGGCTGGGGCCTAGGCCGCTGGGGCCAGTCTTGCCCTGGACACGGCCTTTGGGCTGGTGCTACGTAGGCCCCCCCTGCCCGGTCTAATGCCTCCTGTCACTGGCCTTCAGGGCTGGCTTCCTGCAGCTCCAGCTAATGCCTGGGCAGGTCTCCCCCAGCTTTACTAGACCCCCACCCCCCCGGCTGCATGTTAATGCATGCGTGCTGCTGCCTGGTGGTTTCTCAGTTACTCTGCTGCGGCTGGGGGGCAGGCCGTGTTAGGGCTGCCTCGCCGGGGCCCGCCGGGGCTGCATGCGGCCTGAGCCACCCCCCAGAGCCTCTGTATCCACAAGCCAATAAACAGTAGCTATGGTGGCTCCGTGTGCTGGCGTGCATGGGGGGGGGGCACTCACGTAGCCAGCAGCGGGGACACCCCAGGGAGACTGCCTGGCCCCCTGGAGCACAATTGGAGCATCCCCAAGGGCACCAGCACCCATTTGCTGTCCACACTGGAGCTGGCTGGGCGTACGGCTACTCCGCAGCCCCACGCTCTGGCCCCTGCTGCTCCTGCCCTGAGCGGGGCAGCTGCTCCCCAGCACCTGCCACAACTGGCTGGCTTGTCACACACCAGGTCTGCTGCAGTGCAGGCAGGAAGCTGGAGAGCCTGGAGCTGCTCCACATTTCTGCAGCTGGGGGCCGCTCGCCTCCCTAGGGCCACCTGCCAAGCTGCTGTTCCCTTCCCTGCAGGTGGGGCCGAGAGCACCTCCTGCCACCTTCTCCTGACCCCTTCAGAACCTGTTCTGTGGGTCAGGCCACACCTGGAGGAAGCTGCCTGGGCTGGCCCTGCCCTAGGCTCCTGCTCGTTAGGGCAGGCTAATAATCCCCTGCCTCACACAGCATCCGCAGGGCAAGCTCAGACCCACCCTTGTTTATTTCCAATTAAGGCTCCAAAGGGCAGGCTCCAAAGGGACAGATAAGGGCAGCGGGTGCCCGGCTGAGCTGCTGGTTCTCCTCCCAGCCCTGCTCTCGGGCCGGGTCTCTGCCCAGCGCCAGGTGTGCAGTGTGGGCCAGACGCAGCCAGTCCTGGTGCTGGCATCAGTGGCTCTTCTTTTCCTTGGACTTCTCCTTCGGCGGCTTCTTCTCCTTGTTCAGCTTCTTCTCCTTCTTCTTCTTCTTGTGCTCGTGGCCCGGGCAGTGGGGCTGCGGGGAGAGCGTTGGGGTAAGGGGGGGAAGGACCTGGGCTCCCCAAGAGCCCAGCTCTGTCCCAGGCCTGCACAAGCCTCAGTTTCCCTCCTCCCTGCGGCTGGTGTGTTCAGACAGAGCTTGCAGCGGGGCGGTCTCCTGCGGTGGGGTAGCACCTGGTCCCCTGGGGTCTCTAATCTCCAAGGCTCTGCTGCTGTGATCCACCTCTGTTCCCCGGTGGATCGGGCCCAGGCCCTGACCCTCCAGGACCGTGTTTGCCTGCTAGTGCCAGCTGCTCTCTGTAGCCAGTCCCAGCCCTGCTCTGCCCAGTAGCTGGGCCCGTGCCCGCCCTGGGGGCTGCGGGACCCACCCTGCCACCCTCTGGCCCTGACAGCGGCAGAGGCTGGATTCTAGCCCCAGGCTGGGCCGCGGGGCACCAACAGCCCTGTGGTTATGAGTGTGCGGGCAGCAGAGCTGCCAAGTGCCCTTGGGGGGCTGGGATGGCCCCCAGACCTGGGCAAACAGGGCCAGGGGAGCCAGGAACCAGGCTCCCTGCAGGGGCTGCTGGCCATGTACCCTCCCAGCAAGAACAGGCTGTGGGGCTGTCTGCTGGCAGGGGGCCCTTGGCACCTGGGTGGGGAACAGACCCGCCCCCTTCCCCTGGCATGGGGGGGCTCTCCTTATCCCCACTGCATGGGGCTAGGGCAGAGCTAGGAAGAGCACCCAGGAGTCCTGGCTCCCAGTGTCGACCCCCCTCCTCTAGCGCTCAGCCCCCTTGTCCCCTCCCTACTGTGGGGAACCCCAGAACCCCCCGGCAATGGTGGCAGCAGCAGGCGCTGGGGGAGGGAGAGGAGGAGGCTGGGCTGGCAGAGCTGCTCAGGAGGGTGCCTATCTCAGCCCTTCCCCTGGGGGGTCCTGGCCCCTCACCCCCTACCTTGCCATGGTGCTCCCCGCTGCTCTCACTGGAGCTGCTGCTGGAGTCCGAGGAGGATCCGTGCTCGTCCTGAGAGAGAGACGAGGTTCAGCCTTGCCCAGGCCCCACCCAGGCCCAGGGCCCCCCCAGCATTGCAGCAGAGTCAGTGCTGCAGTGGGCATGGGGGGATGCCCAGAGCAGGTGCCCCCCCATCCAGGCACCCTGAGTGGTTACCCCTCCCGCACCCAGAGCAACCGCAGACACGGGGCCTGATTCCTGCCCTGACTCCACCCTGGCTCCCTGAATCCTGCCCCCCCCATACCTTGTGTTTGGTGGGGTGCCCCACTTTCTTCCCTTCATCATGTTTCTTGAGGTCCGGGCCAACAGCTGCGGGGCAGAGAAGGGTGGGTCAGGCTGTGCCCAGCCCAGAGCCCTCCCCCATGGATGGCTATGGGGCACAGGGGTCAGGAAGCGGGGCAGGCAGGGCCCCTGTGCCGGGCTGCTGGTGTCTCTCCCCCGCCCCTGCAGCGCCCAGCACTGGGCCCTGTTCCGCGCCTACCCGCCCCCCAGCCTGGGGAGCGCTGGGGGCCCCCACTCAGCACTGGCAGGGGGAACCTGGAAGACTGGACCCTGGGGTGGCTCTGCCTGGGGGGGTGGGCTCCCGGGGTCTCTGCTGGGGGAGGGCTGGCCCCTGTGGGTGCTCCTGGGGTCTCTGCCCCAGGGGGTTCCTGGCTCCTGGGGAGGGGCTCTAGGGGTTCTCTGCCCTGGGGGGTTCCTGGCTCCTGGGGGGGGGCTCTAGGGGGTCTCTGCCCCGGGGGGTTCCTGGCTCCTGGGGGGGGGGCTTTAGAGGGTCTCTGCCCTGGGGGGTTCCTGGCTCCTGGGGGGGGGCTTTAGAGGGTCTCTGCCCCGGGGGGTTCCTGGCTCCTGGGGGGGGGGCTTTAGGGGGTCTCTGCCCCGGGTGGTTCCTGGCTCCTGGGGGGGCTCCCAGCTCACCCGCTGCCCGGTTACAGTCCATTACGCTCCCGAGTCGCGGCGGGGCCGGGCCCGGCGGGGTTTTATGGGCAGCTCCAGGGCGGGACCGAGCGAACCTTCTGCCCGGCCGCGCCCCACGGCTGGGGGTGGGAGGGGGGTCACCCCCCCGGCTCTGGGTGCAAACGCCTCGTCCCCGCCTGCGGCCCAGCGTGTCGCAGACAGCGCGGGGGGGGGGGAACCCAGGCGTCCGGGCTCCCAGCCCCCCCCCAACCCACCAGACCGGCGGGTCTCACACAGGGCCCGGGGGGGCGCGACACTCGCCGGGGCCCAGGGCAGAGCCGACGCCGCGCCCTCGGGGGGGCTCCCGGGCCTGGCCCCCGGGCAGCAGCCGGGGGGTTACCCCCTGGGGGGTCCTGTGCCGGGGGCTGCCCCCTGGCCGGAGTTTTACAGCGGGGGGGGCGGGGAACCTGCCGGCCCCCTGGGCGGTTTCAGCGCCCGCCGGGGTGCGGGCGGCGCTAGGGCCCAGGGGAGGCGGAGCCCGAGCGGGTCTGGGGATCCCGGAGCCAGAGGCCGCCGCCGCTCCCGGGTCCCGCTCGGTGCCGCGGGTGAGTGAGGCCCGGGGCCGGGGGTGGGGGCACCGGCGGGGGCGGGGGGAGCCCAGGACCGGGAGCGGAGAGCAGGGCTGGGGGTGGGGGCCCGGGGGGGGGGGGGGCCAGGAGGGAGGGAGGGCAGGACGGGGGCCCCGGCGGGGGAGGGGGGAGCCCAGGACCGGGAGGGAGGGAGGGCGGGGGGAGGGGGGAGGGGGGCAGGACCGGGAGGGAGGAGGGGGGGGCACCGGGGGGGAGGGGGGCCCAGGAGGGAGGGAGGAGGGGGGAGGGGGGGAGGGGGGAGCCCAGGACCGGGAGCGGAGAGAGGGCTGGGGGGGCACCGGCGGGGGAGGGGGAGCCCAGGACCGGGAGGGGAGGGCTGGGGGGCCCCGGCGGGGGGGGGGGAGCCCAGGACCGGGAGCGGAGGGCAGGGCTGGGGGGGCACCGGCGGGGGCGGGGGAGCCCAGGACCGGGAGCGGAGAGCAGGGCTGGGGGGCACCGGCGGGGAGGGGGGAGCCCAGGACCGGGAGGGGGGGGGGGGGGGGGCACCGGCGGGGGGGGGGGAGCCCAGGATCGGGAGCGGAGGGCAGGGCTGGGGGGGGGGCACCGGCGGGGGCGGGGGGAGCCCAGGACCGGGAGCGGAGGGCAGGGCTGGGGGGGCACCGGCGGGGGAGGGGGAGCCCAGGACCGGGAGCGGAGAGCAGGGCTGGGGGGCACCGGCGGGGGCGGGGGGAGCCCAGGACCGGGAGCGGAGAGCAGGGCTGGGGGGGCACCGGCGGGGGCGGGGGGAGCCCAGGACCGGGAGCGGAGAGCAGGGCTGGGGGGGCACCGGCGGGGGAGGGGGAGCCCAGGACCGGGAGGGGAGGGCTGGGGGGGCACCGGCGGGGGGGGGGGAGCCAGGATCGGGAGCGGAGGGCAGGGCTGGGGGGGCACCGGGGGGGGTGGGGAGCCCAGGACCGGGAGCGGAGGGCAGGGCGGGGGGGGGGGGGGGGGGGGGGGAGCCCAGGACCGGGAGCGGAGGGCAGGGCTGGGGGGGCGGGGGCGGGGGGAGCCCAGGACCGGGAGCGGAGAGCAGGGCTGGGGGGCACCGGCGGGGGCGGGGGGAGCCCAGGACCGGGAGCGGAGGGCAGGGCTGGGGGGGGGGCACCTGACTGGCCGGTTTGTGTTTTTCTGCCCCGGGTCGGCGCGTGTCCCTGGTGCGCTCGGTGAGGACGCTCGTGTGACGCCCTTTGGCACGTGTGTGTTTGTGCCCTGGTGCGAGGGCAGCTGGGGTCGGGAGCACGAACCCCTCTCGGGCCGCAAGTCCCCCTGTCCCCTCCCACCCTCCCTTGTCCCCAGGCCGCAGCGTTCCCCCCACCACCCCCGTGCCCGAGGCTGCCGGGGGGCATCAGTGCTGGGTCACGGGGCCGCCCCACGGGCCCCTGTCGATCGCCCCGTCCTGGGTGCAAAGGGGTTTGGAAGCCGCTTGCTGCCAGGGACCCCCCGCCTCCCTGTTAATCGCCTTTGAGCCCCGCTGGTCTCCTGCCCTGGCCTTCTGGGCCGCGAGCACCGACTGTGAACCGCGAGGCCCGGGGCCCCGCTGGAGCCTGTGACCCCACGACCCGGTTGCCCCAGTGCCGCCCCCCGGCTCGGGGCCGGGAGAGCTCCCAGGGCTGCACAGAGCCGCCAGCCTGGGGCGGGCAGAGCGCCCCGCACACGCTGGGGTCACGTGCGAGCACACGCGTAGGCAGGCGCTGGTAGCGCCCTCGAAGGGGCCCCGGTTCGGGTCTCGCTCCCTGTGCGAAGCTGGGGGCTGCGTGCTGGGCCCCCAGCCATTGCCTGGTGCGGACTTGGCGCCCTGCCCCCAGCCCGGGGTGCGGAGCTGCCTGTCCCAGCACCTTCCCTCTGCCCTTGGCAGGATGGCGTGTGAGCTCTTCCTCCTCTCCTCCCTCTGGTTCCTCTTCGTCATCTTCTGGATGGAGACCATCAGCCTCTGGCTCTTCCTGTGCAACTTCTACCAGGACCGAGCCTTCTACCACTGGGGGGAGCGGTGAGTCCCGCTGGGGGGGCCGTCTGGGCCAGGGCAAGGGCCATGTGAGCACCCCCAGCCAGGCCAGCCGCCTGTCACCTCCACACACACAGCCGCCCATGGGCCTTGAACTCTCCCCCCCCACACACCCCCAGCTAGGGTGCCCAGGGCCCGGCTCAGCGGGACCCCCAGCTGGTAGGAGCTGAGCAAACCCCAAGAGTGGCACAAGAGGTTAATCCCGGGTAACCTTGCCTGGGAGATGGTCAGAGCAGGGGGCTGGGAGCCAGGACGCCTGGGTTCTCTCCCAGCTCCACCCCAGACTCTGTGCAAAGTGCCCTGCCCCAGGGTAGAGCTACGAGGGGTCAGGGTGGCCCTGGGCCCACCTGCCAGTTGTCTCCCTCCCCAGCTCTTTGCCCAGAGAGGGTCCAGTTCTGCAGGGTGCCCAAGGCTGCTCACTGACTCTGGTGCAACACAGGGCTTGGCTGCTCCCCAGTGACTCAGCATCTCCCTTGCCCCTCTCCCCCCCCCCCCCACGGCAGGGGCCCAGGCAGGGAGCGGAGCTGGCGAGGGGCCCAGGCCGGGAGCGGAACTGGCCTAAGTAACAGGAGAGTGGCCTGAGCTGCAGGCAGGGAATCCACAGGGGGAAGAGAACCCAGGAGTCCTGGCTCCCAGGCCCCCCTTGTCCCCCTGCGCTAACCACGAGACCCCACTCCCCTCCCAGAGCCAAGGAGAGAACCCAGGAGTCCTGGCTCCCAGCCCTCCTGTTCTGACCACTAGACCCCACTCCCCTCCCAGTGTTAGGGACAGAACCCAGGAGTCCTGGCTCTCAGCCTGCCCCAAGCTCAGACCCCTCTGGCCAGTTGCCTCCCATGGCAGTCGATAGCAGGGGTTAGCCGTGGCTCTCCCCAGCCTCAGCGGGTGCCTCATGCAGCCATTGGGGCTTGAGCCGGTGCCTCGAAAGCAGGCTGCTCCTGTGACCAAGCCCCATGGCCCCCTGGGGAGAGCGAGGCAGGGTCGGGCCTGGCCCCACGTGAGCTGGGTTCAGGAACCACCTCTGCTGACACCACCCCCTGGGGCAGCTCCATCTGTGTGAAAGGGGGACTGACCCCCAGGGAGGCCGGGAGGAAAGTACAGGTTGGTGGGGCCCAGAGGCCAGGGGGATGGCCCGCTGGCCCTGGCTGACAGACTGTTCCCTCCTGCAGGGTCTTCGTCTCTGACCCAGGCCATATGCTCTACGTCTTCGTCAGGTGAGCACCGGCTGGTTCCAGGCCCCGCCCGGCCGTTCAGGTACAGAACCGGCACCGAGCCTTTGCTGTGTGAACTCCCTGGGTCCCAGGCTGCTTGGCCAGGAACAGCCCCGAGCCAGCAGACGCAGCAGGGGCCCTGGCCCGGGGCAGCCCCAGGGCAGGAGCTCCCAGCTGGGACCGTTCCCCCTGCCCGGCAAAGACAATCCCTGTTGGCCCCCGAGGGCAGCAAGAACAGGCCTGTGCCAAGCGCTAAGCTGGGGTGATTCTGGGGGGAGACCTGAGGCTGTGTCCAGGGCTGCACAGCTGGTGGGACCCCCTATTGCTCATGGTCCGGCTAACAGCAGCAGGGCTGGGCCTGATCCAGCTCTGCAGCTCCGGGAGCACAAGGTGCCGAACGTCTCTGACCCAGGCTTTATCTCCTAGCAGCGCTGGGCCTGGCCAGCTGTAGACCTGCTCCCAGCACAGCGGCTGGGGAAGACGAGCACACAGCTGGTCCCTGGCCAGCAGGAACCCCCAGGCGGCTGGAGGATGCTCGGCCACTGCAGAGCCAGGAGGTCAGAGGCGGGGATCCCAGGGTAGGAGGCTCCTGCTGCCGCCCCCATGAGCCACGTGCCCCCGCCAGGCTCAGAACCAGCGCAGGCTGCAGGAAGCCAGCCGGGCACCATATTGAACCCTGGCCATGGGCCAGGGCATCGGGCCAGAACTCTGCCCAGCTGCTGGAGCGTGGCAGGGGCACACAGACGCTGTCCCCTAACCCCCGCTCTGAGGTACAGAGGCAGCCTGGTGCTGCAGGCTCAGTGCAGGCAGCCTGGGCAATGGCTGGGATCCAGAGCCAGGACACCTGGGTTCTTCTCCCCTTTGTGGGGCCTCCAGGGATTCTGCCCTGTGTGCTAGGGCGAATATGGAGCTAGCTGCTGCGGGAGGCACAAGGCCGTTAGCCAGCCCCTCTGTAGGGGTGCAGGCTGCTGTACACCTTTGTGCTGGGCCCTGCAGTTAGAGCAGCCTCAGGGCTGCTCTCAGTTCTGCTCTGCCCCCCATGGGCACCAGGGAGCAGCGATAGTGAGCGTGGAGACTTCTGCCCAGGACCCTGCTCCATGGGCACCAAAGACCCAGGGGACTGGTCCCCTCCACTGTCAGAGGAGCCCCCGGGGGGCTGAGGAGGCGACACAGCCAGGCGGTGCGGCCTGGACACCTCCACGACCCATGGGGGTCTTGTGTAAATAAAAGCTTTGGCACCAACCTCGTTTCCATTTTATACCAATGCTCCTGCCCGTCCCCCCCAGGGAGCTCTGCCCCCCCACGCCCGGTGCCACCCCCTGCTCTGCCTTGGACAGACACTGGTGAGTGCACCAGGAGCCCTGCAGCAGCCCCCCAGCGTGTGTCACAGGCGTGGCACGAGGCCCCTGCCCACAAGCTTCAGCCAAAGGGGCCAGGTCCGAGGCTGGCTTAGCTCAGTGCCCACCCAAAGCCTGGCACAGGTTGACCTAGGCTAATCCAGCACGGTGCCAGCCCTGGGCCCAGCCATCCCACGGCATGTGTCCCTTAGCAGCTGGCTCTGCCCTGGGGGCCAGTAGCCTGGGCAAGACAGACGGACTCCCAGGGCTGATCTCCCTGCTCTGCATGTCACTGCAGCTGGAAGAGTTGTGTGGCCCCCCAGCCTGGCCCTGGCCCCCAGCCTGGGCAGGAAGACAACGGCCAAGGCTCGGCCCCAACTACTCCCGAGTCCCCCAGCGCTCAGGGGATGGGAGAGCGGCTCCTGTCCTGGGGTGGGGGGGAGCGGGGAGGAGAACGTCCGCTCTTGTGCACTCAGCTTGTCTCCATTAAAGAACCCCAGCGGGTGCGACGCTCACAGGTGAGCAGGCAGGCGCAGGAGAAGAACGGTTTCCTTCTTTCCTTTATTCAAAGAAATCTCAGTGTAAAAAACCAATTTAACAGCTAGCCCAGCGAGCTCCACGCCCCACACTGTAGAAAGACTGCCAGCGACAGGGGGCTCAGACGCGAGAACGGGCCCTGCCCACCCCCGCCAGTACCGGGAGCCAGGTGGCTGCGGCGGGCCCAGGTGCCGGCTGGCGTCAGACACCGAGCGGAGGCAGAGCTGGAATGGGGGAGCGAGTGCCCCACGGCCACAACTCGCTCCAGGGACCCAGCCCAGGGGAGACCCAGCCAGACCGGTCCCTGGGGTGTTTCAAGGAGGTTTATGCCATGGAAAGGCATTGGAGCGTGGGCTGCACTGAGCTCCGGTTAGTGCCAGCCACTGGGAGCACCCTGCAGGCCAGAACGGCCCTGCTCTCCCAGGGACGGGGCGCCCTCCCTGGTATGGACTTGCCCATGCCCCTATTGCGGCTGCCCAGCCCACGGCTGCAGAGCCCTGAAGAGTTAACGGGGCCTAACACACCCACTCCCTGGGAGCCCAAGGGGCAGGCGGCCCGTCTCTCAGCCCTGCAGCCACAGCTGCTGGGCTAGGGGGGGCCTGGCTGGGCCCATGGGAGGACTCGGCTCAGACACTCGCTAGGGAAGCGGTGGGGCGGGGGGGGAGAATATACCCACAGGGCAGTGCTGGACCCCTCCAGCCCAGAAACTTCCTGGCCCCTGTTGTTATGCCAGGTTCAGGGCCAGGGTTTGAGTCACCCACCCCACCCACAGTGCTGCCACCCCGATCCCATGGCACCAGCGTGCCTGGAGCCAGGACAGGTCTGACCAGGAAGTTACAGCCAGCATAGTGCCGTGCCGTGGGGCAGGAGTCTCGGGGCCTGCTAGGCAGGGGCTGGGCGGAGATGGGGTCCCCCAGGCAAATCAGCTGCTCAGTGGCAACAGGAGGCAGAGCGGAGGGGGGGCGGTTGGGGACTGGGCAGGCTGCTCACAGAATTCCAGACCCCCTGCCTGTGGGGCACCCACCGTGCGTTTATACCTCCGACGCTCACGACGCCCATGCCGGGGACATCCTACCACCAGCTCCCTGAGCAGCCCCGCAGGGCGGGACCCCCAGCGGCTGCTCCGCACTTTAGGGAACGGGGCCCCACAGCACCCCAGGCAGGCATGGGCTGTGAGCGGCCAGCACTCATCGGGATCTGGCTATTTAAATCTCTCCCAACCAGACAACACCCCCCCCCCCCCCCAAGATTATAAAGGCTGGTTAAGCAGAGGAACAGCACCAGAGCCCCAGCGAGGCCCTGCTGGGTGGGCAGGTGTCTGAGACCCCAGGTGTCTGCCACTAGCAGTTTTCACAGTAATTATTCTGGTAAAAAAAAAAAAGTTTAAAAAAAAAGTTTAAAAAAGTGGAACCAAGGACACCAAAAAGAGCCCTTGGTGCAGCGAAGGCCCCGCCCATGTGGCCGGGGCACAAACACGCAGCGGCTGCTGGCGCGGGGAGTTTATAACCCAGGGATATTCCTACAGACCCGGCTCGTGCCGGTTCGAGTCTCCCTCTCCGGACATGTGCCGCTCTCTGCTGTACACACGCGGCCAAAGCCCAGCGGAGCAGGGGCAGCCCCTGGGCCGGCGCCCGGCCTCACAGCGTATAGGCATTGCTCATCAGGTACTCCTTGTCGTCCAGGGGGCTCCAGGGCACACTCAGGGACAGCTCCTGGCTCCTCCTGCACAGCCAGACGAAGAAGACGACCACGGAGCCCAGCAGGACAGCGACGAGGATGGCCAGCAGCACGGCCAGGGCCACCGCTGTGGGGAGGAGAGGCCCAGTGAGCCGCAGGGTTCGGAGCCAGACCCCTCCCGGCACAGCCTGAGCAGAGCAGCAGGGGCCAAGGAGTGGGGAGACCCCAGCTGGAGCCAGGGCCAGCTCTGCCCACGTCCCCAGGCCCAGGGCGGAGCCCAGCCCGGCCACGGGGATCCCACCCAGACCGCGTGGCAGACAGAGCGCTCGAGCGCCGCTTACCTCTGGTGGAGTGAGCGCCCGGCTCCGGCCCCTCAGCACCCCCTGCAAGCGGGAAAGGCGAGTTGAGACGGGCTGCGCCCTAGACGGCCCCTTTCCTGTCTAGCCCCCTGAGCATCTTCCAACTCCCTGGGTCAGCAGCCAGCTGAGGGCCCGGCCCAGCGCCCCACGCAAACCGCAATCCCCAGGGCCATGCCGGCCAACCCAGAGCTCCGCCAGCCAGCCAGCCCCCTACCTAAACCCTGCCTCGCTGCAGGGAGCCGCCCGGGGGGCCCACGAGCGGCTCCCAGGGAGCAGGCACCTCCCTCACCCGCAGCCCCACGGCACTGGCTTAGACACAGCTCCTCCTGCAGGTAGTTGTTCTTGTTCCCCTTGCAGCCCCCGTAGACGAACTGCTTGCAGGCCTGCGCAGCCGGGTCGTAGTACCAGCGGGGGAAGGCAGCGCGGCAGGGGCCGGTCAGGCGGGGCGCAGCACAGGACTCTGGGGGGGACAGGTCAGCGCATTAGCACAGGGACTTGGCTCCCCACTCCCTGCCCCACAGCACCAGCTCTGCCTTACAAGGAGACGCCCACAGAGGCCGGTGAGCCAGCCTGCTCCTACCCCCGCACTCCCCCCGGCCACGGGCACTCAGCCTGCCCCGTGCGGTTTGATGGGGCAGGGACAGAGGTTGCCCAGGGACTGGCCCCGGCTCCTCGCCCTTTGGCACGCGGCGTCGGGGTGTCAGGAGGGGCAGGCCCGGGACTCAGAGGCCCACACCGGGCCGCACTCACCTGAGCACCTGGCCAGACACTCGGCCTCACTCAGGTAGTTGTTCGGGTTCCCTCCGCAGCCCCCGTAGGTGAACTGGCGGCAGGTTTTGGACTCCACGTCGAACCACCAGCGTGGGAAGGAGGCACGGCACAGGCCGGTGGCGGCTTTGGCCAGGCAGCGTTCTGGGCACAGGCAGGGCGAGGGAGCAGCGTTAAAGCTCTCGCCTAGAGCAGGGGGGCACGGTTATCCCCCGCCCCCGGGGGTTCCCCCCCCCGGCAGCCCAGGACAGAGGAACCGCTGCCCCAGCAGGACCCGGCTTGCTTTCCCTAGGCTCACACACTTGGTGCATCGCCCCAGTGGGGCAGGCTCAGTAACCCGCCCCCAGGTCACCTGCTCCAGCCAGCGTCCGTCCTGCCACTGCAGCAGACGGACGGACACAGCCCCCGGAGCGCAGGGAACCGAGCCCCTCGTCTCCGCTCCTGCCAGCGCCGCTCGGATCTCCCCACGAGGCGCCGCTCAGCGAGGGGGCAGCGTGACCAGTTCTCTGGACACCCACCCCCGGCACGTGGCCTCACCGCCCTGCCCACGGGGACCCGGCCCACGGGGCAGACGAGCCTCCCCAGAGGCGTGGAGAAACGTTACCTTCGTAGGTGAAAGTGTTGTTGGCCGGCTGGACGCGCCCACGGGACTCCTCTGGGACAGAGAGAGAGAGAAAACAGGCATGTCAGGGCGGTTCGCGGCAGCCGATCCAGCACCAGGCTCCCTTTGCAGGGCAGGTCCCTACTGAGCCCTGCAGCCGGGTGCACCTCCGTCCTTCCAGGCCACCGCCCCCGTTCTGCAGACAGGCCCAGGGAGACTCACGCCAGGGCACAGGGAGGCAGGGCAGAGCCGGCAGTCTCAGGCCCTAGCCCAATGCCCTAAGCGCGGCCCATGCGCCCTGCTAAGGAGGGGTGCCAGGTGGCTTTAACGCCCCCACTCAGCCCCAGAGCACTGGGCTGGATGCTGCAGAGCCGTGGGGGTCACACGGGAGCAGCCTGGGGCCGATGGCGGCCGTTGCAGATTGTTCTCCAGCCGGTAACTCCTGCAATACCTGGCCGCTTATTCAGACTCGGGTGGGGTGGGTCCTGCCCCCGCTGTCCAGGCACAAGGTTCCCAGCCCTGGACGCAGCCCGGGACTCACCGCAGGGCAGGAGGCAGCCCCCGGGGGGAGGAGACCTCAGTGACCCTGGCCTGAGCGTTCTCCCCGCCTCGGGGGGGGGGGGAAGGGGGCAAGAGCGGAGCTGAGGGGCTCCAGAGTCTGACATGCAGACCCCCGCTCTCAAGGGAATGGGAAGCCGGGGCCAGGGGGAACAGCAGCTGCCAGTCACTGGGAAGGGAGGGTCGAGCCGCCACCATCAGTGCCCACGGACCAGCTCCACGCAAAGCCCTGGGCTAAGGGGAACGCCAGGCCTAGACGGGCTGCAGGGCTCACCGGGGCTGGGCCGCAGCCAGCAGGGTGCTGAGCAATGCGCCATGAGATGTTCCTGGTTCACCAGAAGGGCACATTCCTGGCAGCTGCTTATCTCAATGCTACGCAAGGGAAAGGCGCCCGGCCCCAGCAAGGAGCCACTCAGCATGTCCTGTTTATCAAAGTCAGGGCTGGGAGAGCCCTAAGAGGGCTCTGTCCCAGGGTGGGGAGCAGGATTGGTCCCTCAGAAGAGCCAGAAACCCCCGCCTCCCCCCCCCGCGGCAGGGGCTCCTGATGCTCACCGTCTGCACTCTGCAGAACTCCGCGGCTGGCCTGCGGAGTCTCGTTCGCGGCCTCCCCGTCTGGAAATCGAGGGGGGTTAACGTCAGACCTGCGCTGAGAGCGAAACGCGCAAGCCAAGCGCCCCCCTCCACTAGGCCAGCCTGCTAGAGGAGACCGCGTCAGTACCCGCCGGCTATGGGTACTGCACCTGGCGATCTACTGCCGTGCAGCCGAGCTTGGGGTTCCCTGGAGCCAGGACAGATTATTGTCCGTTACACAGACTCTCCTGAGTCCCAGCCCCTTCGCCGCGAGCCCTTTGGGCCTCTGAGCAGCTCAGGGGCGAGAGACGTTTCTTCCCTAGTCTCCTTCTGCTCCCGCTCGGTCCCCAGCCCTGCCTTAATGCTCCCTGCCTGGCAGGCGTGTGCTGCGGCCGGGCCCCCCACAGCCCCCGAGACCTTCTGCCAAGCTACGCAGCAGCCAGGCCACACGAGGCCGCAGCCCGAAAGGACAGCGGGACCCCCCCGCGCACTCACCTCCGGCCGCCGCGCACCTCACCCGGCAGTCGTCCTCCACCAGGAAGTTGTTGAGGTTGGCCCCGCAGCCGCCGTAGGTGAAAGGCTGGCACGCCCGGCTTGTGGCATTGTACCACCAGCGCGGGAAGGCGGCCCGGCACTTGCCCACCACCTTGGGCAAGAGGCAGAGCTCTGGAGACGAAAGCAGAAGCGTCTCAGCAGCGGTAAGCTCACGTTTCGTAAGCGCCCGACCCCGCGGCACAAACCGGACCCAGACGGGCCCTGCCCCGAGCGGCCGGCAACCTAAGCACAGCACAGACGGCCCGACGGACGGGGAAATCTACAGACAGCTGGTCAGCGCAGCAGGCCACCCGCGCACTCAGCCCACCCAGCCAGGCGCTAGTCGGCGTGGCGGGTAAGGAAGCAGCCTCAGCTCCTCCCGTGGCCAGGAGAAAGCCCGAAACGGCAGCTCGGCCGAGAGGACACTGCGCGGAGGGGCCCCCCTCGGCAGCCATCTAACCACTGCAGAGCGAACGCCGCTCAGACCTGTCCCGTCCGCTGGGTTTGGCAGCGGTTCTCAAACGGTGGGTCGGGACCCGGTTTTAATGGGGTCGCCGGGGCTGGCGTTACACGCGCTGGGGCCCAGGGCAGAAGCCCGAGTCCCGCTGCCTCGGGCCGAAGCCCTGGGTGGCGGAGCTCAGGTTCGAGGCCCCCCAACCGGGGCTGTAGCCCTTGGGCCTTGGCTCTGATCCCCCCCACCCAGGGCAGTGCGGTTCGGGCATCTGCACGTGGTGCAAGCGACGGCCTGGGATGCCAGGCCGAGAACTGGGCCAGAGTGCTGCAGCCATTGCTCTGCCGGGTGGAGCCCAGTTTCTTCCCGCAGCTGCAGGACCAGGGCTATGGCGGGCCGAGAACCCCAGCTCTCCCCAGGGCTGCCTGTAACGGTGCGGGGCTGCCCCCCCCCCCCGCCCCGTGTGGAGCCCCCAAAATGCTTTCTGGTTTTCACAGCACTTCTTGCAAAGCAGTTTCTAAATTAGACCCTCCAAGTGCTTCCTGGTTCCAGGACTGGTTCCATGGTTGGTAAACAGGGATTTAGCAAAGGCCTGGCAGGAGGCCGAGGGGAAAGCAGGAAACGCTCAGAGAGGCTGTTCGGGGTTTGCCCGCCCTCCTTTCTGTGTTGTTTCAGGTGGAAGTGTCTGGGCCAGTGTCTGGGCCAGGTCCAGATTAACTCTGTACCCGAGGCGCCTGCATACAGCCAGGGGAGCCTTCTCCCAAACCAGCTAGCACAGCGGGAGGGCAGCCTTGGGGCCACAAGCAGCGCTCAAGCCAGCTCTCCAGCACCTTCCTCTTGCTTGGAACGAAGCACAGGGGTGTCAACCCCCCTTAAAACGGTCAGACACGCAGGGCACCAGGAGCCAGCAATGCCTCCACAGCCAGGCCCCTCCCGCCTGGCCAGAGCCAGACTTGTTTACAGAAATCCCCATTGCGCAATCCCAGCTCCAGCCCCTGCGCCAGGGGCTGCACAACAGGCCACCAGCGCGGGAACAGCCCTGAGTGACCCACATGCAAACCTGACCAGCTTTCTCCCACAGAACCGTGACCCCAGGAGGAGCCGAGGTCCCGGCCTGTTTACAACGCACTCCTCCCACAAGGGGCAGGGAGGCTGCCAGCTAACAGTCGCTGCATTCCCAGCTCCTGGGGGGGGGGGGTGTCCCCATAAAAACCCCTTGGCTCTCCGTGCATCAGAACTCACTTCCCCAAGTGCCTGCTGCAGGCTAAGCCTGCTGTTCTCCAGGCCCACGGCCAGCCAGGGGGTAGCCAGGCCCCAACGGCTGTCCTTTATTTTAACCCTTTCAGGCTTGAGCCACCATAAAGCAGCAAAGACTCAAGCCCAGTGGCCTCCCCCCGCCGCTTTGTAAGTCACCTTTAAAAGGCAGGTAGCAATGAAACAAGTCTCCGTGCCCAGCCCCTCAGCCAGTGTCCTTGTCCCAGACCCCTCAGTCCATGGGGCTGGGAAGAGGAAGGAGGAGTTAGAAAACAAAGGGATCAAAGCAGCTTTCCATGCCGACCTATTCTGCCAGACAAGACAAGCCCCTAATGCAGCTCCCAGGAAAGGCAGGTAAAAGCCTCCATGGGACCCCTGCACCAGCCCTTCGGCTGGTTGATCAGGGAGCCGGGGAGGGGAGGAAGCTGTGGGAACAGAGGCTCGAGCCTCCCATGACTCCTCCAGCGCGGCGAGTGCCAGGAACGCCAGCTGCCAGGCAGGGCAACTGGAGCCCCCCCGAGAACACCGGCGCACCTGTTCCTGGCACAAGCTATTCCGGCCAGAGCCTTCGGTGACCCAGAACAGGCTGGACTGGCTTTGCCACCCGCAGTTTCATTCTGGCTCACGCCCCGGAGCTGCGGCTCTGCAATAACCCGAACCCCCGGACGCTCGGTTTGCTGAGGGTGCTTGCCACCATTATTTACATGGGGGTAGCATCTCAGAGCCTCAGTCCCAGACCAGGATCCCCCCCCCCCCACGAACCAAGAGACACCCCCTGCCCCAAAGCAGTCCCCTCCCAAGGCCTGATCCAACCCACTGGCCTCAGTGGGCTGCTGGCTCAAGCCCCTGGCGCCCAAGCCACGTGTGTGAGGTCAGAGAGGCGCCCTCATCTGTGAGCTCGCTCAGCCCCCTCCCTACCCCGCTGCAGCTCACAGTGGAACAAGGCAGAGAGGCAGGAGACATGGGAAAGCCCCGGATCCCTGCTCTCTATGGCCCCTCTCAGCAAGGGAGCCGCAGTGACACTTTGTGCTCCTTGGTGGCGCTGATCGACTAAAGCTGCCAGGGGCTGGGGTTTGTTCAGTGCACCAGAGCTCACCAGGCCGGCATCGTCCTCTCGGCACACGCACTGCCCACTGCAGGCAGGGCCTGAGCCAGACGTGCACTCGTTTACTTCCCGCTGCCAACAGGAGGCCCACCTCCAGTCTAGACAACACCGAGTTCCTCCCGCTTTCCTTGGAACAGAGGGCTTCATTGAGAGACGGAGCTATGATTCACTCCACTCAGACACAGGGAGGGGCGGGGGGAGACAGATGCTGTGAACCTGTTTGCTCTGCTTCTGTTCGCTGAGGGTTTGTTCTGTAATCCCAGACACCTAGGACCTGAGAGAGGAAGTTCTGAGTCACCGATCAGACCGTGACCTCCCTGGGCCAGGAACTGGGTCGCCCTGTGACCCACTGGTGTGGGCAGCTCCCAGGTGTGTACAGCGCCTGGCACAACGGGGCGATTGCAAAGAATAATTCTAGCCCCATCAGAGGCCACTCCAGTGTGCCCACCCAAGTTTAAATGCAAGTTGCTTCCTCCCTGCCAATGGAGAGGCGGGATTGGAGTGAGTATTTACCTGCTGGAGTTTCTCACATCTCCACTACACCCCTCCCCGCCCCTCCGGAAGCAAGTGACCTGCCTTTGGGCCGGGCAGGGACCGGCCAGCAACTGAGACATCACAGCCAGGGCACGCAACAGCGTAGTTACCACCTTGGTGTGACCCCAGCACACGCCCTCCCCAGCCAGGCCACCGTGGTTTCAGGAGACCAGTTCACATCGGCCTCATGACTCATGGCTGGCGCACGCATGGCTGACGAGCCAGGGGAGGGGCGGGTCACACACCAGGTTCCAGAGGAGCTGCCAGCCCCGTGGGCACCATTTCTGCTGCCCTGAGCCTTGTGCAGGCGTTTAACCCATTCCAGAGCAGGCATGAAGCAACCCATGTCAGAAGGGTGGCACTTTGCACCTGTCACGGAGCCCCCGGGCGATGCTCTGGACCTGCTCCCCATGAAGCCAGGCAGGACTCTGGGGCAGTCGCCTTCCTGGGAGCAGCCTGTCTTCAGGACACACAGCTCACCCAGCTTCCACCTTCCTGGGTCTGACCTCGGAGCATTCAGCCTCCTCTGCCCCTCCGTGCGCTTCCCACAGCGAATCCGCTCAGGTGGGGCTCCTGGGGAAGCCAGAGGGTCCTGCCCCCCAACTCCGCAGCCAGACGGACTCTGAGCCAGCCAGTAAAACAGAGGTTTATTAGACGACAGGAACATGGTCTAACACCGAGCTTGTAGGTGCAGAGAACAGGACCCCTCAGCTGGGTCCATTTTGGGGGGCAGGGAGCCAGACAACCATGTCTGCCCTTCACTCCATGTCCCCAGCCAGCCCCAAACTGAAACTCCCTCCAGCCCCTCCTCCTCTGGGCTTTGTCCCTTTCCGGGGCCAGGAGGTCACCGGATTCCTTTGTTCTCCAACCCTTTAGCTCTCACCTTGCAGGGGGGAAGGGCCCAGGCCATCAGTGGTCAGGAAACAGGGTGTCGGCCATTGTCTGTGTCCAGACCCCTGCACACACCTGCCCTCTAGGGCTCTGCCATGATCACACACCCTTACCCCACCACCTAGAGACTTAAGAATTGCCTAGGGGAAAACTGAGGCACCCCCACACTATTTAGAGGAAATAGTAAGAACAGTCCCACTTGGTCACACCACCGTGCAAACAACAGCACAAGGAGACTCAGACCCCCCCTCCCGCACCGAGTTTCCCTGCCCCAAGGACAGAAATCGAGCTGCCCTGGCCTGGAGAAACACGGGAAATAACCCCTGAGCCATGGCCGTCTCGCACGGGAGGAAAGCGCTGTGCAGGGCTCAGAACAGCAACGGCACTAGCTTTGGAGATGCAGCCGCTGCAGGAGAGCCTCCTGGCCTGTGTTCGTACAGCCCCTCCCTCGCACACCCGGCCCCTCCCTCGCACACCCGGCCCGTTCTCAGCCAGCCCTTAGACGCTCCCATAATAGATGCGGTTAGCAATGTTTTAACAGCCCTTTGAGTGCAGGAGGGTGACCGGCTCCCACCCCACGTGTGTGAATTCAGCATCCCACAGACTGCACGTGTCCAGTAACAATTGAGGCTATCCCCTGTGATGCTCTCGCACTTCGGCCTCACCGGCACCCCTCTGAAATTCTTCAGACAACCCTGAATCGGCAGGTCCCGAGTCTCCGGACCACACGGCCTCAATGAAGGGCAAGTCCCTTCATCTTTGCCACCCCCCACTTTTAACTCTGGGGAGCTATCGCGTTCCCGGGGCCCCTCTGTGTCTCTGCACATTACACCCTCAGAACAGACTCGTCTACGGGGGGAAACCGATGCCATTTAGATCTATTTAAAAGCCAAGTCCAGTTAAACAGTACGAACCCGTGTGAGCACTCGGGTTTCCTCTCGCTGGCGGGAACAGGGTTAGGTTAAGCAGCAACAAGCTGTTCTTCACCCAAATCGGAGCAGCCACCCTGAGGGTTGCACCCGTTTAACTAGCCCTGTTTAAATTCACCCCTTGGGTTACACCGGTGCAGGGTGAGCTAACTCGTGGGAGGCCGGGGCCCGCAGAGCAGCCAGCGCTGGGCCGCAAGCAGCCTGCGCTCACCAGGAAGTTGTGTTGTTGACAGGGTGGAGGTGGGGTGGGGAGAGGAAGCTGCAGAAAGCTTCCTGCTGGAGGCCAATGACCTTCAGTCGGCACAGAGTCAGAGCAGCAGGGCAGAGGAGCCATCTTTACCCCGCGGGGGCTGGTTCTGGGTTACAGAGGATTGCACGGTACACCAGGGAAATGGCAGCGACTGGCACCCTCTTCACCTGTGAGCCCCGGTTCCGCCCCAGGGTCTGCGCTGCTCGGCTCCCCTGCAGCCTGGGCCTTGGCACCCCTCCACGGCGAGCTGCCTGGGGCTGCCCTTAGCCGGATGTGACTGGCCCAGGTAACCTGATCCTGGCTCCGAGAGCCCCGCCAGCGTCCCTTTCCCTCCAGCCCCTCTAACAACAGTTCTGGTGCTGACAATCCCTAGTGTGGGGCGAGGCGGGGAGGGAGGTGTCTTGCGTACCCCAAGTTTCGCTTCACTTAAACACTTGCTTACAAAATCAGACACAAAAATAGGGACGTGTCCCAGCACAGGAGTACTGAACAATTGCCGACTTTCTCACTTTTACCATATAATTATACAGTAAAGCGACTGGCCTATAAACAGGGCACTTACATTTCAGTGGATAGGGCATAGAGCAGTATAAACAAGTCATTGCGTGAAATTTTAGCGTGTACGGACTGTGCCAGGGCTTTTCATGTAGCCTGTTGTAAAACGAGACCAGTCTCCAGATGAGTGGACGGACCTGGCACCCCCCAGGGTAAGCACACCCCTGGTTGAGAACCACTGCGGGAAGTCACTAGAGGGGAGGGCAGGCACTCTCCTATTGAAACCTGATCCCATCCGCCTCCAGGGATGAGCAAGGGCGTGAGAATGCCCATTGCTAGAGCCCCTGCCCCAGGAAAGGATAGCCCAGAGACAAGGTGGGGGAGGCCATCTCTGTTACCAGCTTGGCTCTCTCACCAACAGCAGCTAGTCCAATAACAGACACGACCTCACCCATTGTCTCTCCAATATCCTGGGACCCACAGAGCTACACAGAGGATACTCGGCCCAGTGGTGAAAGCACAGGGTGCGGGGGTCAGGACTCCTGGGTTCAGGTCCCAGCTCTACCACCCCGCCTTAGGGACAGCAGACCAGCTCTTTAGGTCAGGTGGCACCTTTTTGCTTTGTTTGTACAGCCCCTTGCACAGCGGGGTCCCAGCCCACAGTGGGGCAGCGAAGGGACCTTACAGGAGGCCTAGCCTCGGTAAAGAGCTTTGAGACTCTCTGCCAGAGAACGCAGTGTAAAGGCAGGGGCAAACCTCAGTGAGGTGCAGCCACTTCTGGGGTGGGAGGGCAGCAGGCAGAGGGGACCCTTTGGCCAGGGACACTAGTGCAAACACCCTGCCAGTGCCCTGGGACTCAGAGTCCGCTTCCGGTGGCTGTTAGGGCTCCCCCACCCAGTCGAGTCACTCACACACCCGCCATCTGGCTGCACAGCGCCAGGGAACATCCACCACCCTGCCAGGTGGTTCTTCCAGGAAGTCTCACCAAGCCGGGGTGCGAACCCCCCACCCCGGTGTCAAGACGGGCTCCCTTTTTCTGGGGACCCCAGCCAAGGGAGGCTCCCGCGGCCCCCAGGCGGGGACAGGGCAGGGGGTGAAGTCCCTGGCAAAAAGCCAGGCCCTGAAGGACATTGAACAGGTGTGAAAACCCCAGCAGCAGAGCTGGGGACTGGGGGAGGGGAAGCGATCCACACCCCTGGCTACAGCCCCAGGGTTTGACCCGGAGGCTGCCAGGGCAGCAACTGGGGTCACACGCCCCCGCCCCACAGTCATGGGGAGCCAACGAGCAAGGCCCCCCTTCAGCCTACACCCCTATCCCCACAGGGCTCCCCCCACATCTCTCACCCATGCTCCCAGATCGCACCCCCACATTCTCCCCAGGGGCCCCCTAGGCCCCCACTTTCCTAACGCCCCCCACAAGTCTTCCCAGCGCACTCCCCACGCCCGCTCAGCACCCACGCCCCTTATCACACTGCCCCCGCCCCAGCTGTGCTCCCAGGTCCCCCCGGCCTTACCCGGCGGCCCCGGCGCGGGGCTCCCCGCGGGCTCCCCCGACCCCTCGTGGCCCCGGACCCCGGGGCCGAGCGCGGCCAGCAGCATCAGCATCAGCAGCCCCGCGCGCCCCATCCCGCGAGCGGCTCCTACCGACTGAGCCCGGCCCGGCCCCAGCCGCGCGCGTCACACAGGTGAGCTCCCGCCCCCCCCGAGCGAATACCCAATCGCAGCCGCCCTCACCTGGGACGCGCCCCCCCGCCCGGGGAGGCCACGCCCACTCGTTTGCATACGGGGCGGGTTCTTCCCCACCGTCCTGGCCGGCTGGAGGCGGCGGGAGGGGGAGCGGGTCCGAGCCCGGGCGGGGGGCGGGGAGGGGAGATCGGGGGGCTGCGGGTGCCGGGGGAGGGGCCGCGCGTGGGGGGGGGGGCTGCAGCGCCCCCCACCCCGGCAGGAGCTGCCCGCGGCCCCGGCGGCTCCAATTTGTGCCGAAACCCCACAAATCCAGAGGGGGCGAGTCTATGGCCCCCACGTGCTGGGGACCGCGGGGGGACCCCCACCCCGGGGCTCTGGGTCCCGCCCCCCAGTTCCGCAACCCACCCCCAAACTCCAGCCCCTCCCCAAAGCATGTTCTGAGGGGAAATGGGGTCTATGGCCCCCCCGTGCTGGGGGCTGCAGGGGGACCCCCACCCCAGGGTCTGGGACCCTCACCCCAGTTCTGCAAGCCACCCCCAAGCTCCAGCTTCTCCGCCCCTCCCCAAAGCGCCGCCCGGCCTGGCACACCGCAGCACCCAGTCTCAAGGTGCAGGGCTTGTGGGGGGCTCCCGGGGAGCGGCTGCCCCAGGGCCCAGGCTCCAGGCGGGGTGCTGGGGTGAGGGAGGCCGGCAAAGAGGGCCAATGATTGACTCGGGCTCGGCCTCTGTGTCGAAGCAGGACTGTTCTTAATGTTTCCTCTGAATAGTGTGGGGGTGCCTCAGTTTCCCCTAGGCAGTTCTTAATTCTCTAGCTGGTGGGATAAGGGTGTATGATCGTTGCAGAGCCCTAGAGGGCTCTCCAGGCAAGTCTAGCTGGGCCTTCTGTCACCATACCTAGATCTCCCCTTCACTTGAGATCCAATCTCCACAGGATTCAGAGGAAACATTAAGAACAGTCCCGCTTTGTCACAGCCTCCTCCTGGGGTTAGTGCCATGTTATGGCTCTAACACCCTCATTCGTAACCCCTCCTGCCCCCGCCCGGAATCACACACACACCTGCCACAGTGGGAGCCTGGCATGAACTGGGGGGCTCACGCCCCCACAGGGCACCAGCCCGGCCAAGCTGCTGTATCCCGGCCGGCGGCCAGTCGTGGGCAAAGAGGATGGGGGTGGGGGGTGGGGGATTTTCCTGGCACAGGAAGCGGGTTTCTTGTCAGTGTTCTGGTCTGGGAGGTGCTTTTCCCTGCGGGTGCAAGGCCAGGCACCTGTTCGCCCTGGCTGGCAGCCCCCCTCGGCCAGGGGAGAGCCCCGGGGCTATGCCCTCAGAGCCGTGATGAGGTGTGTTTCTGCAGAGCCTGGGGCCTCAGCCATGAACCCGGCCCTGCCCACACCAGTCCCTGCCCCAAAGAGGGACCTTACGCACAGCTGCCAGGGCTGCACCAAA